CTGAGGCCTGCATGCGTCACCGCTAGTAGAACTGAGGCAGAATGAGTGACAAGCGATTGCAGGGGTAATTGGTAGTGAGTAGATAAGACGATGTGCGTAGAGTACCATTGTGGTGAGAGCAGGCTGCTAGCCGATTGGTTGGCACTAATCTACGTTAAGGTCTAGGTCACTAATATGGGCCGTGAGAAAATATGAACAAGGCCGAGTCAACAACCAATCACAGCAAAGTTAACGTGGCAAAATATGATTCGCAGATAGCGAACTCTATTTGTCAAGGAATCCCGAAACAACCAATCAGAAGCCTGCGTTTGTCTACCTAAACAACCAATCAGATGACTGCGCTTGTCTATAATAATGTTGTCTGAAATATGTATAAATACGTGTTGATTTTCATAATAAAACGATCTGTTGCCTGACCCTTGTCTTCTGTTGTTACACCATGAGTTGGTGCTATGGTCACGTTGCATTCTGCAAGAGTCATTCTAGTAAGTGGCGATTGTGTTGCAAGATGTCAAGAGGAGGTCTCTGTCTGGAGGCGCAGGTCGTCATTGATGTGTGAGATTGTGCTGTGAGTATGCTTGTGGTGTGTTGGCTTTTCTGTTTGTTTTCCATTTCAGCTCTGTCCGTGTGACCCAGGTTCTCGCAATGGCATCCAAGTCAACGTGTATTGGTCGTGAAGGAAAAAAGGGTTGGATCCCTTTTTTGCCGGGGAGTGTCAATGGAGTTGAAGATTGAACGATCAATTCTTGGTTGTTCGCTTAAAATCAACTTCCCCAATTTTCGCGGAGGCATCAATACGACAGTCATCGTCTCATCGGTCGCTGTTCAGAAAGAAGTCAGCAGTAAACCGTCAGAAGTAATACAATGATTTATTATTGTAATATTTGTTCACAGACCTTAGTTCAAATATTATTTTTATATGTTGGTGTAACAATAAAGGATCCACGAGTCACCAATTGGTCTTTTGGTGCTTTCTTCGTCCGTTATAACTAAGCGTTTCTGAAAACTTCAAGGAACAGCGTGGACCCGAGCGTAGCGATAGCTGGGCATTAACGGTTTATGAGACTTGATTGACAGATGACCTTGGGACTAAGATCACTCATGACGAATATTATGTCGAATAATATATGGTACAAGAACAAATACAAAATGGAACGAACTCACCGGGGTTATCTGCGGATTTATCGTGGATGAAGTTCGCGGTTGAGCTCACCAGTTTTGGGGGTTGGTGGATATCTCGTTCAGCAACTTCTAATTAATTTATTCTCGCGTACCAACAACAAAGCAAAAGCCAATATTTGATCGTCCAAACCAAGAGATATATTTTGGGACCAAAACAAGCCTTCAGACAAACGCTTAGCTAGCTAGTGATCGTGCACGTTACACGACGAGGTACCAAATGGCGGGGATGCTTGACCGGAAGCCTTCAGCTAAACAAGTCGACTTAAACAGTGGTGGTCAGCATCCAATGAGTGATTGCTGTGGTCAATAATTTTGGGGAATTATTTACCGCTACAGCTCACTCCCCCCTAGTGGGGTCGTGAGGACCCTAAGACAGAACCAGCCGGAAGTAAAAAAACTCGATGGTTCCCTTTCGGGTGAAAAAAATCTTCCGAGCGGCTTGGTCGTATGCCTACTGGTTTGTCTGCCTATGCTAATAGGGTGTTTGTACATAGCTTCCTTGTTGTTGTTCGTTGGATTCCGTGCTTCGTTTGTTTCCTGTCCAGTGCCCGTCGCACCTGGAAAAGAAAACAAGAACGCTAAGAACCATGTCGAGGAAAATGTACGAAATGAGCTTTTTGGTTAAAAAAAATTGTGTGCATTTACTATACAGTAAAATAATGCTAAGTTCAGAACATCGAAAAAAATACATCTAATTAATTTTTTGTGTATGTTACATGAACTGTTGAAAAAAAATTTTGTGTTCGGTGGTACTGTATATAAAAAAAATTGATACGTCAAAAAAATAGTTAGTACCACAAACGAATGAGTTGCGTGAATCACACGACTTCGTTAAGTCAAATAAGTGTGCAGATATTCTGGGAACCTTACGGTGCGTCCAGAACGGGTTTTCTTGGGAGGCTCGATAGAAGGTTCGGTAGCTGTCGCTGTGCTAGTGACTTCATCGATGTCTAAACGATCTTCTGTTACTTGTGGATTTTGGGGTACGTTGAGCTCTATGCTAATAGGATTACCCTCCAAGTAAGCCGGTTTCAGTATAGCCTCGACCTTAGTAGCCAGTGGGCGAATGCCCTTGCAGTCAATAGTGTGACCCAGAAAGTCGAGTGAGTCAACACCGATTTGACACTTTTGAATATTAATGGTAACACCATGTTGGCGTAACCTTCAAATGCCAAGTCCAAGTGCCTAAGGTGAGTTTCCTTGTCTGGACTGGCAATGAGGCAGTCGTCTAAGTATGCGTATACAAAGTCGAGACCGCGAAATACTTCGTCAATGAAGCGTTGGAATGTTTGGGCTGCATTCCGGAGACCGAATGGCATACGTAGAAATTCAAAAAGTCCGAAAGGCGTAATGATAGCCGTTTTCGGGATATCTTCTGTTGCCATCGGGATTTGGTTATACGCTTTAACCAAGTCGATTTTGGAGAATATAGTCGCGCCGGATAAGGTTGCCGTCAAGTCGTGTATATGAGGCAACGGGTAGCAATCAGGGGTTGTTTTGGCATTCACTCGCCGGTAATCACCGGTGGGTCGCCAATCATTGCTATCCTTTTTCGGAACCATATGAAGTGGGGATGCCCATGGGCTATTCGAAGGTCGAATGATGCCAAGGGTAAGCATATGGTCAAATTCATTCCTGGCGATTCTCAGTTTGTCAGGAGCTAATCGTCGTGCTTTAGATGTCACAGGTTGTCCTGTGGTAATGATGTGGTGCATAACATTGCTGGTTATGCACGGTAGGTCGTTCGACGGGCAATTAAGTTCCGGATACTTGTCAACCATAGGTTGAAAAGTTGGATCAAGAATTGCCTTTATCTTAACGGGTGACAAACTAGGGCCTATGTAGCTGATGCCTTTGATAGACAGACTAGTAGTATTGTCAATCAGTCGTTTTCGGCGGACGTCTACGAGTAAATCATGATGATTAAGTAGGTCCGTGCCAATGATGGGCATTGTAACGTCAGCGAGAAGGAAAATCCATCGAATAGGTTTGCGTAAACCTACGTTCAGATAGACGTAATTTCTACCAAAGGTTGCGATTGGTTTTCCATTTGCAGCCTGTAAGTTGAAGGTAGGTTCCTTCTGTCGATCTGCTGCTGTAGCAGGAAGGACGCTGACTTCGGCGCCTGTGTCGACTAAATATCGAGTCTGGCTTATCACATCATGGATGTAAAGTAGGCGGCTAGTGCCACCGGCGACGGTTGCCGCTAACGCGTGCCGGCGGGATAGTTTCCCGCAGACTTTGAGACATTTCCGAAGTTACAAGGCTTACGGCAACACTTCGCTTCTTGGCCATAGGTGTTGTGGTACCAGCACCAGTCAGGGTTTTTCAGTGAACGTGGTTTGGACTTAGATCGACCACGTGAGTTCCTGCGTTGAGGAGATTTAGGACGACGGTCGGAGGAGTTAGAATGCATGTTTGACCTAAACATCTGCTGGATGGAGTTGCATAACTCTATCATTGCAGGATCCTTACTCGAAGTCTGCTTAGTCATCGAGCATATTTCGGGAACAGACCGTTTAGTTATTTCTAGAATCCTATCTGCAGTAATAGCTAAGTCCTCTATTACAGTACCCTGAAGTGTCACAAGTACGGTCTGTACAGACTGTGGCAACTTGGTTAAGAAGAGTTCTCTAAATAGTCCTTCGTCGAACTGACTTTGGCCGACGATTTATTTCATTCTTGTCAGCATGCTCACGGCTGACTGATCTCCTAACTCGATGTTACGAAATAATTCATCTAGACGTTGTCGGTCCGTGAGAACGTTTCTCCTGAGGAGGGATGCTTTGAGCAACTCGTACGAGTTACTTACCTCGGGACTCAACATCTGTGATGTTACGTACTTGCTGAATTCCCGCGGTAGGGCGTGAATAACTGCAAGTAACTGTGAACGTTGATCGGTTATCCCATGCTCACAAAAATCTGCTTCAGCTAGCAGAAACCACGTTTCAGCATTATCTGGCCAGTATGGTACGAGCTGAATGGTTTTAGGAGTTGAGCGGATACGGATGACCTTGGGACTAAGATCACTCATGACGAAAATTATGTCGAATAATATATGGTACAAGAACAAATACAAAATGGAACGAACTCACCGGGGTTATCTGCGGATTTATCGTGGATGAAGTTCGCGGTTGGGCTCACCAGTTTGGGGTTGGTGGATATCTCGTTCAGCAACTTCTAATTAATTTATTCTCGCGTACCAACAACAAAGCAAAAGCCAATATTTGATCGTCCAAACCAAGAGATATATTTTGGGACCAAAACAAGCCTTCAGACGAACGCTTAGCTAGCTAGTGATCGTGCACGTTACACGACGAGGTACCAAATGGCGGGGATGCTTGACCGGAAGCCTTCAGCTAAACAAGTCGACTTAAACAGTGGTGGTCAGCATCCAATGAGTGATTGCTGTGGTCAATAATTTTGGGGAATTATTTACCGCTACACTCTCATTATTCTGAATGACCTACACTAATTATATCTATCACTATTATCTCTTTTCTTTTGACGACGATAACAGAGGACTAACTAGTGAAAGGATCAACTCCATTCACAGCAGTAACAAAGTTTTAGCATGCCGCATACTACAAACAACATATAATTAATCCCATTAACACTCCTTTTTAGGTCAACCCAAGCTATGACAGTCGAGTGGCAGGACGAATTACGCAAAAATATACAGGAGATCAGGAACCTTTACCTTGCAATCAAGAAGCGAGCACAAAGAAATCGAATTGGTTTACACTAGCTCGTAACACCGATATTTTATTTGTTTAAACGGTTCTTTGCTTAACTACAGATTGACTCATCTTTGTTACACTTTTGAAAAGCCCTCATTTTAATTCGTTTTCAATCCATTTACTGGTAAATTTAACCTGTTTTCATGACTTTTTTGATATTACTTGGTTTATCAAGGAGTTGTAATGCAGAGGAATCTTACTAAATCGGAATATTATTGAATTAAGGTTTCAATACTGAAACATTAATTCAATAGTAAACCGGATTCCTTTGTATGATAAAGTGCGTAAAGTACGTACTTTACACAATTCTGGGAGTCGGTTCCAAGAGTTTATGACTCGATGTGAGAACCAGTACTTAACAGCAATGTGATTTCTCCTTGGCTTTTGAACTCTCCTGCTATGTCCTCTAAGGTGTTCTGACCTGGTGGGAAGGAAAAGAGAGAGTAGGTCAGGTCCGTAGTAGTTATTTAAAATTTTAAACATTGTCATTAAATCTCCTCTCTGCCTACGGTATGACAGTAAGAAGAGATTTAAACTGTCTAGTCTTTACTCGTGTGATAAGTTCGTCATGCCGAGGGTCATACGTGTTGCCTTCCTTTGAACACTTTCTAGAATGTGTGAGTCCCTTCTTAGACAAGGACTGGCGGCCCGGATGCAGTTTTCTAGTCTTGACCTCACCATAGATGTATATAAGGAGGTGAACATATCTCTGGTGATTCTAGCAAAGGCTCTTAGAATTGCCCATAAGGATCTGAAACTACGTGCAGCCACCGCGCGACAGTGTGCTGTAGTTTTTAAGTCGTGGCTAACTGTGACACCTAAGTCCAAGTGAGTCTGAACTTATGGAAGTGTTATTCCCCCTAGTTCGTAGGAGCTTGTGCTTGCTTGTCCAATCTGCATGGTTGCACATTTTGCCACATTGATCGGGAGCATTCATTCTACGGACCACTCTGACAATTTGTTGGGGTCCTCTTGCAACGTGAACGTATCACTGTTGCCCTTCAGCTCTCTCCAAATTTTTAAGTTATCTTCGTATAGGACCATAGGGGAGTCGGTGAGCAGAGGTAACTCATTGATATACAAAATAAATAGGAGAGGACCGAATACCGTGCCTTATGGCACTCCGCTACGTACTGTTGTCCAAGAGGGGAGTTTTGAGTTGTACCTAACCTTCTGCCTCCTATCTATGAGGAATTCCCTGAGCCAGTTTAGTAATCTGCCTTTGATACCAAGACTTTCCAATTTCATAAGTAGTCTTTTGTAAGGTACTTTATCAAAGGCTTTACTGAAGTCTATGAAGACGAAGTCAACGGGTCTTCTGTTATCCTTTGATTTGACCCAGCTTTCTCTTGTAGCGAGGAGATTTGACAGGCATGAGAGGTTCCTCCGGAAGCCATGCTGTGCTCCAGATAAGAAGCTGCTATTTTCCAGATATGCCATGATGCTTTTCTTGATAATTCTTTTTTCTAGGCATTTCTGGCAGTATATCTGAACCTACTGGGTTTGCTTATCAGCGTTGTTCCAGCTCATATTCAGCATTGACTAGCATTACTTCAGAACACAGTGGGTGAATAAAATATTCCTTTACCATAAAAAGGCATTATCGACGCATAAGTTAGAATAAGTTCAGAATTGTTGTAAGCTTGGGATTATAGTAACTCTAGTACACGAAGGACTCATATATATACAAATACATCTACAGAAGAAACGTAGTCTAAAGGTAGCCTGTGTTAATCCTTGCTATACATATCTCCATAAATTTCAAGTTCCCCTAAAATTGCCGACCGATTGATCCAATATTATTTGGCCTAGTAAAGATTTCCACTGCTGACTACTCATTTTAGGAATCTGAATTTCATCAGCATGCTGTTCAATCACCGTTGTAGAACCTTTATTTTGTGATTTATCAGGGGTTGTAAAGGCCTATATCCAACTCACACCTTTAAGTTCAAATAAGTTCACTACTACGTCTGAGGTATGGTAATGAGGAGAGGTTCAGACTTCTTATTTTCCTCTCACAAAGAAGATGCAAGTTTCTTCTGACTACCCTAATGCCAACCTTAAATTGTGTCTCCTTCTTGTAATAATTACTAGTAGCATGTATATAGCAATCAAGATAAAGTTCACGTGTTAGATCAATTGCTTTAAACACTCTTGTCCATGTATTTAGAAGCCCAACAAAACACTCTGTGATTGGAAAACTGTGGCTTAGCCATATGATTGTGTGCGGGGAATTTTACTTTGTGAGTGACAGTGAGTCCCCAAACGTTTTGTTCCTTGATGTTAGGTAGTTTTCTTCGACCCTGGAGGCACATATGTAACCTAAATGCATTACTGCACTTTTTCCGGAATTGACTTCTTAACCACAACTACTAGACCTCTAAGAGAATTGACTCATTCACTTGCATTGCTGTCTATATACCAAATCTTTACAATGTCAGAAAATTATAGAGAAAACGATGTTAGGATCTCAAGCAAACTGTTGATATATGTTAAGAACAGCAACAGACCTAGAATGGTTTTCTCACCTGCATGGGTCATTTTATCTGATGGCCTGTAGAAATGTTTATTACTGTGATTTCTACCAAAACACTTACACTTATTTTTGTTGTGTTATAGACTGGGAATATTCAACGCCCATTTTCTATAACAATAGATAACTGGCAATAATTTGAATGCTTTGCAGTAATTGCTTTAATTCCTTTCGAGTTTTTATTTAGAGCCAAAGCGTTATGAGCTTGTCCAACATAGTGCATGGGCGCTGAAATATTTACGATAGTTTTTGGACTCACTCACCATTCCTTAAAGTACATTTTTCCGTTGTCTGTCTACGACAGAAAACTTTTGCTATTACAGAAGTTGATAAAACTTCGAGTATTTTGTCTTGCAATAGCTCAACCGTTGTGTTTAAAGCAAAAGAGCGTCTGGAAATATCAGAAAAAATCATGTAATGAAATGACTATTTTGCACTTGCACATGCATGTGACATTAAGGATCAGCTATGTGCGTCCATTGCTCGGGTGGTAATACTGAAGTGCTACAATTATTTTTCTGTCGATCTTTCTATTTGTGAAAAATCTGCCCCAAACAAAGTATCACTATTCTTAAACTCCACAACTTACGAATAAATACTTTGTGAAGGAGTTCTCAGTAAACATGACCTACACAACATAATGAGACAAAAATATGTAAAAGCATTAATCTATCTTTTCAGAGAAACTAGTAACCTCAAGCCTTGCTTCACAAGGTTTATTGAAATATTTTAAGTACAGCTTCTGCAATTTTGAGATCAATTTGTAAATAAATTCTTATGAAAAGTAAATATATTGTGTCCAATAACATATTTCCATATGAATATCAGGCGAATAATTATAGTCGTCGATTTCAACATTATGTTAAATGTATTCACAAGTATGTCTAATAATCTTACGATAAACTTTCAGTGGACTACTTACAGGAGTACTTTTAAAGGTCTAATGAGTTGGTAATGTCTTGTATGCCACGAGGATCTACGCGTGTGATGAACATTCTAGCTAAGCAGGAAAATGCTGTTATCACTAATCGTTTTAGAAATCTTTGGAAGACCAGAGGTACTGTTCTGATTCGCACAAAACACTCTGAGTGTCTTGTTCATTGTTCAAAGCATGCTAATACTTATAAACATAAGCAGTGCTTGGCTGTGAAAGCTTATTTACATAAAAGGACGGTCAGGTTCAAATAAATAGTCAGATATCAAAAAGCGCTGATGAAAAAGATAAATATTTAATCTTTAATACCCATCTCAATAGAGTTATCCACAATTATTCTAGTTTGTAGTTATTCTAAAGCACGTACAACTTGAATGGAAAAATATTTATGAAATTGGAAAGACTATTACGCTTTGCATAGATGTTTATATGTCCGTCTGCCATACCAAGATAAGTTACATAAAATAATGCAGTAGTAATCGAAAGATAATCTGATAAACAAAGATATTTAGAAGGGATAACATAACGAATGTCAATAATGTTGGTTCTTAGCACCTAGTTTTCACCCATCTATTCTTATCACCAATTTCACCTAACATCGCTCTTCTATGAAGTCGGAATGCGTAACACACGGCTTTGACAGTTAAAGCGACACAACCTAATAATCGCATCCTTCGAAGCTCCTTCATTTCCCAAGACGCTACACACAACCTCATTATTAATCAACAGATTTTTCCAAGTGACACGGTCAACTATATGGCGATACCTATGACCAAAACCTGTTTATCCCTTTACATGGTGTAGCGTCAGAGGTCGTGTCTCACTAAGTAGCTTAAGACAGAACGAATTAATATACAGTATATGCACCGTTTGGCTGATAGCCAGATATTATGTCTACGCCCAATATGGCGGAGCTGGTAAATGCCACTTCATCTGCATCTCTACCGAGATTCGCTGGCCGATAAAGCTTACCAAAATAAGCGAAGTAGCCAGTTTGCATTCAATCGTTTCGCTCTATATGCCTGAATTGCTAGGAGATTAGTATCAAGATGCTAACTTACAATACTAAAGTTTAAAATATGAAGCTGAAATCTAATCCCTTGAACAAAATATTTTCAAAAGAAACTGTGTTTTCCCTGTTAGGTAAATTAAAAGACTTTAAACAGAATTGTACGGGCTATATTCACAAATTGCGATTTGAGTCATATGATTTCTTCTTTTATTTCCTGGAAGTAGATTTTCTGTTCAACTCTACTGAATATGAGTGCCATTCGACCAGGTACTGCATCACGTTTGAAGACAGCTCAGACACAAGGTCAGCTTGGTGCATCGTCTCGTTTAACGACTGGTTTAAGATCAGGCACACAAAGTGGTGGTTTCGGTGCAGCAAGTTTAAATACAATGGTTTGTGTTGAAGAGAGACCAATTACGCAACAAGGTGAATAAATCAGTTTGCATTTGGAGTTTATCTAATGAATAAAACAGGTTTAGGAGGATTGAAAAATGCAATCCGTGGGCCAAAACGTCAAATAGAAGATAAATCTTACTTTCTTGGATTGCTGAGAGGAAAAATCAATGAAGTGAACACAGAGATTGGGACAATTACTCGTCAGTTAATGGAAACTGAACAAGAAAATGCTAGTTTTGTGCAATATGAACAAATGGCTGAAAAGTTAGCTTATGAAATTAAAGAATTACAGGTAATCAGCTAAATGTAAAAATGTAATTAGTTGGTTGTGTTTTTCGTGAACAATTGGTTTTCTTAGTAGTTCTCACCAACCAAAAGGTTATCAGTACTCACTATTTACGACTTTCGTACCAAAGAGAAGCACTCTTTGATTTTAGATTGTTCTCGGTTCGTGGCGAAAACATCCCTCAACTGAAAACTACATATCTTTGTTTTTCTTCTGTTCGAGCCTTAAACTAATCACCCTTATCATTTGTGGTCAGTGAAATTTCACAGCATATAATTATGAAGAATACAAATCTTCATAATATAGCGAATTTCCTTCTCGAATAAATGTAAATATTAATGTAGCCATTTCTAACGACTGACTGCGTTTCGACATAGGAAATTACACAGAAGTGCAGAAGTTCAAGTTGTCACACTCTGCGTGGTAGACGGTGATATAGACAAGAGAGAAGAAGAAATTCCGGGGAACTAGAATACGTAACACGGAGAAACATGAGGGTCTAGTGCATATTGCGAGATCACAAAGAGTGAATGCATCTGCGAAAATGAGAATGATCTTGGGACGTATCACAAGTAGTCTCTGGCTGTTAGTTGTTAACATCTCGATGATCCTAACTAGATAATCCACACCTCCCTACGTGGTTGACTCAAGCCAGCTGTCATAGACTTCATGGGTTGATGATAAGTTTCGATTTGGCCACCCCTCACTCTTTTCCAACCTAATCATGTGTCAGCCAACAATGTTCATCTAGGATGATGATGCTTCATTATCCCTTTTCGACATCTTCAGAGCTGACTTGAGTGTAGAGTGAAGCTCACTTCAATCAATATATTGATTAACAGTTTCAATATAGTCATGCATCTAGTTTTTGATTTGATGGAGATTGTATTCTGTCAGTCAACTTTGCAATGTGGTCAGTCAACAGTTTCTTCAGTGTACGTCCAATCCATCTTCATTTCTTTCGGCATATTTGTTGAGCCATTTCAAAGAAGTTAAGCTTAACAAACTCACTAGGTACTATAGATCTTATGGTCATCATACATTTAGTGACTTGAATTACGTAATTCTAGGAATGCATACTGAGTCATTGATTTTTTAAAAGTAAAATTAAAAAGTTCATTCAAAGATAATGATATCTATGCATCTAAATATAAAGGGTTTTTTAATTTTGACATTTAACTGCTTTTATTTTTTTCTCTCAAAAAACCAGGGAGAATTAGGTGATTATAATACTCTTGTTGATAAAGCAACGCTTAGTGATAACATTACAAGTATAGAAATGGATTGGGAAGAAGTACGTGTTGCAAATGAACGTGCTGAACGAAATTTAGAAACTCTATTTGAAGATCGTCAGAGAAGAGAACTAGTGTTAAAATCAAGTGAATTAGAATTAAAACAAGTAAAAATAATGTTTTATGATCCCATTTTCGTTTGCTTCCTTTATGACGTTCCATGAATTCATTTTGTCTATCTCAATAGCCCTCACTACTTCTAGTCTGATAGAAGAAAAATAATACACATTATACTCTCTGAAGTGTTTTCTTCTCCTTCTTTCTGGGCACTTCCTCCTCCAGTGTCCTGCTTTGCTGCATTTAGAGCACTAGTCCTTTCCGGCATTCATTCGTAATGCCTCTACCTCACGCTGCAAATCTTTAACCTTCTGTTCCCATTCGTTCAATTTCAGTGGCTTTAATGCTGCTACTGTTCTGCTCAACAGCTGTCTGGTTAACCTTCGCCACTTCACCGATGTCCATAGTTGTGCAGCGTTAACCAGTTGTAGTTGCTGAGAAATGTGGTCTAACACACTTTCGATGAACTGGGACGCCAATAGCGGTGACTCCGACTCTTTATCCAATATAGGGAGTGCACGACGTAGTGGATTCGCCAGCTTCACCGCCGACACTAGCGGGTCTTCATCTGGTCCCAGCTTCGTGGCGCGGAATAGTTGCATCAGCACCTGCCTGTCCATTGGGCTGTCGGACTCTGCCACCAATCGTCCAACCAATACCTTACAGATCTCCGTCCCACCTGACCGCTCGACACTAGCATATGCCACCTTTGCTCGAGCTCTAAGCAGCGTCCCCAGCACGACTGCCTTCATCATCGGATCCTTGATGCGCACCAACTCAGCGACGGCTTCAAAGTCCCGCATGAAGATCCTGATGTCTTCTTCCTCGAAAGCAGCCAGCCATGCGATCTTCATTGCCTGAAGGTAGCGACACCAAATGTAACGGTAGAAAATGAGAGACTCGGTACAGGGATGTTTATTCTCAATTTGGTATCTCTAGATACCCACCTTATGTACATCTTATCTTCATGGTATCATTTGCACAGAACTTCGTGTTATGGCACTTCTGGCCTTCATACTGTTTTTCTCTGTGTTCTTTTCACGTCTCCCATGTATCACTACAACACTGTATCAGTTGCTTTCTCTGACATCAAATCTATCTCACTGCTATTTGATGTTGTTATGCCGATGAACATCCCTATATATTTGCTACTGATAAATCTTATCAGTAGTGCACTCAGCAGTATGAATAAAACTGACAGGTAGATGGATAAACAGAGACAGGTACGTCACCATTCCTCTCAGTTCTTTAGAGGCATTTTCTGTTAGCTTTATGACTGTCCACAACTTTTTATTTCTGCTTCAGGTGATCTCCTTGAAGTCACTCTCAGATGCTTGTGTTGTCACTCAACGGTCTCCTCAGCGTGTGTTCAGCCCATATTCATTTCTTTCTGCACAGTTGTTGGGCAATAGATTCTTACCTGTTGCCTGGTTGTCTGCCGGAGTTTTTGCTGCTTATCCTTTCTGGTTGACGATCTAATCCTACTTTAATGTTTAATAACAGCTCATGGTGAAACTCAAAACAGAAACTTCTCCGTCAAACCATCTTGGATAACACCAATGCTAAAAGGAGTGAAGGTGACTTTGGTTTATAAAGAGTAAGAGTACTAAAATAAAGTGCAACCCATGAAATCATGTACCATATCAAGTTTTATTCGTGAATGATAACTGATGTCAAAACGAAAATCTGAGTTGAAGCATGTTTCAAGCCAGCTATCTGCAGACTACAAGTCAAGTGCTCTACTCGAGACCTGGATACTTCTACTGATCAGGTATTAATCATACTTCGATTACGAAGGATCTTGACTTTGTTTCAGTCTTAATCTGTCATACTTAAATGTCAACCCATCGTTTCCACCAACGAAGATGCTCACTGGACAAACCCCTCACATATCAATTTTCAACGTGATTTGTTACAAGAAATGATCAACCTACTGGTCACTAGTAAACACTGGACTCACTACAGGATAAAGTTGCCTGACTTTCTAGTGGGAAGTCGAGATCAGCAGCGTCCGCCAGTTAGGTTGTGAGGCCAAAGACCTGCGATGACATTGGTTGGCGGTCGCGTTAAAAATCGCGAATTGAGAACTGATGAACCACTGAAAACCAGTAGAGAGTAATAGGCAGTTTTTTCGCTCTTGTTTTTGACTTTTCATCAGTACCCACCCATGACCAAGGGATCGCAACAGGAACCAGCGGGGTACAATTCGAGCTCGTAGACCGTTCGGCCACTGGGAGATGACCCGATAGCCCACTAATTCCAACTTCTGCCAGTTCAAGATATGTATAGCGCGATCGCCAGTCAGTGTCATAGGCAAGTAACTGCTTTGTTGCCTAACTTGGTGAGTAGTGCGAAGAGGCCCAAATGGGGAAGAAACAGCTGTGCAGTTCTTCTTGGTCTTCCAATGGTTCTCTACCTGATTTCAGCTCGTGATCAAACCTGCATCCACTCAAATCCATGCAAACCAATACTTGTTATGGAATTATTTATTCATATTTGTGATTTCGCGTTGACATCTGTGGAGAATTACCTAGCCTCAATTAGAACATATGGGCTGTTTGCTGAACGGTGAATGTCTTTACCCTTATTACTTGTTTGATGGCTCAGTATCCTAATGGATAATACTTTAGAATTTGAAGCGAGAGATACTGCACCGCGTCCCATTGGAGACAGTGCCCCTCTCTGGGGATGCAGCTACTTCCAGCTAAGAAGTCACAGATGGATGAGAGCGGGAAACGAGTCATGAGTTCTGCTGCTAGCCACCATCATAGAAGTAACTTTGAGTGATTATCCTATAGGCAACTTTTTATATTATCATACAGTTTAAGATTATTTACATACGTCAATAAGCACACAGAGACTGAAATTCTGTCGGTCATCAGATCATAAAACAGTAAAGTTAACTAACTCTGTTGTACCTACACCTGTGCCCAACAGTAGACGGCATAAAACTTAATCAGCATGTTACCGAATGAAGTACTTTGTAGACAGGTTTACAATTTGCAGTTCACACAGTTCGAGGTGAAATTTACCACAGTTTCCTGTGGGAAACCAAAATTATTTAGATCACAATACCTGATCTTGTTGATACTATGAATGGTAAACAAGAAAGCAAGCATAAATGCGTAATACTATACACAGCTGAAATCGGATGGTTTGAACTTATTCGGCTGTCTAAGCTAAAGTAAAGCGGGTAGACTAACTGATGAGCTCCGTCCCAAAAGAGCGAGACAGCCATCCGTTCGATCTCGTTGGCTAGCAAGCACTAGTGGCTTATAAGCGGCATCCGACTACTCGTCTGGATCAATCAGTGGTAGATAATCTTATGCAATTATGCTCGCTTTATTAATTTGCAAATTGCGAAGTTAATTTAAGTACCTTGTACTGTTTATCGCTTTTAAACTACAGGCAAGGTTAAATTTTGGACACACCAATGAACTTGGAAGGTTCAGCCAGAGCAAGACAGTGCACCTAGGGAAATAACATTATATTCAACAAGAAGAGTGTTGAATGAAATGTGATGATAATAAACAGGATGTCTTCTTTGTTTTAGGTTAGGTTATGGATAGATTAAGCCTAGGTTAAGAGATGTTTAGATTTACTTTAAAATGCAATTTCTTTTTTCAAAGTCATGCGTGCTTTCCCGCTTCTTTGGTATCTAAAGTTGAATGAACATTGTCTAAATTCACTTCTAATTTTTTCTTCATATGATTGTTGACTCATCCCTTAATAACTCTTCGTTTTCTAATTTCATTAACTTGTCTTTTCAACCTCCCCCTTTTTCCATTTGACTGCCATAAGAGAAAAATGTCCTTAAAGTTATGAGTTCTACTCATCATAATTCATCATCTTTTCATTTGACTTCTTGTACACTAAATTTTGACTTTATCTTATCTCTGAGCTTTTACAAATATAGGTAGCTACGTGATTATTATTAACTTTTTGTTACCACCCTAACAACAAATTTGTCAATAAATTTTCGAGAAACTTCTCACTATATATATATATATATCTGTCGAAATTCAACACTGACTTATTTTATTAAAGATTGTAGATTGTATGCAGCGCCAATGTTTGTTCTTTTTCCACTTCAATTTATAAAGGTGAATTACTGTATAAAATTCAAGTTGCTGTGCTTATTTATTTTTAATACATGCAGGAACAACAAATGTCTGAAGCAGTAATACAAGAAATGGATGATAATGAACGTGAAAGATATTTAAAATTAAAAGATTTAAATGCGCATTTATTAAATCAGTTGAGTGAAGGTCAAATTGAACTGGAACGATTAAATACAAGAAAAACTGAACTTGAAGAAGAGTTGGTTACATCACCGGTAAATTTATCTTATTCTCTTTATTCTACGAATTTAATTTATGAAATGAGTATAAGTCTATGACTAGAACTATTTAGTCCCGGGTTAAAAGTGTTATTCTGTGTACTTAAGTCAAAAAGGTATGATAGCATCACATGCGCTTACGAAGTATGACGCAAACATCACAGCCTCATTGATCCTACAAGCATACACTACATGATTCCCGTATCGTAGAAGGCGGTGAAGTTGAAAACAAGTCGTGTATAGTCCCTTGAATTATGTTTTCCCTCTGATCTTTCCTAGTCTTCTCATATCACGGTAATTTCTAGAAGAATATTTCCTCTAATCTTCGACGTAAAAATGTTAAGACAATCTGGTTTTACTCAGTCTCCACTTTTACAGTTTGTTAATTCTTGTATTCTACCTATCCTTCTTTATTGTCCCTTCCACCTTAATCTTTCCTGGGTTAGTAGAGTACCGCCAAACCAACCTGTTATTACTGCTGTAGATAGACAATTGAACTCATGAAAGAAATTGATGGATATCATCTTGTCAGTCTATCAACATCCTCTTTAAACACAATGTGCCCCTAGCATTTCATCAGGTAGGACCAGAAGGAATCATAAAAGACTCTATACTCCAACGTCTATAAAGTATAAAAAACTCTACGATACCTTATACGGCAGGCATTCTGTGTGATGAGAAAATTGTGTTGGGCATGACCTAACAAACTTACTGAGAAACACCAAATAAACGCTCCTTTTCATCCTTTCAATCATTATTATATTGTTATCGTTATTTCTATCAATTTTTATTCTTAATTTTACATTTATATTCTTACTAACGCACCGTCGGTGGCATAGCGGTTAGGACGCTTGCCGACCATGCACATGGTCCGGGGTTCGGTTCACGGTCACAGACGCACTCCTTTACTTCTCTAAACCAGAAATAATGCTGATAAAGAGGAAAGGTTGGGCATGAGGCTAGCAAACCCATCCTGTAAAATAAACACTGCTACAGAGACTTCAAGCCTCTAGCTTGAAGCCCTATGTTCCACTGGGTAGCGTGAGGGAAAATAATTCTTATTGACAATACTATCAATGTAAATGTCCTCTTAAGTATTCCTCCCCCCCCTACTGTGTAATTCAAAGAGAAAATTAAATACACAACATTGTACCATACATTGTTTCAAAAGTACTCTTCGGAATAAAGCTATTATTATTATCATTATCAGTTATTGAAAACAGCCGCCTAAAGACTAAATTTAGTCTAGTGAATCAATATCCGTAATTCCTGATGAGTGTTAAATAGAAATTACTAATGAAACAACAACAACAACAACCTTAGGATAAAATTATTCTAGTAATGCATTGATATTAAAATGTGTAATCTCAAATGAAAATATATATGAGTATGTCTTGTACAGTGTGTATAACACCAATAAAAGTTAAGATAAAAGACATAAAAAAGTCCTAACTTTGTTTGTGTTTGTTAGCTGATATATGTTGAAAAAGATTTAGGGTTAGTCAAACCAAAACCTGAAACCAATCCATGAAGTTTCAGACTGTTGATTAGAGCGACGCAGAGGAGTGTAGACTGCTTGTTTTTAGTCCTTAGGATGCTAAGAACCAATGGCTGGAGACTATTGGTGAAATGGCTCAAGGTCGTTGTCAGTAGCAGAGACTCATTCACTGTTTGTGATCTCCCCCCATATGCACCAAACCCCATGTTTTCCCATTTTACTTTTTATTCTCCACATTTTTTTTATTGCAGTTGTTTTTTTAAATCTCTTTTTCACTACCATTGTGTGTTACATAGAGTGTGGCAACTTGAACTACTGCACTTCTGTGCTAAGCTTTACGTCGAAACTCAATCAGTGTATGCGTCTAAAAGGTCTAAAATCAACTTTATTCTGTGTTGAACAGTTTCTACTATGAAACTGTTTACGCCTGTAACAGTGTCCACCATTTTTAAAACAATCCTTTTACTGATGTTAATACTTAATACTGATACATTTTCTCTCATTATCAGCAATCACTAACTTGAATTTTGATCTTGTTAGATTGTACGGATATCAGTTAAATTTATTCTAGATTTCCTTGTGAAGAATCAACATGAGTTAGAAAATCTCATTGAAAACCATGAAGCACTAAGGCGATAGGCGTTTTATCTGAGTTTGAGACTCTTCAGTATTGCGAGTTGGCTATTCCAACCAATTCCTTTGTGGCTATGATGTGGGATCATTCAGCCTGCCACTAGGCAGGAATCCAATGACTCATGAATATCTAACTTAACAACCTGTCGCTAGGTTTACTGTATATATTATACTAGTGATATTGTAGAAGATTACAGTGAACTATAGTGAATGACTAACTAAACGCTGCATTCATTCTACTGTATGCAAATAATACTGGCCATTCTATATTAGAGATATGCTGTTTTTCTTTTTTTCTTTCTGTTGCCTTTTAGCAGTGGCTTTACCAGTTAAATATTAGACCACCATTATAATCTATGGAGTTTCGTTGGTTCATTGGTAGAATGTTCATCAGTTAACCAGGTGGTCGAGATATACGATTCTCGACCGACGCACTCCCCTATAAATGGTCTAGTATGCTGGCCGATAGTATATCCAAAAAGAGAGACAGAAGAATAGACGTGAGGCTAGCAACCACTGCTACTGAAACTTCAAAGCCTGAAGTCTAATGTCCCACTTCGGACGAAAAGGAATGAAAAAACAATATAACATATGCATCAGTTAAATCTACTGCTATAAATAGTACACACTATAAAATTATTTGGCTGTCCAAACCGTGCTAGGTGAAGCATGATTTTTAAGTCTTTCACCTACTAGTTAAGCGTTGAATGATGAACATATCTAGAAAGAAGTTTAATACACGTGTCCATCAATTTTTTTCCTTTTTAGTAAATGTTTTTTATTTTTTCAACTACTGTTTTGTCTCTCTTTTGCCATTGAACAAGATAAAACAAGAAGCAATGCATCTTTTTACACAACTTCGGGAAGTTGAAAGTAGACGAGATCAGTTATTAGCTGAAGAAGTGTCTAAAGAAGATCCACAAAAAGAACGCCAGCGTTTATTACAACAAGTTCGAAGTGATAATCAAGAAATTGCAGCAATCGATAAACAGTAAGATATGGATTGAGAGTTCTTTTAGTTTTGATTATTATGTGGTGAGAGCTGGCTGCTAGCCAAAATGGTAGACAGTAATTTACGTCAATGTTTATGTCCCAAATATTGGTCGTGAGAAAAAAGGAACAAAGACTTTGCGTAGGTGCATACAGATGATCTGACATTCAAAAAACAGTCACAAAGAGATGAAAGATTAATTTTCAGTGAGAAACAACCAATCAGAAGGCTGTGTTTTCCTGCTAACAATAATCCATAACAATGTACATGGAAATCGATAAATATGTGTGGATTTCCTTAATAAACGATCTGTTACCTGACTCTTGCCTTTTGTCGTTACAATTATATAATCTGGTTTTTTTAACAGACCAATTAGATGACTTAGACGAGCTGGTTTTCCTGTTGGCCTCAACTAGAAATAACCCTCATGATTTTTGTACGGCCACCTATCATGCCAGATCTGCTAATTTTGCCATATGACTAGCTAGCTCTTCAGCCTGGCTAATCCTCGACTGATGATAGTTAGGTTGCTGTAAACACCATCTAAACTAATGAAGACAGAACTTAATACTTTCGTCTGTTCAATGTTATATTGAGTTAACGATAGTACTAATACATGATACATAATCACAGCACAAGGCAGCGCTCAGGCTCTTGTTCCTTGAAAATTCGATGGTCTGCAAAGTCTTTTCGGATCCCAATCAGTAAAGATAAACAAAAGTAGTGGCCTTACCTGGTGGCCTGCTGGAATCGCTGGGCTACATGTATTTTCACCTGGCGCGTAATCTATCAAATTTCCTCTAATTCTTATTGCTTTAACCACTCACTTATGTCCTTGACTTACGAAATGTGCTAAGGTGCATTTTTAAATAGCTTTCAAACTGCCAGTGGGTATGTCTTGGAGACGAAGAAAAAATATCATAAGAGATTAATTTTCAAGGGTTGGTTTGTGAGGGTTAGATTTATTTATACGAGTTTGACCATGGATTGATATCAGTTACAGAACCATTGAAAACCTAGGGGTATTGAACAGCTGTTTCATCCTAGTTTGATATAATTATGAGCAATAGTTGGTGCTCGAAACATCATCAGTTAGTATTACTGTATAACACTGTGTGATTGGTCAAAATAAAATCTTATATATAGTGGAGTTATACTCTACCATAGTGCCCAGATTTTATACTTATATCAATAGTTTGGAGATCATCGGCAGTACGCACCCCCTGGGGTTAGAACCCAGGACTTTCCTGTTACAAGGCAAGCTCATTTACCATTCAGTCTCTGGGACCCGATTCAATGACCCATGAATTCTAACCTCTGCCACGTCATGACTTTAGCGCCACCAATAACTAATGTTCAAACCCCAGGTGGTACGTACTGCCGATGATTCCCAAACTAGGATGAAACAGCTGTCCAATAATCTTAGGTTTTCAATGGTTCTGTAACTGATATCAATCCTTGGTCAAACTTCAAAAAAAAACATAAGACATTAGTCAATACTTTAGATAGAACAGCAATCAGTCACATTGTGGTGATGTGATACAAACAATGTATTCCAACGGAATATTATTCTCACATATTCCCGAAGTTCAACACTGCATTAGCAGCAGAATACAATATATATGTATTATAGAGAAGATTTGTAGCTCAGGTGGATGATTTTTTTGATGTGGTTTTGTTCTCTGAGCTGGATGGTTAGTTTGCGAAGCTTTCATCACCTTACTGGGTGACATCTTCAGCGCATACTTCAATTTGAAGTGAGCTTTTAGATTTCTCCACGAGTTTATTAATCATCTCTCCTGGTGACCTTGGACGTGATTGGTTGTTTGTGTGTGTTTTCACACCTTCTAGGTTACTTGTATTGGAACCGGTTGTTTCTTTGACTTGAATTTTGACCCTTTGTCTGTGAAGTTTCTTTCTTATTGGTTGATAAATTTTGTCTATGTCGATGTGTCTCTTGATTGATGATCCACTGGAATGCCAAGCTTCTAAAAATTCTCTAGCATTCTTGTTATTTCCTTTGTCTAATATTTGAACGTAGTCCCAGACAACTACGGACATCAATTCGACTGGGACAACGTTCAAATATTAGACAAAGGAAATAACAAGAATGCTAGAGAATTTTTAGAAGCTTGGCATTCCAGTGGATCATCAATCAATAGACACATCGACATAGACAAAATTTATCAACCAATAAGAAAGAAACTTCACAGACAAAGGGTCAAAATTCAAGTCAAAGAAACAACCGGTTCCAATACAAGTAACCTAGAAGGTGTGAAAACACACACAAACAACCAATCACGTCCAAGGTCACCAGGAGAGATGATTAATAAACTCGTGGAGAAATCTAAAAGCTCACTTCAAATTGAAGTATGCGCTGAAGATGTCACCCAGTAAGGTGATGAAAGCTTCGCAAACTAACCATCCAGCTCAGAGAACAAAACCACATCAAAATCATCCACCTGAGCTACAAATCTTCTCTATAATATCTAAATCTTACGAGCGGGATACGCTTCTCTCTGTTCGAAAGTGGGAAGACTTCGCCAAAAGGCAAGGATCCACCAGAGAACAATTATTCTTTCTCCATGAGTGCCTTCGTCATTCAATCCTACCAAACAGTGTAAGATACAAACCACCAGTCAACTGCCCAATGGGATGGAAATTGGCCGAACAATGTGGAAGACGAATGGTCAAATTAATGATTACAGATGCACATTATCGGATCAACAAATATCAACAAATTATAGATATCCAAAAAGCAAAATTAGAGAAAACCCTCAACCAGGAACACCTGTCAACGCTGATCACCGCAATTACACTGTCAAGTGAAAAACACAGAGAACAAAGACGAAGAGTCCTCAAAACCAAGCTAGCCAAGATTAGAAAACAACAACCAGACAATACGCCCATAGACTGCGTAGTCAACCTATCAAAACAACCACTATCAAAAATGGAACAACAACTACTACAAAAAGGATTAAACTACAACACCGGAGATGCTTCAAAAACTGATTTCTTCGCTGCCCTTGAATCATTACTCAAATCATCAAACTTGAACGAGGAAACACAGGAAGAGATACGCCAAACAATTGTACCAATGGTCAAACAGAAAAGACAACACACACAACTCAACTCTCAAGAACTAAAGGCCCTCAAAAAGCTGAAAAATAGGAAGGACATCGTCATTTTACCAGCCGACAAAGGAAGAACAACAGTAGTCATGGACAGAGAAGAATATACCAAGAAAGCTGAAGAACTACTCAAAGATGAAGATGTATATCAACAACTCCCAACAAATCCCATACAAACATTGGATAACCGCATCCAAAGGACCTTAAACAAGCTCACCAAAACTGGACAGATCACAAAACAAGACCAATGGCGAATGAAATCCAATGGACCAGTCCTACCTCGATTCTACGGCAGACCCAAAATACACAAGGCAAATATCCCGTTACGACCAATTGTATCACTCCCAGGAACTCCAACATATAATTTATCCAAAGAATTATACAGAAAACTAAAACACCTAACGGAATCTTGCGATCACTCCATCAACTCTGCTATCCAATTCCTAGAGAAAATCAGAGGCATCCAAATAGATGAACAAGAAATAATGGTATCATTCGACGTGACAGCATTATATACATCCATCGGACAAAACCTAGCAAAAGAAACCATGGAGCAACTACTTAGCAACGACGAACAACTGCCACAACAATCAAAAATGCAACACACAAGCTGGATGGAATGCATAAATCTATGCCTAACAACATACTTCCAATTCAACGGCCAAATATATGAACAAGTCAAAGGAACACCCATGGGATCGCCAATATCAGGTTTGATTGCAGAAGCAGTGATGCAAAGACTCGAAAACATAATTCTACCAAAGATCAAACCCAAGATTTGGATACGCTACGTCGACGACACATTTGTAATCATCAAAAGAAACGAATTAGATAAAACTCACAACTTAATAAACAACGTCTTCAACGACATCAAATTCACAAGAGAAGAGGAATCCGAGAACAAAATACCATTTTTGGACGTCTTAGTCAGGCGAACAACTACAGGAGAATTAGAAACTCAAGTTTATAGGAAATCAACTCACACAGACCAAATACTGAATTACAACAGCAACAACCCAATAACACACAAAAGGAACTGCATACAAACACTATTCAAGAGGGCAAGGACTCACTGCAGCACTCCCACCTTAAGAAAAATTGAAGAAAAGTATCTCATGGACGTCTTCCAAAAGAATGGATATCCACGGAATTTCATCAAGAGACATATACCCCCAAGCCAACCTACCAAAGCAAAAGCCACCAAGGAGAACACAAAGAAAATTGCCTTACCATATATAAAAGATATCTCAGAAATCACTACAAGACTCTTCAAACCTTTAGGAGTTGACGTCGTACACAAACCAACAAAGTCGCTTCACTCAATTCTATGTCAACCAAAAGACTCAACAGCGAAAGAAGATAAAACCAACATCATCTACAAAATAAACTGTAACAACTGCGAAAAACACTACATCGGCCAAAGTGGACGTCCCCTTCGTCTTCGTATCCACGAACATAAGCTAGCCGTCAAAAGACATGATATCCACTCCCTCATTTCACTACACACAGACAACTACGGACATCAATTCGACTGGGACAACGTTCAAATATTAGACAAAGGAAATAACAAGAATGCTAGAGAATTTTTAGAAGCTTGGCATTCCAGTGAATCATCAATCAATAGACACATCGAGATAGACAAAATTTATCAACCAATAAGAAAGAAACTTCACAGACAAAGGGTCAAAATTCAAGTCAAAGAAACAACCGGTTCCAATACAAGTAACCTAGAAGGTGTGAAAACACACACAAACAACCAATCACGTCCAAGGTCACCAGGAGAGATGATTAATAAACTCGTGGAGAAATCTAAAAGCTCACTTCAAATTGAAGTATGCGCTGAAGATGTCACCCAGTAAGGTGATGAAAGCTTCGCAAACTAACCATCCAGCTCAGAGAACAAAACCACATCAAAAAAACAATATATATGTATTTGAACATTCTGTTTCATGTCGTTTAATGTAAACCAAAGTCACACGCTCAGTGATTGGTTAAAGAATATAAACTGTATAGATATAAATAGCGGTGTGATCACTTGAAAGTATACTTTGACTCCCGTGTCTTGCCTTCTGCTGTTACAACATTATTTACTATAGACCACTATTTTATTGAATTTGAGATCTTCCCGTCGATTGATTGGACCGAAGTGCTCGGTCTGGGTACTGGGTTCGAGCCCCGGTGGGAACATCATCACTCACTGAGAAATGCAGGTACATCCAGATGACGAGTCCCAAATAGGACGAAATGTGCATCCTGGATACCACTGCTAGTCACCATCCACCAATTAGATCGCTATTTTATTTGAGGATTCTGGATGAAGAATATTACGCAGTAAACTGAGCTGAGAATTATGTTCATTGTATAGGCATTTTGTGTAGAATAAAATTATTATTATTAAATAAAACTTCATATTAGGTATTCTTATGAACAGGAAAGTGAATGAGAGTCAGATCAGAGATTTAAATCTACTCAAATACGCTATTAGTGACCAAAACCGACTGGTAGAAAAAATCCATTCGTAGCGTTATTCTGTTGTCTCATCTTGTGGAGACAGAATACAAGACTGACGTTAACCACGCTTTCAGGGTCATTTACCGCATACCTAAGAATCTCAATTTCGCCTTAAGAGTTCGACTAATAAATATTGTTGAGGTTGGCTGTGGGGATCCATATTAACAAGCCTAATTTATGCATCCAAAAGAAGTTAGTTCAGACATTATCATTACCTTGGCCATCCAGGTTTGAATTATCCTGAATTTTTGTGAAATTTCCCTAATTTTAGTTGATATTCTATTCGTTATTATATCTTTATTACTATTATAAAGTAAGTATTTTTAGTGAACTGTGATTGCATTGATCATACTTTACAAATCGATATTGTTTTTAAAAAAACACTAATATTGTTACTAACTACTAATCTAGAATATTCTGTGTATATAAACATTTATATAATTGTAGAGCCGGAAAAGGAATTTATCGTAAAGAATATTCTTTGCTCGATTATTTTGTGTTTTATAAAATAATGATATTCAGTCTAAGAGAAAACGGGTGATAATTACAACATTACTCGAAATATCCAAATAAGTATAAATATTTTTATTAGATTGTTCAAGAAGGATTTTCCAGACAATTTTTCCGTTACCTCACAAGCGTAGTGTATCACAGATTTTTGTCGTTTTAGAGTTCCGAACTGTAGGGTTAAGCATTCTAGCTAAGAATGCAAAGTAGTATTTCTGATTAATTTTTCATACCTGAACTGTACACGATTTGTATATGTCCGAGTTCGATATGCACGCCAATGATGCTGCTGTTGACGCTCATATAAACGAATAGAAATAATAATAGTTTCTTTGAAACTGAAGATATTCAACACACAACATTATTTTTACGTGTTTTTTATTGCATCTTTTTGAATGATTCAATTTTCTTCACGTCAAACTCAGTGGTTTGAGAGTAGTTCGAATACTTATTATATTGAGGTTTCTTTAAACTGGAGACATGTAATAATGCTATCGATTTCTTGGTTGCCATTCATGGTATCAAGCACATTGCAATTTATGATCTGGGGAATTTAGGTTTCAAAGGAAACTTTGAAGTGTGTAAATTACAAATCGCTAATTAATTTGTAGAAAGGCAAAGAGAAAACCTTGATTTCACATATTACCAGTTTGCCCAACTAGCTAGCCAAAATTCAGATGGCGTGAAGTGATTCATCTATGTGAGATGAATCAAACCGGCAACACTGCTGAGAAGCTCGATCTCAAGCGACCGAAATAATTGCCTGGTGTTTAGCTGACTATAATCTTGCTGGCTATTAAGCACTACCGATTAATACAATTGGTAACTAACTACTTATATCAACCAATCAGTAGTATAAGTAGCAGAGTGCAATAAACAATCAAATCTCTGCAAATTGACACTAGAATACCATTGATGTATGCATGGTAATACTACAGTCTTTTGATAGTCAGTGACTTTTATGATTGCCCGTAGCTTGTTTATCGTGGATAAATCCATAAATAAGGAAATTCTAACAGCTGATGTTTGCAAAAAATATTACTTTGTTTAAAAGCTTATCATTTTGTATAATCCAATGTGCTGATAACAAAGAGACATTTTCTTTTCTCTTTGAAACTTAGAATACATGAAATCCAAGAGAAGATGACAAATAAAGAAGAAGAACTAAGATTATTAGAACAAGAATTAGATGAAAGTCGTAATGAAAGAAGTCAAAAATATCGTGAACTAAGAAAACGTGAACATCAAATCGATGAATTTTTAAAAACATTTGATAGTGTTAAGGTATTTCTTTTTCATTTCTAATTATATTTGTGTAAGTGTTTTTCTAGCGTCAGTGGCACAGCGGTTAAGACGCTCGCCGACCATGCACATGGTCCGGGGTTCCATCCCCGGCCGACGAACTCCTTTACCTCGCTAAACCAGAAATAATGCTGATAAAGAGGAAAGGTTGGGCATGAGGCTAGCAACCCCATGCTGTAAAATTAAACACTGCTGCAGAAACTTCAAGCCACTACCTTGAGACCCTATGTTCCACTGGGAACGTGAAGGAAACAAAAAAAGTGTTTTTCTACATCTCAATAACATTTTAACTGAGTGACATGAATATATTTTATGTTAACTATCCTGGGTTAATCGTATGACTCGTTGGCTTGAGCAGGTTAAAGCCTGACTTCGGCTACCTATTCTTAAAATAAAATCAGTTAGTGCGGTGTAGTGTCCACTGATTTCTAGTTTACAGGTAACAAGTGAATCCTAATGAACTGCGTGCCGAAAAATTCTCAGAATCGAGGAGAATGCCTCATTTTGTTTTCACCATATTATGTCACACTTGGTGAAGGCATAATATCCAAGTGGCCAGTTAAATAGTGTGTGTTCTGCTCAGCAGTCCGTTCTGTTTTAATTTAAGCAGTTGAGCGATGACTTCTGAAAGCAGATTTGAAAGGATCAGTGTTTTTTGATCATAGATACCTTCATCTAGTTGCTTACGTGCAGTGGAGGAAAAATGAGTAATGTTATGTTATTGCAAACTTTGCTGATAAAATTCAGTCTTTACGAGTTGATCACGGATTGATATCAGTAAGAGAATCAATCCGTGATCAACTCATAAAAACAAAACTAACCCTTACAAACCAAACTATAGAAAATTTAGTCTGCACCAATACCAAGGACGAGGTATTACATTATTTGCTATATAGTGTCAAATCAAAGTATCCATTACAGTCCTATAGGAATCTATTGCGAGCCCGATTAGCTCCGTGGTACCCTCTCTGACTGCAGCATTAGTTAACCCGAGGTCGAATCTCACAAAGGACTTGGATTCCATTGACGATGCAGATACGTCCTGCTGGTGACTGCCAAGAAGCACGTGACCTACGTCCAAGGCATCTTTCCAACTGCCTCAAACCATACAACAATGTTATATCAAAGACGATTAGCTTGGAAGAAACATCAGTCCATGAAGTTACTGACTGCTGGTCTGAGATGCATAGTGTCCATCTGAAATCCCTAGTAATCTAAGAATCAATAATGACATTTGATAAAGTGACGGAAAATCATCCCAAGAGTGGAGAAATGGGACTGCATCTTCTTCGTCCCCCAATTATAACTAGGCCCGCCTTTACATAAAACGGATGATATGAATTAAACTCTAACAAACCGAGTAATAGCACTAGGTAGCACAAAAAGGAACTAAACGATGAAATGAAACAGATAGGATAAGCGTTGGTATCAAATAACTATCCTATAAAATTCATTAGGAATATCAAAAAGGGTCAAAAGCAAAATAAAAATAATGGAGAAACTATTGATGATAACATAAATAAGAGAGAATATAAGGCATCTACAGTTACACCATATGAGGAGGGAACATCTGAGACCCTACGTACGATTCTTAATAAAGCAGGAATTAGGGTGGCATTCAAACCTAAAAACTCACTCAGAGACAAGCTCTGTAGCTCTGTAGACTAAAAGACCCGGCGGACCCGATTAAACAAAATAATACAATTTACAAAATACCCTTCAATGACTATGGGTGAGGACAACTATATAGGTCAAACTAGTAGATCGGGGATAATCAGATTGGCGGAACATAAGAATTTGGCTAAGGTAAGAATAGTTGACCCCGAGAAGATAGGTAATTTAGAAAAAAGTTCAGCAATCGCACTACATGCATTAACACACAACCACACAGTAGGGTGGGAGAGGGGTTAAGATTCTAAGAAGTAACCTATGTAGATGGAGAGAGAGATTGATTACTGAATCCTGCCTGGTTCATCGAGTCTACACTCAACATATGCAACAGAAAATACTCAATACAAATATGAAAGATATTATCACCACCAGTCAAATCAGAAGAGGATAATAAATATTCCTAAAATTCTATTTCATTTCACGTTCATCATAACATTCTAACAGGTTACTTATTTTGACTATAAAAACACTCGTCCGATTTCCCATCTTATTGTGTTTGATTGATAACACTAATATTATTCGTGAATGTACATTATCTTATATTGATTTTTATTCAAATGTCTAATCAATTTCACTCATGTATATGAATGAAGTAAAAGGTTGCGTGAGTGACTTGATATGATAATAAGCAATAGTTTGTGCTCGAAACATCATCGGTTTATATTACTGTATAACACTGTGCGATTTATCAAAATAAAATCTTTTATATAGTGGAGGTATACTCTACCACAGTGCCAAAATTTTATACTCATTTTCGTTTCGTTCTTCTATACGTGCTTTACTGAAGTGTAGTCATTTGAACTTGTGCACTACCGTCAACCAATTCCTTCAATGAGCGTCAACGTCATCTTGAAAATGGTGAATCCATAATCTAAACACTAACAACGCGCCCAACAATACCAACAACGGAAGCAGAACTACCAGTGAACATCGACCCCCCGACGAAATCAGAAGTCCTGAATGCAATCAAGTTGCTAAAAGCTGGGAAAGTAGCAGGACCAGATGGAATCCTAGCGGAAGCATTGAAAATGGACCCAGAGACAACAGCGGACTTGAGGACGCCATTGCTGGAGAAGGTGTGGAAAGAGGGCAAAGTACGCGAGGATTAGAAGAAAGGATACTTATTCCAACTACCAAAGAAAGGAGACTTAAGTCAATGGAAAAACTGGCGCGTAATTATGCTCCTGTCCATCCCAAGCAAAATACTAAGCCGCATCATTCTGGAGAGAATCAAACACGTCAAAATGGATAAAAACTTCCACCGAAACAAGCTGGATTCAGGAGAAACAAGTAATGTATTGATCAAATCGCCATTCTACGGATCATCATTGAACAAAGCTTGGAATCGCAGTCAGTTACCTCTCTACCTCAACTTCATCGACTTTGAAAAGGCCTTCGACAGTGCAGCGTCGATCGAGATCGGCAACTACTTCGCTACTACGGGGTCCCATCGACAATTATACATCTCATCCGACAGTTGTACGACAATGCTGCATTCCAAGTAATCCACAACGGGAAACTTACGGATTCCTTCGAAGTGAGGACGGGAGTAAGGCAAGGCTGTCTACTATCGCCAATGATCTTCCTGATTGCAGTAGATTGCATAATGCGACAGACAACGGGCAATGAGGAGACAGGCATAAAATGGACTCACACAAAACTTGGAGGATCTGGACTTCGCCGATGATATATGTCTGATTTCTCACAAACTGAAAGATACTCGATTGAAAAGCAACAAGCTAGCAGAAAAAGCATCAAAGATAGGACTTCAAGTGAACATAGATAAAACAGAGGTGATGAGGATTCCTGGTCAACAGGAACAGCAACAACAACAGACAACATCCAGCCAGCATAAATGGGAGGAACCTGAAAGAAACAACCTCCTTTACCTACCGATCTGTGGAGCATCGTTCCAACTACAGGCGGACGGGACTGACGAGGATATCAAAGCCAGAATCAGAAAAGCAAGACAAGCTCTCATTACTCGTAAGTCTGTGTGGAGGTCAACAGCACTCAGCATCAAAAATAAGATCCGGATTTTCAACTCCAATGTGAAATCAGTCAGTGCTACTTACGATACGGATCAGAGACTTGGCCAGCGCGTCATAAAGAGCACCTCAAACAAACTTCAGACCTTCTCTAACAGCTGTCTTCGCTCAATACTGAAGGTCAGATGGCCGGCCAGGAAAGATCAGCAACAGGGAGAGATCTCTAGGAGCGAACCAACCCAGCAGGAACCGATTGTGAAACAAATAGGCAGGACGAAGTGGAGATGGATCGGCTGGCCATACTCTGAGGAAACAAATCATCAAGTGACATCACTAGACAAGCCATTGCTCGAGTGGAACGCGAAAGGGAAGCGGTGAGTTGGTGGTCAGTGCGAGGGTGACTTGGAGGAGGTCATGTGAAGAGGCGATGAAAGCATGTGGGCAGAATTGGAGCGGGGTGAAAAAGTTGGCAGAAAACCGAAGGCAACGGAGACGTGCAGCTGAAGCCCTATATTCCTCTAGCAATTAAAAGATATTAGTATAATAATATAAATAATAATAATCTAAACGTCAATCTCCTGCCCACTGATGGCTAGTTAATAGATGCCCTGAAAGGTTTTAACCAGTGGGATCTCTCATATCAAGGTTGTCGGTCATCGGAAGCATTGGTTGGGAGTATCTTTGCATCACGAACTGACAGATATTAAAATCCACAGATGTTTGAATCCCCATCCAAGTGGCTGAACGGTCATCGAGTTTGGTCTAGTTTCATGAAAGTCCTGATTTCGTCTTTTGGTCGGGTCGTGAGCACACACTGGTGAAGAGTCCAAAACTAGAACAAAACCGCCGTTCAGTGCTCCCTGGTTGTCAATTCTATTTTGTTATTATTACCCTTAACGTTTTTCTTTCTTTTTGTTTCAGTCTTTAGAAATATCTGGAATTAGTGAATTAGAGTCAACTATTGTTGAAATCTTAGAAACAACATCACGTTATATTACTAATTTAAATCAAATGACATCAAATTTGAATATGACTGGCAATTTAGACTTATTGTCATCATCATCAGCAACAGCAGCAGGAACGGTATCAACAACAGTGAATTTGTTACGTGAGCAACTCGATTTTAAAACAAATGAAATTGTTAAATCTGAAGAGACTGTGAATAGTTTAGCAAAAGAAAGGTTACGCTTAAATCAAGACTTGTTGAAAGTTGATCATTTAGAGGGAAAAATAACCCAAGTGAGTTGATTAAGTAATCATTTAATGAAATAACTGTCTACTATTTCAAAATCTCATTTTTTAAAGATTTTTTTAAAGCCTTTCTATAGTGAGTGATTATTCTTTTCATCGAGTAGTTGGTTTCCTGGTTTAATCGATTGTACTTTATTAATTAAGTGACTCGTAGGTGGGGATTTCACAGCGTCTAGTGAGCAGCGAGTTAGTACAAATAATGTTGAATTAATGAGTGTAGAGCATTGCCAAGTAGGTATAAATGCTAGCGATGATGGTATTACACTTCTGTTTCCTTTCTCATTTCAAACACTAGAACACTTTCCTGTAGAAATAAATGTCATTATCCTATGAGAAAGTGGTGAGTCAACGGGTCAGCAGTAGAACGCTCATCGACCACGCCAATAGTTCTGGATTCAATTACCAGCCGATGCATTCCTAAACCTCACCTGGCTGGTAGTAACCCCTATAAAAAGGGAAGGTTTAGCTAGATGACTAGACTAGCTACCCCGACCCGTAAATATAAAAAAATAACCGCTGGGACTTTAAAGCTCAAAGCCTGGAGTCCTATGTTGTACTTGGAAGGTAGAGGAATAGGAAAAATAAGTGATATCGTGACTCCTTTTGTGATATTTAAACAAAATAATGATGTACTTTACACGAACTGTATTGTTGCACATTACTTAGAGTTCAGAAATTCAACTTATTGGATCTGAAAGTGTTCATTTATACAAACTTTATGAAGTAATTACCATTCAGCTAGGTTGGATAAAACAAGGTAGGCTTTGATGAGAAATACTCCCTGATGATAGTGGATAGTGATTGCGTTATACTGCGAAACAGTGAAAGTTGTGTAGCACAGATGATTTTGTACCGGTAAAAGACAAAAGATTTGGTAACGGAAAGTTTATTTGGAATTTGATATCACTAAATAGGGAAATTATGTACACCTTATCTTCAAATCACCATTTGCGTAAATCTTCCGTGTTATGCTACTTCTGTCCTTCATTATTGTATTTCTTTGTCTTCTTTTCGTGTATCCCATGTTTTGCCGCAACACTGGTTCATTTTCTCTCTTTAAGGTAAAATCCATCTCTCCGCTATTTGATATTTTTGTGCCTATGAACGCCTTTTTATATCCTACCGATAAATCTTTTCAGTAGCACATGCCATAGTAGTAGTAGTAGTAGTTCAATGATCACCTGCTCACCTTGTTATCTCATGAATATAGTCTCATTCCAGCGCATAGTAACGAGTGGATACTGGTAAACAGTCACCAACTAGAGTCTGACACTTGTTCAGTATGCTTTAAAATGGATTCTTTTTATCAATCACTATGGAAAAATAAGGAAGATTTTTTTCAGTTATTTCATTATGTGATTTTCTTACTTCATATCTACGGTTTTCGTTTTGTTCTAAATAAACAACTGATCAAAAATTCTATTCACATTTGTGTTTTTGTTAAAAGGAAACGGAAACTCTCAGAAAACGTATTGCTAAAATGGAGGAAGAGGTTATCATTTTCAGTGATTTAGATAAAGTTCGTGAAGAAGCTAATTTCAAAAGACAAACTGTAAGTTTTTCTCAATGGATATTATTCTCTTTTGTTTTAAACCCGTGGTAAAAGGATTCTACGTTAGTCTTTTCACCTGTTGTATTCACTTTTAACCATAAGTTTCTTTCATAAGATAGCTTGAATAGTAGATGCTTTTAATTGTAACCAGGAGCTGAGTTCATTTAGAGAACCAATGGAAACCAAAGAGTATACGACAGCTATTTCGCCCCATCCTGTGACTCTTCAATGGTACGCTCCCATCAGGGTTCAAACCTAGAACTGGTTACAAGCCACTAGGACACGATTCACTGGGCTATGAATTCCAACTTTTGCCAACTCGCAATATATAGTGCAATGGCTAGCCAGTGTCATCAACAGGTAATTGTCCTGGTGACTCTAAACTATAGCAGCCCAAAACGAAACTACCCAATGAACGGATTAATGACCTTGGGCGACCAGCCAGATGAGTTCGTATTATATAGGCGGAATTATGGATGATGTGCAAGAATTACGCAGCAAATTCCATCCAAACCTAGTACCTAAGTACTGCTTGTAAGGGAGAAAACGTGTATCCAACTGTCGTCCCTGGACTATACTCATAACGGAGTGAATAATATGGACGACTTCGTTAATCCTTTCGATGAGACTGACATAAATTCCGCTGAAAGTTCCTAGAGTCATCTAAAAAAGATGATCGGAACGGTAAATGAGTCGCGAAACACGATTACTTACAGTTATCTCAATGAATTTACGTATAGAAATTGGTTTAACCTAACTATGAGGATTCATGAGAGAAATTGGAAGCTTTTCTTGGAACACATATAAGGAAGTTATTCTATGGAACTACTTCTTACTTATATATAAAACTCTTTTCAAATTACACTTTTGCTTCTGACTCGTCTGATTGGTCGATACAGATTCGTCAGGGTCTGTATTAGGTTGTTTGATTTTGGGCTGTTATAGCTTAGAGTAACCTCTGTCCTGTTACCTGACTTGGAAGAACACAGTGGGTTCGAACCGCAGTGATTGCATACTGACGAAGAGTCCCAAACGAGGATGAAACGGCTGTTCAGTACTTCCTGATTGTTTCTGATAGTTTTTTAACTGATGTCAGCTGGTGATCAAATTTGAAATCATTATTATTCTTCTTGGCAAAAGACTGTATTTCCCTCAACATTTTGGTTATCTGTTGTTTTTCATTTTCCTTTCTTGTTTCAATTTTCAGTTGAATGCAGAGAAATCCCGCTTAAATGTCTATCGTGATAATTTAAACAAACTAAATCAGCAATTAGCTACAGAATATTCGAATTTACAGACAAATTTAACTGGACAGGATACACATATGCATTTAACAAATTTAGAACGTCGTTGGGCACAAAATGAACAAATTAATTATAGTTTAAGAGAATTTATAGCAAATAAACGTTTAGAAACAGATCACACACAATTAGCTAGACGTGCAATGCAGCTAGTTAAAGATTATAATGAAAATTTAAAAACTTCTCTTGAGTCTAAACCTGTGATTACATAATCATAGTTCGGTGTGTGTTGCTGGGAATAATAGTAATTATATCGTGTACATGCAGATATTGTTTGTCATTCTCTTACACTGTTTTATGGTTGTTGTATAAGCACGGGTATATACTTGTAATCAGTTATTCTCGGATTTGTTCAAAGGTATTGGCAAAATTAGTCGCTGTATCTGTTTATGAAAAGGAAGATATTATATTTTAAGTGTGCGTCGATGGTACACCGGTACATTGCTCACCAAGCACGCTGGTGGTCCGGGATTCAATCTCCCGCCGACGGACTCTTTTACCCCGCCAAGCCAGTAATAAGACTGGTAAAGAGGGAAGGTTGGGCATGAGGCTAGCAACCCTATCCTGTAAAATTAAACACTGCTGCAGAAACTTCAAGCCACTAGCTTGAGGCCCTATGTTCCACTGGGGAACGTGAAGGAATAAAAAATACTCTCAGTTTTCATTTGTGAATGTTTAAAACTGACTCCTCTTTCTGAGTTGAGTATACACCTCAGATGAGCTCAGTCACGGCCGTCCAGTGGTTAGATTACTTCGATCTAGCCAGCAAACGATACTAATTGATGTGATGAGTAGTCAATTACTTATATTGCATAAATATATTATATACTAGTGAGAACAACGTGTCTGTAGAAAATCTACTCAAAACGAAAAATATGTTAAATTCGTGTATATATGTGTGCCTTCTTAATCACCACCTAGTACGCTTTTGTCGACCATAATTATGTAATAGAATCATCATTACACGCAATCACTTATTTCGCCATCTGATATTTGACTATGAATAAATATTGTAGAATGTGATAATTCAATAGTCACACTTTTCAGGATAAATAAGCATTATTATTCCCAAACAGTAATAACTTGATATCATATAGGGTACTTACCAGTCATAATGTAGATGGCTAGATTAAATTGTTTCCTGTGCTGCACTGCTGATTGATAAACGCTTGAACACTATTGGTAACACTTCATGGGGAAGTGAAGGAAATTAACTAATGTAGGAGATGCAAGAATACCATACCAGATGTAATTCTACTTACAGAAGATGAATGATTTGATGAATTCAGACACTTGGAAAGGATAAGTTCGTGCACATAAGGAAAACTCTACAAATAAGTTGTAGATTGAATGAGAAATCGTAACCTGTAGAACTAAGTAATTTGGTGAAGGAAGTACTGACTGATAATTTCTAAGACCTAATATTAGGGTTGTGAGGTGCCAGACTCCCCTAATAGATCTATCAGCTCGTAAATCATCACCATGATTGTGGAAGCCCTTCCCTTTCATCTTAGAGAAAAGGGGTGATAAGAACTATGGGCATACATACATACATACTGATATATCTAAAATTTGAACAATGTAGTAGTGAACAAGAGTGCTTATTACCACCAATGATATTCCTAATTGTGGTGGACTGACTGGATTACGCGTCACACAGTGAGTGGGAAACGCGAAGACAGGGATATCCTGCACCGACCGACGTGAAGAACCTAGAAGACCTGGATTTCGCTCGTGGATGATTTATGTTTGATATCACACACAATCGAAGACTCAAAAGCGAAAACCGACCTGCAAACTGGTCGAAGAAGCAGCCGGTGGAGACAGGATTCCAGGTGAACATAGACCAGACGGAGGTGATGAAAATAACCAACCAACAACAGCAACAACATCCAACGTCAATCACCATCAATGGGAGGGATTTGAAAGAGGTTACTTCATTCACTTATCTAGGGAGCCTTGTCTCAACTACAGGAGGAGCGGACGAGGATGTAAAATCGAGAATCGGGAAGGCGAGAAACACATTCATCAACCTGAAACCAATCTGGAAATCTTCGTCACTCACCATCAACAACAAAATCCAGTCGGATTTTCAATACAAACATCAAGTCAGTCAGTTCTTCTATACGGATCAGAAACTTGGCGGGCGGGTCACAAAGAATATTTCCAGCAGCCTGTTGCAGACCTTTATCAACAACTAACTGTCTTCGCTCTATACTGAAGATCAGATGGCCGGGCGGGAAAGAATCACCAACAAGAAACTGTGGGAAGAAACAAAACAAGAACGAATCGCCAACCAACAAATATGCAGGAGAAAGTGGAGATGGATTGGACACTGGCTGAGGAGGCCGCTGGGTGACATCGCGCGTCAGGCTATTGCTTGAGTGTAAACCGAAAGGGAAGCGGCGAGTGGGACGTCCAAGAGTGACATGGAGGGGGTCGTGTGAAGAGGAGTTGAAACAGTATGGACTAACATGGATGCAGGCGAGAAATACAGCATAAGCAAGACAAAAGCAAATGGAGACGGGCAGTCGAAACCCTATGTTACACTAGGAACCCAAGGGAACAATAATAACAAATAAGTAGTGAACAGCTATATAATCATTTGTTTGTTGATATCGCACAATGAAACAGTGTTATTTATTGGTTGGGGCTTGGAACACAATTTATTGTTGATAATCATACCAACTATTACTCTATAAAATTTCGACAGTCGGCTTTTATGGTGACTGGCCTATTCAGGTAGTTAACCTGGGGTTCTAGTGGGAAGCCGTGACCAGTAGGGTACAGCAGGTTGAAGATGAGGCAGTAACTCATCGAAGAAGACATTTCGAAGTGGTCGCGCTATATCGTGAATTGGCAGAAGTTAGAAATCAAGGACCATTGGATCGGTTCCCAGTGGCTCAATGGTCTACGAGCCCGCCTTGTAACCAGAAGGTCCTGAGTTCGAACCCCTGTGGATGCGTACTGATGAAGTCCCAAACTAGGACGAAACAGCTGTCCAGCACTCCCAGGTTTTCCAGTGGTTCTCTAACTGATGTCAGCTCATGATGAAATCCTCCATGCAATCAAACAAAATCCCTAGAAAACCAATACTTTTATGGTTCTCTCGTTGTTTTTTGCTATTTTTCATAGGGGTAGTAGAATTGTCCGGATTTCTAGGTGAACAGATGGTGAATCATTTCTATTTTATGTTTTGTCATTTGATTCGATAAGTAAGAGTCTTCTTCCATCCTGTTGCATCCGATTTTAGGATTGCGATTCACCCCAGTCCTACTGTATAGTTGTGTGTAACTGCATGTAGGACTACAGCTGAGCTTTTTTTCTAGCTGACTTATTGCACCCTTTAGGTTTAGATTTAGCTGAGATTTTGTGTTCCCCTTATCTAATATTCACACCCTCCTACTGCTTTGAAATCGCAAGATAAACTAAACTGTTTTGTTTAATGACTTCCACAGAATCCTCTAACGGATGTAACATCTCCACCTTCATTTCTGTCTCAGCAATCGTATGTAGGGTTCCAATCGTTCTCTTTCTATATGGCAGTACTACCGATGTTTTAGAATCTTTCTTCCTGATGTGGTCATCTATCTGTATATGATTGTTATTTATCTCGCCTTTATTGTTCGTCTTATTTTCATACATATAATTTCCTATATACTTTCTGATTAATTTAACCGGGAATTTACTGAGTTTCAGATCATCTCTTATGTATCTTACTTCCTGGCGATTTTCTCTAGTACTATCTAGCTATATGATTGACATAATTCACTGTTCCGATTTGCACTGACATGCATTAGGATGAACCGAAGTCCAAATATTGGATTGAATATAGGGACAGGCCTTCTGTAAAAACTAGTGTTTAACTTCTCATCGTGACTTTCCAACTCCTAAGTAAAGTGAAATGCATCCACTGTTGAAATCGTTTGTTCATCAAGCCTATTTATACATTGTATTTTTATAGGAATGTCAGTGTGTTATCTGCAGACTTTGGAAACAGGGCAGGATATTTCAGTAGCTTACTTCCCCCACTTATCCACAAATATATTTACAACAATTGGACCAGACCATTAGACTCTAAGAGGATAAGAAATGCAAAACATGCAGCCAGATCGTTACGCGCAGTTACATACAACCATACAATAGGATGGGATAAGATGATAGTTTTAAAATCTAGTATAACAGGGTGGGGGTGCAGAGATTAATAACAGAAGCTTTATTTATAAAATCAGCCGAGAATATATGCGATAGGAATGATTCAACGCCTGTCCACCAGAACATCTGGAAAATTCCACTACCTCTATGACGAACTGGAAGAACTAAACTATAAAACTCGAGTTTCGAAGCTATCAAGTGACAACTGATACGATTCAGAGCAACAGATGGTGTTCAAAACCTTGTCGTCCAGTAAGTAATACTGTTTCACTGTGTGATATATCCAATAAAGAAATTCTTATGAAATTATGTGATGCTTTACATTCTACACGCAAACAATGACAGATGATTGGAGGCGATCGACAAGAAGTCTTTGACTTAGATTTCATGCTTTTTGACACTTGTCAGCAAGGCGTATCTGTAACCACGATGAAACCAAAAGCTAGACACATGACATTAGTTACTACCTAGTGTCCATTCAAAACACGCAAACAATCGTCAACGGAGAGAAGTGGAAGTGTCAAACAACGTTAAGGTGACTATTAACATTAAAAATCATAATAATAAAACTTAATAAATATTTATTCACTGAATTAAAGCAATAATGCACAAAAAACCAAACAAAAAGTGAACTAAATGTACAAATTTGTGATGCACTAGTTACTACTGCGAAAGAAATATAAATTCCTAGAGAACAAAAGATAACTTGTTGGGATTTGCTTCAAAAAACAAAGAGGAAGTCCTTCCATTTCAGTCTTTAAAAGGTTTGAAATTTTAATAGCATGAAGAAATTTTGCCATAATATGCAATTTGTTTCCTTTAGCCAATTATTTATGAGGTATAAATATCGCTAACGTAGTGCATCAAATTGAGTTTGAGAGAACCACGAAAATAAAAACAGATGCATCGTTGTAAACTACTAACAAAGGATGAATAAGTAGTTAAAATGACTTTTGAGGATATTTCTTTTTCTTCTTATCATTATTATTAAAAACAAGGTATAGAGTGATGGATTATTTCAACCATATTGCATGCTTGTAGTATGATAGATAGCCAGCAAAGAATATATGTAGATGAGATTGCACATAATGGAAGTTGTGATATTAAATCACAACTTACACATGACGGTGAATGAGTGAGTGTTTGAGAGAGAGTAGCAAGAACAAACACACTAGCAACAAGCAAAAAGACCACCTGATGAAAACAAGCGGTAGAAAACACGCGAAAATAGGTTGTTTTGCGTTGTCCAAAATAAAAAAAGAAATAAATGAATTGACATTATTAGTATTATTATTGTTATTATTATTGGAAAACGAGAGTGAGTATAAAAAACAAACCCAACAATAACTCAAACCTAAATATTGTTACTCAACAACCACTTGCATTTCCATGCAGTTGGCGACGAGTGTGAAGGCTGATAATATTGCTCACGGCCGCCCAAACGTCGATGATGGTGGGTAGGTGGAGCAGGGTTCTAGAACTGTGACTCAATACTACTACTGGTTAGAAGTCGAGGAGTGTCTAGGCGGACAATGAACCACAGCGCCAATCAGAAAAGACACATCAATGGACTCATAAAAGCCAAACAAACAAGAATAATACGATTGCCCAAAGTACAAAGAAACATATATGCACACACAAACAAAATCATATAATAATTTATAATAGATTCGATTTGTAAAAGATAATTAATTAATTAATCTTAAAATAAGGCATAGTGTACCGGGATTTATGAAGCCTGATGATTAGACATAAAGGCGAAACGATTGATTGTTTTAGTCAAGAAAAAGGAAACAAAAGTTTATATGAGGTGTTTTGGTTAAAAAGACAACCGGTGGTAAATAAGCAACAAGTAAATAACAACAATTCAGCTGTTGATAACAGTTAAAAAACGGTTAAAAAAGAAGGTGAGATTGACTAGTTTGCATATTATGAGATAGAGTGAGTGAGAACGAGAGTATTCATTTAACTGCCACTGTTATTATTATTATTATTCTATATGATCGATAGTTTGACAAATAGTCGTTAACTGTAAATCAGGATCACTAGCCCATTTACGATTATCTATTGAAAATTTTAATATATTTTGTTGTTGATGATGATGATGATGCTCATATACACGAATTGAATTAGGTATTTTCAACTGTGAGTGTATATTAATACTTTGATTAGTAGCAGCAGGAGTAATATTAGGATAGTTTCCATTGACAGTTGTACCATTATTATTATTATCATTACTAATATTATTAACGTGATTATCTTCATTATTGTATAATCGCTGACGTTGAAAACGTGGATGATGTGATGTTTTACGTGATAATGATAAGAAGAGTAGACCACTATTATGACCACGAGATGTAGTTGTATAATGACTAGATGTACACATAGATGATGAACGACTCAATGAACTCATGCATCCGGGAAGAATAAATCTATGCAAATCAGGTGGTAACAGATTACGTACATGTGCAGTACGCTTTTGTAAACGTTTTAAACGTGGACTAAAAACTTTATGATCAGCTGTAACGCTATCGTTATTATTACACGATGCATAACGTTGACGATTTAACTGAGAATAAGAATGACGTTCGTCTTCTTCGATAGAATTTGTAAGTCTATAATAAGATTTACAAATAAATAAACAGTGATAATTAATGATATATATATATATATATATATATATATATATATATATATATATTTGATATGTGGAGACTATCAACAGAATCCATCTTATGTCTTGTATAAGATACCTACTGATTCGATGAAAGGTTGTCTTATCAAACTAACTACCAAAGAAGGAGGTCACTTCTTTCACTTGCTTGCGTAGCATCATTTCAACAACAGACAGTGACGCGCGGAGGGGATGCTATAGACAGACAAGATTGAAAAGGCAAAGCATACCTTCATTAGTCAAAAATCAGTGAGGGAATCTGCTGTACTAAGTATAAACAACAAGATTTGGATTTTCAACATTAGCATGAAGTCAATCAATTCTTATGCGCGCTTCAGAGACATGCAGCGACACGAAAACTATTATAAACAGGCTGCTGCAGACTTTCACCAACAGCTGCCTACTTCGCTTCATATTAAAGATTAGATGGAGGAGAGCCAGAAAGGATTAGCGATAAGGGGCTTTGGCGGGTGGTAAACCAACCAAGAACATATCGCACATTATTGGAGATGGATTCAACACACGCTGAGGAGAGCATTGAGTAACAGTGCACATCAGACAGGCCTTCGGGTGCAACCCGAATGGGAAACGACGAGCTGGATGTAAGTCCGAGGGTGACGCGGAGGAGAACAAGTGAGGATGAAATGAAATTTTACGGTCAGTCGAGTGGCCAGCTAAAAACGACTGCAGAGAACACGCTGAAATAGGGATGTGCTCTTGAAGCCCTATGTTCCTTGTCAAACCCAAGGGAATAATAATATCTCTTGTATTGTGGATGCACACCTGTATTCCAGCAAGTGCCGCCTACTGGGGCTCGAAACCAGTATTCAATCGGCAAACTATTATGCAATGGAAACCAGTTGTTGTTAATTGAAATTTATGAGTTTCTCATTGTTTTTTTTAAAGTTTTTATCAGATAGAAATGATTCGTCTCCAGACTTGCTTCTAGAATTGAGTCCCAGATAGTGCCTTTGGAATTAAATCAGTAGTATAAATTCTAAAAACGTCACTAGAATAACAAAGTTTATAAATATACACAACATCTGATATTTGTTTCTCAGTAATTGGCTGAAAGGTTTTAAAACTACAATAATGTTAAACACGCTCAGTTAGTGAAAAGATTTCATTACGAGCTATCATGAAATAAAGAATTATTGAGAACAAAGAAAGGCTAGAAAATCCAGTTTATCGGTCTTTTTTTCCAGTGTTCACCAAAAACTTCTTTAGAAAGGACTCAAGTCTAAGAATATCAAACTACCAAGAGAGCGCCTTATTACTATTCAATGAATACATCAATCGTAATCCAACTTCCGTTCATTAATTATTGATAGAGCTTTGTAACCATCCACTGTCGTCGCCTACAAGTATCCTCTTATCCAACACGGTTTACCCTAACGGTAACACATTCTTATGCATATCGATACAAAGTAGTTCACTTGAAAATACGCAATCTCTTGTTGATATATATATATATATATATATTGGTTACTAGGGTGTTAACAATGTCATCTGTCTATTCTTTACTGGTGCTGACTGAAATTTTCAATGCAGTCATTAATCACGGAGACCCACATTCGTGTTGCACTGTTCTGAATTAGGTGATTGGAGCCAATCAGAAGAAATTCGCGAACCTAGGTTTCGTGCTAACTGGTACTTGTCAACAGGGTGCATATCTTGAAGGGATTGATCGTCCTTTTGAAATTTAAATTCACGTCATCGAGTGCTATCTTCAGCTACATCACCACATTTAAATAAAACTCTCTACAATTGAATAGGAACTGAAATCTAGTCAGCAAACAAGTGGGCCTAGCTAACTTAGTTGATTAACTATCGAGTTTGGAAATTGGAGGGAAGTGATTCAAATGCTATTGCAACCAAGAATATTGAGATATCCACAAGAAAAAGAGAAATCTCATTCACTTATATTCTGTCATAACAGGCTACTAAACATACTTGGCAAGTTTCATGAGATTACATCCCGAATTGACTTTACCAGCATTAACGTCACGATCGTCATCTGTCGCATCGTTGTAAACATGAGAATTATCTATCACTGGCAGTATATTTAAACACGTTGCACTAAGTGAACGGGGCCGGACAAGTAGACAGCCAAGTTGAGGATCGCCAAAATTTTGATATGTCCACTTCTCTACATCTAGTGGAATAAAAGCATAAAACACAATAACAAAAATGATGCTATAATAGACTTATTATCAAAAATAGAGATGGATTGTTTGCAGCTGTTCTATCTCCTATTTTGTTCGAGTGGATAATGATTGTGTATCGGCGATTCGGCAGTAAAATGCTCGGTAATTACTCACGTAGTTTGTGTTCGATTCCTAAACCTCACCTAGCCGGCAGCAGGCCCGGAGAAGAAGGAGAAATGGACATGAGGCTAGTAATAACCGCACCCGGTAAAAAAAGAATAACACCGCTTCTACAGAAACTTTAAAGCTTATTTACAACTTCAAGCCTTATGTTCCATTCGAAACCTAAAAGAATGCAAAAATATGTTCCGTTTGAAATTTGAACCAGTGTAAATTATTGATAAGTTAACTTTGATCAGCTTATACAAATCACTAGGGATTCTCTACATCATTTCATCCTTGTTGTTGTTGCTCCCTTCAGTTCCTAGTGTAACATAGGGCTTCAACTGCCCGTCTCCATTTGCTTTTGTCTTGCTTATGCTGTATTTCTCGCCTGCATCCATGTTCTGTCTGTCTGTTTTCGACATAGAACTTTGCACAAATGTGCGGAAGTTCAAGTCGCCACATTCCGTGTAGCACGCGAAGCAAGAGAAGAAAGTACAAGAAAAGCATAATAGAAACAGTGAGCAGAGGTGTGAGACAAAGGAGTAATAAAGAAATACAAAACAGTTTCATTGGAGATCATAAGTCACAGGGAGTGGATGCATCTGCGCCACTGAGAACGATTTTGAGCCATGTCACCAATTGTTTCCAACCATAGATTTTTACCGTCCCGAGGACCCCAGCCTGGAAGTCTACACCTTCCTACGTGGCTTAGACCAACTGTTGTGGATTTCATTGACTGATGCCAAGTTTTTGTTTGACCGCCGCTAGCTTTTTTCCAGCCTGACCCTATATCCGCTAACATTGCTCGTCGAGGGAGGCGATGGCTTGGCATACGTAACACATGTCCTAACCATCTCAGTCGATGTAGCTTCACGACTTCGTCGATTGATTTCCCCTGTTTACCTAGAACTCTACGCCTAACCTCCATGTTGCTCACCTTATTATGCCACTTTACACGGGAAATAGAACGCAGGCACCTATGATCAAAGACAGCTAGTCTTTTCATGTCTTCCACTCTCAGTGGCCAGGTCTCACAACCATAAAGGAGGACGGAGCGGACTGATGAGCAGTACACCCGCCCTTTGGTCGATAGTCGAACATCTCGTCTACGCCAGAGTCGGCGTAAACTAACAAATGCGAAACGAGCCCCTTGTATTCGTGCTGAGATTTCGTCAGAGATCAGCCCGTTAGGGCTGATGGTACTTCCCAAATAAGTGAAGCGGTCAACGTGCTCTACCACTTCACTTCCTATTTTTAAACTAGGCGTCGATGTAGTCCAGTCCTGTAACATCATCTTGCATTTGGCGGGAGCGAATCGCATGCCAAACATTCGTAGATTGCGTCTCAAGGTGTTTAGAAGACTCTGCATTTCGTCAGCGTCTTCGCCTAGAAGGACTATATCGTCTGCATATTCCAAGTCAACGAGATTATTCCCCGGTAGCAAGTCAATTCCTGAGTCGCTGAAGTCACCTAGGGTTAAGTCCATTAACACATCTATGATGAAGTTGAATAGAAAAGGAGATAATGGGCATCCTTGACGGACACCACTGGTCGTCATCAGTTCAGATGACAGCTCGCCGTAAGCCCTCACCTGGCTGTATGAGTACGAGTAGAGTGCCTTAATCAGTGCAATATATTTTCTCGGAATTCCCTTTACAGCCAAGCATCTCCAGAGAACTTCCCGATCGACAGAGTCGAATGCTGCCTTTAGGTCAAGAAATATAATGACTGTTGGACGCCGGTAGGAATGCCTATGTTCTAGAATCTGTCGGAGGGTGAAGATATGATCAATACACCCTCTTCCTGGTCTAAAGCCTGCCTGGCTCTCTCGTGTTTGTGCTTCCCGAGCACCACTCAGTCTACGCATGATTATTGAGCCTAAGACTTTAGATACTATATTAGTCAAGCTAATCCCTCTGTGATTATCACAGGAAGACTTGTCTCCCTTCTTGTATATGGGGATAATCAGTGACTTACACCAACCCGATGGGACTTCTTCTGATTCCCAGACGCTGCCTAGTACCTCAGTTAATGCGGACAGTAAGCTGTCTCCACCGTACTTAAATACCTCTGGCGTCATTCCATCAGGTCCCGCTGCTTTGCCTAGTTTCAGATTGGTGACAGCTTTAGTAACCTCAGTTAGTGACGGAGGACCTGTGTCTATATCCCATTCAGGGAGGTGTTGGATGCTCGGAAGGTTGAGCGTGGCTGTGGGCAAATTAAACTGCTCCTCATAATGCTCTTTCCAACGATCCAGTCGTCTATCCTGGGAGCTAATTATAGTGCCATTTTTCTCCGAGATTGTCTCACTGATGATTTGTCTTCTCCCACCCGTTTCCCTGATGAGTCCAAAGAGTTGCCTGGTGTTGCCTATCCTCAAGCTTTCTCCATCTCTTTGGCTTTTGTCGCCCACCACTGTTCACGGTCCTTGCGGAGACTTTTCGTAAGTTTCCTCTTGTGCAGCTTTCGCTCCTCATTGAATTCGGAGCTCGCCGGAATAAGTCTTCTAGCATCTATCAGTTCGGATGAGGCGGTGGAGATCCAGTGGTTTTTACTCACCTTTGGGTTTACCTTATTCACAGCTTTTACAGCTGTATCTATGGCTGCCTGGATATTTTTCCAAGCTTCTTCAGGGTGAGCACAGCTGTCGAACACAGATTTGTGTTTAGCATCCATGTTAGTCCATACTGTTTCAACTCCTCTTCACACGACCCCCTCCATGTCACTCTTGGACGTCCCACTCGCCGCTTCCCTTTCGGTTTACACTCAAGCAATAGCCTGACGCGCGATGTCACCCAGCGGCCTCCTCAGCCAGTGTCCAATCCATCTCCACTTTCTCCTGCATATTTGTTGGTTGGCGATTCGTTCTTGTTTTGTTTCTTCCCACAGTTTCTTGTTGGTGATTCTTTCCCGCCCGGCCATCTGATCTTCAGTATAGAGCGAAGACAGTTAGTTGTTGATAAAGGTCTGCAACAGGCTGTTGGAAATATTCTTTGTGACCCGCCCGCCAAGTTTCTGATCCGTATAGAAGAACTGACTGACTTGATGTTTGTATTGAAAATCCGACTGGATTTTGTTGGTGATGCTGGCTGAGTGACGAAGATTTCCAGATTGATTTCAGGCTGATGAATGTGTTTCTCGCCTTCCCGATTCTCGATTTGACATCCTCGTCCGCTCCTCCTGTAGTTGAGACAAGGCTCCCTAGATAATGAGTGAATGAAGTAACCTCTTTCAAATCCCTCCCGTTGATGGTGATTGACGTTGGATGTTGTTGCTGTTGTTGGTTGGTTATTTTCATCACCTCCGTCTTGTCTATGTTCACCTGGAATCCTGTCTCCACAGGCTGCTTCTTCGACCAGTTTGCAGGTCGGTTTTCGCTTGTAAGTCTTCGATTGTATGTGACATCAAACATAAATCATCCACGAGCGAAATCCAGGTCTTCTAGGTTCTTCACGTCGGTCCAGGATATTCCTGTCTTCTCGTTTCCCACTCACTGTGTGACGCATAATCCAGTCAGTCCACCACAATTAGGAATATCATTGGTGATAGTAAGCACCCTTGTCTGACTCCTGTGTTTACTCCAAACGCCTCGCTGAGTTTTCCGTTGTGGATCACTTGACATGTTCCGTTGTCGTACAGCTGTTGAATAAGGTTGATGAATATTTGGGGTACGCCATAGTACTCGAGTAATTTCCAAATTACTTCACGATCAACGCTGTCGAAGGCCTTCTCAAAGTCTATAAAGTTGAGGTAGAGGTTTGATTGCCATTCCATGCTTTGTTCGATGATGATGCGTAGAGTTGCAATTTGGTCAGTACATGATTTGCCTTTCCTGAATCCAGCTTGTTCTGGTCGGAGTTCTGTCTCCAGTGCGTCCTTTAATCTCTCCAGGATGATGCGACTCAGGATTTTACTTGGCGTCGATAGGAGCATGATTCCTCGCCAGTTCTTGCAGAGTCCTAAGTCGCCCTTCTTTGGTAGTTTCACGAGGTAACCTTTCCTCCAGTCAGTAGGCACCTTTCCCTCCTTCCAGACCTTTTGCAATAATGGAGTCAGCATGTCTGCTGTCGTCTCTGGGTCCACTCTCAGTGCTTCAGGGGGTATTCCATCTGGTCCGGCTGCTTTTCCAGCTTTCAGAAGCTTGATTGCATTCAAGACTTCAGCTCTCGTTGGAGGATTGGTGTCAACTTGCAGTTGTGTGCGCGCTGTTGTTGGTATTTCTGGACGGGTTGCAGGTGATGGTCGGTTCAAGAGTCCTTTGAAGTGATCCGCCCATTGTTTAATCTGTTTTTTTTCCTTGGTAATGGGCTTCCCTTGGCTGTCTTTTATAGGTTTCGCTTGTGTTGATCTCTTCCCGGATAGAGATTTGGTTATCTGATATAGTGTCCTCAGGTCCCTTTTGCCTGCTGCCTTTTCAGCTTCAGTAGCCAGATTGTCGTAGAATCGTCTTTTGTCCTTCCTAGCACTCTTCTTCACTTCTTTGTCCAGTGCTTTGTAAGTTGAGCTCATCGTCTCCTTCTCCTGTCCGTCCTTGCATTGAATCATTTTCTCTTTCACCATTCTCCTCTCTTCTATTAATTTCCAAGTGTCCGTTGAGAGCCATTCCTTGTCTTGTCTCTTCTTTCTTCCTAGAACCGTTGAACACGTTTCGTTGAGAATCGCCTTCAGAGACTTCCAATGTTCTTCCACGCATGATTCTTCAGTGATGTCGCGTAGTGTTTCCTGCTTTGCTCTGACAGTTGCAGTGAAAGTGTCCTTTGTGGTTGTGTCCTTCAGTTTATGAGTGTTGAACTTGCATTGTGGCCTATCCCCAGCTATCCTCGAGGCTTTTAGTTTCACCTTGAAAGTCCCTTCTACTAGATAGTGGTCTGAACCCACATCTGCTCCTCTCCTTGACCTTGTGTCCAGTAGGCTCCGTCTCCACTTTCTTGAAATTGAGATGAAGTCTATTTGATTCTTGGTGTTTCCATCTGGTGAAATCCATGTCGTCTTGTGTATATCCTTGTGTTTGAACACACTACCGCCAATCACCAAATCATTGAAGGCGCAGAAGTCTGAGAAGAGTTCACCATTGTCGTTCATTTCCCGAGGGCCTCACGACCCATGGTGAGTTCTCTTCCTGTGTTGTCTCCTCTCAGCTTCGCATTCATGTCGCCCATCAGGATTTTGATATCGCCATTTGGGACGTTGTCCATTATTGCTTGTAGTTGTCTGTAGAACGCCTCCTTCTTCTCTTGTTCTGAGACGTTTGTAGGCGCATAGCATTGAATGACTGTAACTTTCCTTCCTTTTGAGTTGAACCTGGCTGTCATTATCCTGGAGGAGATTGGTTCCCACTGCATGAGAGCTTTGGTTGCTGTTGGTGACATCATGATGGCCACTTCCTCGGTGTGCTCATGGTTGTCCTCTAAGTGGCCGGAAAAAACTACTGTCTCTCCAGTAGGTAGTTGGCACCTTTCAGTTCCGTTCCATCTGCTTTCGCAGATTCCCAACACTTCTATTCTGTACCTTCTCATTTCAGCGGTTATCTGGGCAGCCTTTACGGTTTTCTACATTGTACAAACATTCCAGGTACCCATCCTTACTTTTGCTTTCATCGAAGGCACGAAGGCGCATCGGCTGACTGGCTTCCCGAAGGCTTTTACCAGCCTGCGTCATTTCACTTCCGCGATTCCAGCGAAAAGTAAGGCTATTGCTCATGTTTTTAAAATTTTTAATATATTTATTCGTTGAAGTTTCTGTAGCGATTTGGTTGTTTTACAGGGGTGGAGTTGCTAGCACCACGCCCCAACCCTCCCTCTTTACCCGGGCTTGGGAACGGCGAGAAAACTAGTAAGCTAGTAGCCTAGCAAGCTAGTATCTGGCGAGGTTTTGTTGAACCCAGGACCTTGCGGTTACAAGGCGAGCTCGTATACCATTAAGCCACTGGGACTTCATCTTTACCCACCCTCAATGTTCAAACCTGTAGTTAAAGAAACTGTAGTAGGTTAGCTTGGATGGATTCCGTTTCTTTCTGTTAATCATACCAACATTTACCTCTTCACATAAACAGCAGACAATTAAAGGTTTAAATTTGCTTCAATGTTTCACTTCATCAATTTGACAACAGAATATACATATGTAATATAACTAAACAACTTACCATATTCCCATGAAACACCATTCAGTATCTTTTCATTACCATGAAGATATTGTAATTTCGCAGGGAACCTATTTTTGTCGTCATCATCATCATCAATCAAGTCCATGCCACATTCTTCGTCATCATTTAGACCCAACTGCCGTTCATCATCATCTTCGTCATCGTCTACTTGCGAAGTAACAGTAGTTACAGTTTCACTATCCATACCACTACTGCAACCTCTACCGCCAGCATATCGAGAAGTTGCACCGCGATGAAGGGAAGTTTGACGTGAATGGGGATGATTAATTTCAGTGCTCCCCGGTAGTAAAAATAAATGGGGTCGATGTAAACTAGAAGATGGTAACACTTTCATTCCATCTATAACTTAAAAACAAACATGTTAACAAGAAACAGAAAGTATTTTTCAAACAATTCAGTTAGCGTTATGAAACGTGTAATATATTTCGAACATATAGATTATAGGGTTTTGTAGGGATATGGATTAGTTTCAATGTAGATTTCATCGCGAACCAACATAAGTTAGAGAGATAACTGAAAACCTGAGAATACGGGGAAGTGTTTCGTCCTAGGTTGGAGTACGTCATCAGGGCACACCTACAACCTCAACCAGGAATTAAACCAGGGATCTCGAGGATACAAGACCACGCTTATTGACTATTCAGCCACCTGGGTCAAAATTCAATGACCACCTGTGCATCCTAACCTTCTCCAGTTCAAGACATAGTGCCAGCTTCAACTAATGCCTTTGATGAGTAAGCATTCCATCTTGATTTAATGGACTCCACTGATCACGACTTCTCAGTACAGCTTCAGGTCATTCATCCAATAGTCACCAGTGAACTGGAGATTAATATTTACATAATTGGTTCCCCATGTTGAGATGAGTTAAGTGCTCACCATAGACATTGATTGAGGGCAGAGCTTTATGATGAAGGGAGAAAGAATTAGTGGGGTGGTGGTAATGCGTGTGTGCTACTGAAGAGTCCCGAACAAGGAGGAAACAGATGGCCAGTACTCCTTGTTAGTTTTCAATAGTTTTCTAACTAAAGTCAGTTCGTGAAGATTACTCATGGCCTTCTCAAGAATTCGGTTTTAGTCATTTAGAGATAGAGGAGGCTACAAATTACATCCTTTATACTCCAATGAATACACGTTAATCAGTTTTTGAAAAGTATCTAGTTCAAACCTACAAGAGGCGGTTTAGCCATCACACGAAAAGACGAGATTGTAAAATATCGCTGAGAATAGGTGAAAATGTTTATAACTTATTGGAAATACCATTTGAGAGTATATTATTAATAGTGCTATCAGTGATCCGAAAGGTTTAGTAGTTTACAATACAGCATATACGAAATACACACCTAATACAGAGTTTTATTAGATGAACAATTATATTGATACAATGCTTCACAATCCAGTTTAATATGTACCTTCATATATCACGTTAACGATCATGTACATGCAAATGTTTTCCAGAGTTCACCAGCAATATCCTTAAGATATGGATTGAAATGAAACATAGACAGGCTTGCACAGTTTTAATCCACAGTGAGATGAAGACTCAAATGTCTGAAACCAATGGACTAGACAAACCAGACAGTTGTGTAAAACTATACACTACTGATTGATTGAAATGAGTAGTTGTGTACCATTCACATCAACCAAATCGAAGTAATCAAAACACCGTTCGGCTGATTAACGGTGTATACCTTGCTGGACTCAGATCAGAGAGAGGCGAATCAGTTCAAATCACCTGATTTCTGCCTAGTAACAAATACATTTTGTATTTTTTTTATTCCTTTACATTCCCAGTGGAACATAGGGCTTCAAGCTAGTGGCTTGAAGTTTCTGTAGCAGTGTTTATTTTACAGGATGGGGTTGCTAGCCTCACACGCGACCTTTCCTCTTTACCAGCTGTATTTCTGGCTTAGCGAGGTAAAGGAGTTCGTCGGCCGGGGATCGAACCCCGGACCATGTGCGTGGTAGGCGAGCGTCCTAACCTTTATACCACCGACGCAGTGGTATTTATTTTTTACGGGATAGGGTTGGTGATCCACCAACGTACACATTTTGTATATAAATATAAAAAATGCCTACTTGTATTGTTCATCACTTCATTAGAATTTATTAAACATTCTTCATGATCATCATCACCATCAGATGAATTATCCGCATGTGTTTGTTGATTTCCTCCAACCACCACTGGTGTCCAACCCATTACACGGAATTGTCGACTAATTCGTCTGGCTTCCGCTGCTATTTGTGAATCAAAAATACTATGCTGCTGTTGACGACAATGCTGCTTTTGACTATATTGTCGTTGAATAAATGAACTGGTTGTAATTGGGACTCGCGATGTTTCCCCGTTATAACCCTGTTTACTACTACTGATATGATTATTAGAGAGTAATTTATTATTTGTTGATAACTTTGTTGTTGCTGGCGACGATGACTGAGATACTTGTTTGTCAGTAGTATTAGTAGTAGTAGTTGTTGTTGTCATCATAGTTGGAACTACAGTATAATTCATTGTATAATCTATATCTTCAGACTCATGGAAATCATCAGTCTGAGAGCCCGATTTATCAACATTATCATATTCAGAGCTACATAACAAAAACAGAAAAAAAACAGTAGAACATCATAAAACTTATCTCCCTTCATTTTCAGGGTATTATATATGTAAAATAAACGATACAACGGACAGTTAATGATGAATGTCTCACATTGTGTTTCATACTAAATAGCCTCGATAAACAATCTGATACGACTGAAGGTGGATAGACTGCCGCCTTCTTCGCAAAATACTCAATACACAGAAATACCACGCGTTCATAGCCTTTGCTAGTCCTAACCACTGCCTTCAGGAGGCTGGGGTGTTCCTCACAAAAGTGAAAGGGGAAATGAGAACGCCTGGCGAGTACAGCCGGACTGCTGGACATTTTGGTCTACTTAGGGGGAATGGAAAGCCCTGGAATCAAAGGTAAGGAGTACAAGGACTCCAGAGGCCGGTTGGATCGAATAGCGTATGAGCCTGTTTTGGTCGTCGGAAACCATGGAAACGCAGCTCCATTGCTATGTGGATCAGACTTCAAGCTAAAAGCTCGGCGGGTAACCCCTTAAGACAACTACCTGCCTCAGTTTGGGCATCTGAGAAATATTCCAGCCCTCTCATAAGGTATGAGATTTTGTGTGATACATCTATGTGCTCATAATGTAACAAGTTTGTGTTTCGATAAATAATAAATAAAATATTACATCAAATAAACTTATTATCTAATATGGAAGCATATTCCACCACAGTGGCTGAATTTTACTCTTACATTAGACTATAACAATAATAATACTAAATTCCTGAAAGATTGTTCGTTTTAATAGGATTTTAAAATACCATCTTTTAAGTTGAAATGGAAGACACTATTATTGTGGTGATAGCAGGCCGTGAGAAAATATGTACAAGGCTGATTCAACAACCAATCACAGCAAAGTTAACGTGGCAAAATATGATTCGCAGATAGAGAACTCTATTTGTCGAGGAATCCCTAAACAACCAATCCGAAGCCTGCGTTTGTCTGCCTAACTTCTGATAAACAACCAATCAGATGACTGCGCTTGTCTACTTGCATAAGCTGTAATAATGTATGTGAAATATATATAAATACGTGTTGATTTTCATAATAAAACGATCTGTTGCCTGGCCCTTGTCTTCTGTTGTTACATTATGACCTACAGCTGTATGCAGTATTCTTCCACTACAAAAACAGGTAGAAAAATTTACTGGGATTTCGGGAGGCTTTTTTAGAGACTGGCAGCATTCTACTCCGTAATAGTGAAGCTGTTGCTATATTATTTCGCGATCGACACTGTCGTCGAAGGCCTTCAAGGCGCCGGATTCTCAACTCCACCTACTAAATGACAACCTCGTCGTTACTGAAAGTTCGAAGTACAGTAAAACTAAACTTATCACTCCTCAATTCGAATATGGATATCTCAGGTGGATGAAAGCCTTTTAGTAAGCCAATCAGCTGATATATCTCCCTTCCTCAATGAAAGCACAAGTAAACATGTGCATATCAGCATAATGACATAACACACACAAATCGATTGATAAACACGAGTGATATGGACGAGACAAAGGGATGCAGTGGAGGGTTTAAAAAAAGACGCAGAATAGGACAGAAGAAACATTCAACTCATACAACCAATATCATTATAATTATTATTATTACGCTTACCGTGCGCCACTAGTATGACTGTCAGCAATACTAACAGTACGATTCAATATTCGTGGTATACACTGTTGTTGTCGCTGGAGTTGCCCATATTCTTGTTGAGTAACAACACAATCCACCATAAAATGATCATTTCTTCTATCTGATGATTGAATCGATGAGTTGACTTGTCTTCCACCATGCATCAATTCACTGATAAATGAATCATCATTATTATTACTTTTATTAGTAGTTTTAAAGCTACAGCTGTTAGGAGAATGAGATTCATTGGAGACAATTGATGTTGGTTCACATTTATTGAGTAATCTTAAACAACTAGCACTGGTTGCATCATCACTACCATTTGTGTATCGATTAGACTGATTTATGACTGGAGTATTTTGATATTTTGTAACTACGGGTAACTTATTATGATTTTCAAATGTATAACAGCTGTTTTTATGTACGTCGTTCATATTCCCTTTTGTCTCTCTTTTCTTCTTGTTATTATTACCGTTGTCAAAGTCAGCATTATTATTATCGTCGGTATTGTCGTCATCATCGCCTGTATCATAGACCGATGAAGCGGCATCACCAATATACCTGTAAAAAACCCCCATTTAACCAAAGTCAAACAGCGAATTATGACTGTATAAACATATGAACTTAGCAACCAAAAAGTCTACAGTCTCGAAAAAATCAGTGCTCCCAAGATTGCGACTCACGGGAAATGTTAATAGTGAAATTGTATCAAATTGTCTGAGAAGAGTCTTCAAAAGAACTTTTAAGACATTTAAGTTATGCTGTTTATTCACCAGCCAACCAATACTTAGTACATGAGATAAAGACAAACTATCTAGTGTCACCGCCTTTTCTACGTGTATTTATCAATTAAATTGGGCGTAAGATTAGGCAATTTCATCATCGAATTTTTGAACACCTATTACCTTATTTAAGTGAAGGAGTGAATACAATTATGTACAACTGAATGCTAGTCCATCTCAATGATACTGGATAACATATAGGTTGACACTAAAAAAGCTTTTCAGTTTATTTATCGTATTTTGACTGGACACTAGTAACTAGTGTGACGCTTCTAGTCCTTTCTTTGGTGCAGACTGAATTTTATCAATCAGGTTTGCAATGGGACCACCATTCTAGGTAGCTGGACATCACCCAGCTTTTCGCATGCTCTACGAGTACAACTTTTACATACAGCAAAGGCAATCTGAATTCCTCTAAACGGGTCAATTCTGCATGTTATAAAGAAATTTGTGCAACCCCCCTCTACATAATATGTACACAGTTTTACAAGCATCCTTGTAACTAACATCATACTCAGTCATTTTGTTAATGAACACTATTCTAGATAATTCAACTCATTTGTATCTTGATATTCCTACATAGTCGTCATTATTTTTTAACATTCCGATTGATGGGATAACTTGCTGGCTTCTTAACTTAATAACCAGAAAATCTTTGTGCTTACTGAAGTGTGCTTGGACAGTAGTTAATTCCCGGATGCGTACAGCATGGAAAGTGATTTTTCTCCTGGGATAACGGAAACCGAAGGTGCACTAATGTGGCGTGTCCACAGGACCCAAGGGAAAACTGCTTTGGGTCGGTTACATACTCATGGGTTATTTGAAGTAGGTTTTAGAGTTGTATCCGTATTAAGATCATACCGCCAGTTACCCACCGGCGCAAGATTAAGTTGGCATGTAAAGCTTTCGGGATCGACCTTTTGTAACTCCTCCAGAGTCGAGATGCAGCACAGGTGGTATGCTGGCCATTTGAAGACAATACCTTATTGCCATTACATCCTTATTCCTCATCAGTAGGGCTTCACCCACAAATCCCCCAAACATAATGTGTAAGCTACTTACACTATGATGGTAACTGCTTTGAGTCTAACAGCGATCCAAACGACCTTTCTGGTAAGGAAATACCTGCAGAAACATTAGTTCCAGCGAATGTGGCTCGTTGGGTAATTGCGATATGCATGCTCGACCACCACCACGCGAAGATAGCAGCTACCGGTCAGAGATTAATAACCATTTATCAGTAACACGTCTTTCAAAGTTGTATGTGTGTTTCTGCACCGATATAATACAGCGACCACGTTTACATTCTTTTCCAACCATCTTATCGTATCAACTTACTTCTAAAGTTATTAAATTACTGTAAAAAAAATTGAAATTTAAAACGTATTTTGTAAAAGTCAATCGGTTTAAGCAATAAGAGGGTAGTGGTAGTAGATAATGAAATAGGAGATTCAGAGAATTACTAACTAACCCACTCATCGCATCACTTTCTTCCCCATTCGAAAACAAATGCCAGTCGGTATGACGACGTTGCTGTTGAGCTCTAATCAATTTTCTAAAAGCTGGTCGACTTCCACCACCGTTCACAGAGCCAGTAGTAGAATCAACGTTAGTTACAGCTATTGTTGACGATAATTTGTTAGTATCATAATTGCTACTATTGTTGTTATTATTATTAATAACTCGATTGGAAGCCTGAAAATGCTGACCACATGCATATTTACTTGTTGTATGAAATGAATTCGGATATAGATTATCATAATCTGAGGCTAAATCAACTGTCTGCGGCATTAACCGTTGACAACCACTTGTAACTGGTGTAGATGATAATGCAGACTGTATGTTAGGCAGATGAATCGATGAATTTGGTATAGATAAATTATGATTGTTATTACTATTATGTTTATTACCGTTGTTGTTGGTGTTATTGCCAAAGGATGAATACCAGGGCACTGTGATAAGTGATGTTTGCGGATATGAGAAATTCGGTAGACTAACTGGTGCTATCTCTGGTAACGATGGTCGTATATTAGTAGTAGTAGTAGTAGTAGTAGTATGTTGTAATGAATGATTTTGTTTTTGTTGTTGTTGTAAAAGGCAAGAATCAATATTATCGTTATGCACTTCAGAAGGATGATGATGACCAGTTCTATTCATCACTACTTCAATTTGTTCTTGATTGATATTCATTTTAGATTGATGAGGAACAATATTTGACATATAGGCTGGTTCAGTGTTATTTGACGGATTATGAATCGTATAATCAAATCCAATAAGTCCAACATTTTTGTGATACATAAATAACTGAAATTTGGAGTATTTTTTAACAAAATAAAACAAAAACAAAGGCAACATCAATGACATAACATTTAATATATATATATATATATATATCACGCATCGGTGGTTCAGTGGTATAATACTCATTAACAACGCATATAGGTTTGAGGTTCAAATGTCGGCCGATGCAACCCTAAAACCTCACTTAACCAGTAATAAAAAAAGGAGAAAGTTGAGCAAAGTGAGTGTAGCGATCCCATCACGTACAAGACGACAACACTACTTCTATTGGAAGTTTAAAGTTCAAGCCTAAAGTCCTACTTATGTTCCATTCGGAACTCAAAGGAATTACGGCTAACGTAAGATTATACATATAAGCAGATGTCACGATCAGTGAGATTATGCTTGCCTTTGTGTTTATTGAAGCATACGCCACATAATATTATACACTCGTGGAGAGAAGAAATTTTTAATCCAACTTTGACCACAGTAAGAACAATACATGATGGTGTTCTTTTCGAACACAAACTTCTCGTCCAGTCGATCTTACGCCAACACATTCAGCTACCTGAAGAAGAGTTAGGCGAAATTTGCAAGATAATGACTCCCGAATATGACGCATAGCTCCAAAGGCTATGTTAGCATCAATGACAAATGTGTTGGCCTGAATGCAATTATAAAATATTATGAAGTGTCAGACGATGATGGTGATCAGTCTCATAATAGATTCATACAACGTGGGTTCGTCTGTGGACTGGAGAATATTTACCAGATTGATTCAGAAGGGGGGGAGGGGGAGGAAGGGAAGGCAAAGTGCAATTCTATATAGAAAAAACCATCCGCTACATAACTGGCTATTGTAATTGTAAAGTTAAGATATATTCTATTTTATCACTGAGAGAACCTGAAGAGAATTTATTGGAAAGAATATTCTTTATTCAGATTCACTTTCAAATCATCATATGGGAATATTTCACGCTTTTGTAAAAGGTATTCAACTCATCAAAAAGACCGAACGCACAACGTTACTTGAAAGTATAAAATTTTCACTTAGACTTAACACAACAATTAAACTAGCGGAGTCTAATGACAAAAATTAATTTTCAACAATTTTACCAGATTTCAAATTTATTTTGCCATTTTACTTTTGGGAATGTGGTGACATTACCAGTTAGTGAGAAAATTACACTTGTTGACTGCCTGATAGGGGTCTTCAGTAATGCTAAAATCGATCCAACGGCATGAAATGGCTCAAAATTGTTCTCAACGGTGAAAATGAATTCACTTTTTTTTAATCTCCCATATGCATTGAACCCTAGTATTTTAACATATTACTATCCTTTATCTCTCAGATTTCCGTTCATTATGGCTTTTTTGAATCTCTCTACCTTTGTACTATTATACTCTATGGAGTGTGACAAATTGAACTGGTGCTGCCCTTCTTTGCAAAGTTCTACACCTTAGATATGATAGAGAAGATTTGTAGCTCAGGTGGATGATTTTGATGTGGTTGTGTTCTCTGAGCTGGATGGTTGATTTGCAAAGCTTTCATCACCCTACTAGGTGACATCTTCAGCGCATACTTCAATTTGAAGTGAGCCTTTAGATTTCTCCACGAGTTTATTAATCATCTCTCCTGGTGACCTTGGACGTGATTGGTTGTTTCTGTGTGTTTTCACACCCTCTAGGTTATTTGTATTGGGACTGATTGTTTCTTTGGCTTGAACTTTGACCCTTTGTCTGTGAAGTTTCTTTCTTATTGGTTGATAAATTTTGTCTATGTCGATGTGTCTATTGATTGATGATTCACTGGAATACCAAGCTTCTAAAAATTCTCTAGCATTCTTGTTGTTTCCTCTGTCTAATATTTGAACGTTGTCCCAGTCGAATTGATGTCCGTGGTTGTCTGTGTGTAGTGATATGAGGGAGTGGATATCATATCTTCTGACGGCTAGCTTATGTTATAAAGGATGTCTCAGAAATCACTACAAAACTCTTTAAATCTTTAGGAATTGACGTCGTACACACACCAACAAAGTCACTTCACTCAATTCTATGTCAACCAAACGACTCAACAGCAAACGAAGATAAAATCAACATCATCTACAAAATAAATTGTAAAACACTACATTGGTCAAAGTGGACGTCCCCTTCGTCTTCGTATCCACGAACATAAGCTAGCCGTCAAAAGATATGATATCCACTCCCTCATATCACTACACACAGACAACCACGGACATCAATTCGACTGGGACAACGTTCAAATATTAGACAAAGGAAATAACAAGAATGCTAGAGAATTTTTAGAAGCTTGGCATTCCAGTGAATCATCAATCAATAGACACATCGACATAGACAAAATTTATCAACCAATAAGAAAGAAACTTCACAGACAAAGGGTCAAAGTTCAAGCCAAAGAAACAATCAGTCCCAATACAAATAACCTAGAGGGTGTGAAAACACACAGAAACAACCAATCACGTCCAAGGTCACCAGGAGAGATGATTAATAAACTCGTGGAGAAATCTAAAGGCTCACTTCAAATTGAAGTATGCGCTGAAGATGTCACCTAGTAGGGTGATGAAAGCTTTGCAAATCAACCATCCAGCTCAGAGAACACAACCACATCAAGTTCTACACCTTGAAACTCAGTCGTCAGTCACAAGTTGTAATAAACAGATGAGAATGATAATAACTTCTTTTTTCTTTAAAAAGTGTTGTTTCACACCATAATTACCTCTTCATCATTGCCTAAATCATCTAAATCAATAGATGATGATGAAATATTGATTAGTTGTGGGTTAATATTATTAGTATTCATGTTTTTATGAATAATATTATTTGAATAATTTTCATTTGAACTACTATCGATGATACCCAGTTGTGACAATGGTGTTGTAGATGTTGACAATAAAGCCGCTTCTAATAACATATGTGTATTGTGCTGCTGATGTAGTTTACTATTATCACTACTACTATTATCGTTGTTAGTAGTCATTATATTCAGTTTTGAAGGAATATGATTTTGCCGAAAGTTATTATTATTATTATTATTACTGTTATTTGACTCAACTCGATAATTCATTATCATTTGATTTTGATTGACGTATCGCATGCCATCATCATCATTAGTAGTAGTACGTTGACTATGATGATGATGATGTAACTGAGAATTTCTGGACGATTCTATGTATTCAGATGTATAGCCAAAATCTTCACCCAATTCTGAATCCCTCTCATCTAAATCTGGATTAGCTAACAGGCTATCAGTCATCATTCCATGAATTATGCCATTACTACTACTACTTCGACTATTATTATCATCAGCATTATTATTATTATTTAATTCCTTTTCAACTTTTCCACCTGATGTTGATGATGGAAACCACTGTGAAGCAGAAGAGTATTCATTGATTGGCGTATTGTGTAGTTTATTCGAAAGATTTTGATTTTGTAATACAGGATTTTTACCATCCATGAGATCAACACATTCGTCATTACCATCATTATCATCGTCTTCCATAATTTCATCACCATCACAGCTTGTTAAACCTTTTTATATGTAGAAAAATAGGAAAAGACAAAGGTGAAAAGACGAAAGTCAAAAAACATAATAAAAGAATACTCTCAGTATAATTGTAAAATTTTTAAATCAGATGAATACCTTCTTATCAGATTTTTAAGTTTTATTTAGTACTCTGTGATAGAATACTCACAAACCAAGAAAATGGTTCTGGTTTCGATCTCCAGTCGACGAACACTTGAACCTCACTTAACCAGTATTAAGCACCGTAAAGAGAGAAAAGTTGGGCATCATGTTATCAAACACCCACTCGGTGAAAAAAGACACCACTGCTACTGAAACTTCGGAGCTCGAGTTTGAAGCTCCGCATCTCACTCCGAACGCAAAAAGAGAACGAAAATAAGAGTTTAAAAATCTCCACTGATTGATCCAAATGATGAAGAGTCCCAAACTAGAATGAAACAGCTGTCCAGTACACCCTGTTGCTTTTCAATGGTATTCTAACTGGTATCAATCTGTGGTCAACCTGAAAACCAATCAAATCCCAACGAAATAACACTAAAATCGTAAATAACATTGTCCACCAGTTGTTTCTTGGTCGGGGGTTGTATGTATGCATGTATGTGTATTTGTATGTCGTGATAATTCTTCACTAAATGTACCGATAGTCTGTCATAAATATAAAATCCACTGGATCAGTTGATTAGATAAAAGGGTTGGGCAATATGCGTGTTATTTTAATCAATGAAAGAAAGGAGAAAGTATACATGTGTGCTGAACAAAGATAGAGAACCTAAAAGAAAGAAGGACTTTAATAAATTAACTGAAAAGACAAAACAAGCGATGTTCGGTAAAGAGGGTCTTTTCGGTGGATTCCTTTTCCTCAATAGCCGATCATTCGTTCTCAACAATAAACGCTTTGAAAGTAATCCACAAAGTGAAAAACAACCTGTCTTTGGGTTGGTGTGTGTAGCTTTAGTCATTCAGATGGAGAAAACAGAGCTATGCAATTATTTCTGTTAGTATTGGTAACAACCTTGTTGGATTCTACTAACTTGTTTTTGGTTTTTGTGTTATTTTCTTTTGTAATTCTTTATAACATACTTGTGTATTTCTTTCGAACTCTTACACACATAGCTTCACACTTTCCTTTGTTTCTATGTGCATCCTGGTTAAAAATCACTCATTAAATTATTCATCTTATTACGCAACTCAAATACACTTTTACAACTCGTTCTATGTATTGACTAATATTAACAACTATGTTTGCGACAACTCATCATTCCTCTTACTATGCTCTACTGTGAGGAAAAAAAATTGTACGTAAAAGCGATTGATTTTACTACTAAAGAAAATAAATTCTGAGAAAAAAGCCTCCTCCCGAACAATACTAGTTTGGGTCTTTTTCCATTATATCTGAATGAGGATTATTCTTGATCTATGCGAAATGAAGACAAGTCAAACCAAGTGAAATGAAATCAATTCGACATCATAATTATCATTCACATGAAACTTTATTTCAATTAATTGCTTACCATCTTCTGTCATTGAAGTTAATACAGCCATACTCAATGGTCCAAGTGATGCTGTACCCATATATTCAACATCTGAACCTTCTGGTTCTCTTGTTGACGAATTCAATTTAGAGTGTTCATGCGGTATATATGGAATATCATATCGTTGTTCAATTGGCTACAAATAAACAAATATATACATATACAACTTTAAAGGGAACCATAGAGTAATTAACTAACCAGAGTTAAAGAAACCGGATTTTAAATACAAAAGCAAAAATGTTAAACCAAAATATCAAAATGTTGGTTAAATATAATTATCAACTGTTAGATTGCATCACAGACGATGACTCCAGTAGACAGATATTCAACCCGAAGCCTTCATGTTACGAGAGCAAGTTGGTTGACCGTTCAGCCACATGGGCCGGAATTCAATGTAACATGAATGCTAACTAGTGTGATGTAGAATTGTCTTCAACCAATGCCTTAGATTAGTATCCACTTCACCTTGACATTAAAGAATCCAATGGTCATGATTTCTCAGGATAGCTTCAGGAATCCATTCAATAGCCATAATTGAGCTGGATATATATATATATATATATATATATATATATATATATATATATATATATATATATATATGATTCAAAGTCAAGTTAAACAAGAGCCCAGTAACTAATCAACCAATCAAAAGTAGAAATATATAAACTCACCACAAATCATCTCACAAGAAGAATACGTTATACACAAGCCTAAATTATTTTCTTTCATCACTTTCGTCTCAAATGGGACACAGAGCTTCAAGTTTTAAAGTTTCTACAATAGCGGTGTTGTTTTTACGAGATATGATGACTGTTCTCACGTCCAACATTCCTTTCTTGAAATACTGCTATCATCGAATGCGTCAGTAGCGGAAAATGAAACCCGGACTACGGGAAAGGTTGATCAGCCCCAAAATCAATCTTTGGCATCTTTTTTTCCTTTACGTTCCTTGTGGAATATAGGACTTCAAGCTGGAGCTTTGAAGTTTCCGTAGCAATGGTATTTATATTTTACGGGATGGCGTTGCTAGCCCCATGCCTAACCTTCCCTCTTTATCAGTCTTATTACTGGCTTAGCGAGGTAAGGGAGTGTGTCGGTCGGGAATCGAGCCCAGAACCACTTGCGTGATTGAAGATCATTCTACTGTTGTGCCTGTGACGCAATCTTTGTCATGAATTTGTGGAAAATCTATGGAAACTTTCAAGTCTTCAAAGAAGTTGCCTCTTTGAGATTCGAAATTGATATCAGTCGATGAGACTGAGAAGCTGCATCGATTGAAATGAGCTAGGACACGTGTTGCACAATCAAGCCATCGCTCTCCTCGACGGGCAATGTTAACTGACAAGGGATTATGTTGGAAAAGATTTATGGACTGTCAAACCAAAATGTGTCATCAGTCCATGAAGCCTTGGCTTGAACCAGCCGCGTAGGGTGGTGTAGACTGCTAGGTTGATTTGGGTCCTCGGGATGCTAAGAACCGATGGCTAGAGAGTTTCGGTGGTATGGCTCATAATGTGTGAGTGGTGCAGATGTATTCACTCTCTGCAATCTCCCATATTCATTAAAAACTCATGTTTATCCATGTTACTATTTTTTATTTTCCTTTAGATTTATGCTCAATATATTCCTGCTGAGTTATGTTTTCTTCTTTTTTGACTACCTTTATGTGCTAAATAAAGTATGGCGATTTGAACTTCTGCGCTACTGTGTAAAGTTCTCTGTTGAAACTCAGTCAGTCAAATTTAATAAAAGCAAGAGATACAAAAAAGAATAAAAACCAAATCAAGAGAGTAAGAGAAAAACAAACAAACAAACCTCATTCATGATGAAATGGCTTTTTGCAATTTGTTGTACTTTGCCAGATTGACAAACATTTCGAATAATTATATGATCTGTACATTGTTGTGGTTGCATTACTACAGAAGAACGATTCACCTCTAATGGAAGACAGAGGGAATTCGATCCTGAAGAGTGTGTTGATCTTTCACTGAAAGTCGTTACGACAGCCATTGTCGTCGCCGTTGTTGTCGTCACCATCATTCCATGAAATGCACGATGACGATGATGATGATGGTCATTTCTCCCGCCGGTTGATGAAGATGTAAAAGTAGGTGAAGTATTCACTGAATTCATCTGATGTTGTTGATTTACAACGCGATCCGTTTTTGTATACGACAATGATAGATCTTTACTAGTCTGATGAGGAGTAATCAACTTTTCGTGCAGATATCCTCCACCACCTGGACTTGATGGACGTTGATAATCCGGGAAATCAAATGTATTGCTATTAGGAATTATGATAATAGGAAAAAAGAAAGAGCGTTCAAGTAGAATAGTGAAAAAAGCCTGACTTTAAGATAATACATAACACAGACGCATAACGTCACTGTTGATAGCCAAATTATGTAAAAAATATTTCTTGAATCGGAAACGGCTGTGCCGATAACACAATTCGCTATACATCAAGGAAACTGTTATCAATAATTTACAACCACACATGAATCATTTGCGACAAGGTGTACATCTTCGGGTGTTAGTTGTAGGGGTTTGATTGATTTCAAGGTTAAACACACGAATAGATATCATTCAGAGAAACGCTGTAAACCCAGCAGCGAGTAGTGGATAGTCAACTCGCCCTAGTCTGGGACTCTTCATCAGTCATGATGAAGACCCCACTGCGGCGGGATAGAACCCACGACCTTCACGTTACAAGGTGAGTTTGTTTATCATTCAGTTATTGGGTGGGAATCCAATGACCAGCCCATCAATTCTAACATCTGTCAATTAGCGATATTTAGTGCCTCCGCCAACCAATGTCATAAGCGAGTATTTGCGCCTCCATCCAATTATACAAAAAGACAACTCCAGAATATGGAGAAAGAAAATATCATATGCTCACCTTTGAATAGGTTGACTAGCATTCTTAAAATGCACATTACTATTTATAGACTGATCAGTATTCCCTATGAACTCATGATGAACCATACCATTCGTCGACACTCCTGTTGTTGTTGGTGTTGTTATTGGATTATTTGACGACGAATAAGATCCATTTGCATTATTATTACTATCTTGTACTTGGAAATGAATATCATCCTGGTGTGCATTTTCCATTTTCTCGGGTGTAACTATTGACGATGATGATGATTGACATACAAATCTATCCCGAGGATCTATTTGTGATACTGTAGCGAATAATACGGGACGAGAATTTCTATGATGTTTATTACATTTGATAGATTTATTATTATTATTATTATCAGAGAGTGGAGGTGAATGATCGACAGTGTCTAAAAGATTACCTTGACTTTCCGCCATTGATTCATATCTGACGAGAAGGGGGAAGTAGGGTGTTTTGTAAAAACAAATAAAGATATAATAAAATAGTAAATGAAGGTTATTTTGCAAGACAGATTAAAACAAACTGAATGCATGCATTATTTAGTGTAAAATAATATCAGTGGCAAAACAGTAAGCAGTTATGTAGTGTAGTGCAATCTGAAGAATTGGGAAACACTGTTATGATTTGGTAAATACGTATATCGAACAGTACAACGTATTGATGTTAGATGATTGAAGACTATCGGAAAGCAAACCTGCGTGACTTAGGTTTCGTGGTTGCTGACAATCATCAGCAAGAAAGGCTTATCTGCATTCTTGAAGGAACTTATATCCCCTCTGAGATTCGAGACCGCATTACTCAGTGATGCAGTCAGACATTACCACTGAGCTATTCGGACCGTCGATAACTCCCGTAGGATTGTAGTGCATACATCAACTGGTCACTATGCAGTAACCAATGTCATGTGTTTAGTCTTTGGCGTTGGTGCAAACTGAATTCTATCAACCAAGTAATGATAGTGCCATTATTTCCGAATGCCTAGAAAACGTGTAAAAACCAAGATGATCAAGTAGGCTGATAGAAATGAAGTTATTTAGGCTGACTGAATCGATTCAGTTACACTGTTGATGAGCAAACCAGTCTTTCGATGCTTATATGCTTATGTCAAGCAAAATATCAACGGCTCTTGATTGGTATAAATGATTAGCAGCTACCCGTATCACTTAGAAGTATATATTGAATTAAAAAACCAGTGTAGAGGACTTAACGTTACGAACTTTTTCAACCTTAGATAACCTTTGAAGCATCGTGATTATGACTCTTGTAGGCATTGTAAATGCACCCCTGAAGAGCACAGCTCTACTCTCGTAGTTACCCAACTAGAATTCACCCAACCGGAAAGAATTTTCAACAAACCGGGATATGACCCGACCAAAGTGATTGTGTAAAGGCTTATGATACTACCCAGTCAGAGCCACTGTGGAGGATGTAGGTGGAACATGATTCGAATCCGAGACCAGGTAGTTGACAGTCAAATTCTACAATCAATGAGCCATGTCTCCACAAATGAATAACAAACTAAATGCTGAACTTTGCGTTTAGAAACGCTTTATTCAGCCTGTTTTACTATTACTATGGCCTTAGTGTCAGTCTAATTATCTTTGTTTATTGCGTAACAAAACCCCGTGTAAATTGTTTTTCCTGTGACTTGCTTCCAATTATTTGTGCTTTTGTTTCTTGTTAATTATCTACATATAACTACTCATCATTTAATCAGTTGTCAACTTTCTCGATTACTTAAGATTATTCGTCATATTTCATAGACTACTACACATCTCATACACTTTGATATTTATTTTTTTGTTACTAACTGGTCCATCTTGACAATTAACGTAGTACATCCAACCATTTAAATAATTGTAAAGCCTTCATGAGAAACTAAGAAAAAAACGATTCCTTTGCTAAAGTTATGTGTTCTTATCTATTATGATTATTAACGTATAAATACAACTTAAAAAGTAAATAAGGCTACAAATTTCATTCAAGTCCTTATATATTTATCGGTTAATATAATAACCTGTTATCCAGCGAATACATTTTTACATGGAAGGGAAACTATGTCAAGTCAGATGATGATCGCAAAAGGTGTTCAGGTGAGTGGATAGCACGAAATAGTATGCATTAAAGAGGAAATAATAAGGCTGCAGTGAATAGTTCATTATGAAATAATCAATATGCGGACTGAAACAGGTAGAGGCATATACTGAGAAAACAGATAATATGAATAATAATTAATGAAATTCGTATAAATGGAAAATTCAACAGTATTGAAAGAATGTTAGAATAGAGAGCATGAATCAAAGAAAACTGTGGCCGGTGCGATTTCAATTTTTCCTCTGTATGCTTAGATAAGACACAACTTGAAGCCTTATCTCTCAGTTTAAAATTCTGTGACAGACGTAATCAGGTTGATCATTTAGAGACTGATGTTCAATTTGAAAATCCATTTGCCCAGACAGGCAACTCCTACGTCCAAGTATGAGCTAGAAAGATTTAAAAGTACCCTAATCGATTCCTGCTACCAGTTTACGAACAGCAAACATCCCGCCAACAGTCTACTTACAAAGAAACACCGAGAGGCATTACGTGACCTCAAAAAGAACGAAAATCTGATAATAACTAGACCTGATAAAGGATCTGGCACAGTTATCATGAATAAGAGTGATTATTTAGACAAAATGAATATCATTCTAAACGACCATACGAAATTTCAAAAGCTAAGCAGTTGTAAAGACACAACGGAGGCAACCGAACGCCAAATGGCTAAGACACTAAAATCATTAGTTGAGAGTAATCTGATTCCTAAAGAAACACTCGACGAATTGAAACCCTCAGGTACGCACACACCAAGACTTTATGGTTTACCGAAAGTCCATAAGCCGGGAGTACCACTACGTCCCATCTTAGATATGTGCCAATCCCCTTATCATTCTACAGCTAAGTGGTTGGTAAAGGCACTAGAACCACTACATCGCGAAGTAGTGAAATTCAGTGTAAAAGACGTATTCAGCTTTGTGGAAACTACCAAAAGCTTGAATGTAAAGGGAAAGAAAATGATGTCACTGGATGTAGCATCATTATTCACCAACGTCCCACTGCTTGAAACAGTCAACTACATATGTGACCAGCTGATAGAAAAGAAAATAGATGTAGGAATCCCACCCGAAAAGGTCAAAGAATTATTATTGAAATGCACTATGAATGTTCAGTTTATGTTCAATAATGGTTTTTATAGACAAGTTGATGGGGTAGCCATGGGATCACCTTTGGGCCCTTTGCTAGCGGATATTTTCCTGGCAAAGCTTGAAAATGGTCCACTCAAAGACACGATTAAAGGGCTTGACTATTATTGTCGATACGTAGATGATACGTTTATCGTTTGTAATAGAAATCTTAATAAACAAGAGCTTCTGAATACCGTTAATAGTGTTCACCCAACTATTCAGTTTACATGTGAAGAAGAAGACAATAACAGTTTACCTTTCCTAGACGTCCTACTTACCATGAAGACAGACGGATATCTACAAAGGAAATTATTTAGAAAGAAAACTTGGACGGGTCAGTACACCCATTTCCATAGTTTCACACCGATTCAGCATAAAAGAAACTTAGTTAAGTGTCTTAGCTACAGAATAAAACGAATATGCTCAGAGGAATGCATTAAGGAAGAAATGCATAAACTAAAACTCACACTGCAAGAAATGGATATCCACAGAGCTTCCTAAAAAGTATATGTCAATACCTATAGACAGGGTAAAGGTGGATACCGTAGACAAGAAACCTTTGTATCTTAAGTTAAGTTACAAAGGGGAAATTGCAGCTGACATTCTAAAGTGTCGACTCAATAGAGCAATAGATAGAACATTTCCCGCAGCTAAATTGGTACTAAACTTCTCAACTAAACCAGTACTCACACAGCAAGTAAAGGATAAATTACCAAAGATGGCCTCATCAATGTGCATCTACGAATTCAACTGCTCATGTGGAGCTAGTTATATTGGCCGTACTCAGAGGGCTTTATCCATGCGCGCACGTGAACATGTACCTGTATGGTTGAGTAAAGGAGTAACCAAAGGCATAAATAGTGCAGTCTTAGCCCACTTGGTAGATACTGGACACCCGATAAAACTTGACCAAGCGTTCTCAGTTATTTACCGCGTTCCTAGTAATTTATCTAGAGGAGCTCGACTACGTCTTCTATCAGTAGCTGAAGCAGTTGCAATTAATACCAGAAGACCATCCCTCTGCATACAGAAGAAGTATGTTCAACCTCTATGTTTACCTTGGCCTACAATAAAGCCAACAAATCCTCCATTAACACTATAAATTCCTTTCGCGATTTTCTTTTCTTTTCCTTCTATTCCTCTGTTTCATTGACAAACGTTCATTTTCGACTTTTATGATTTCATGACCTTTCTTATGATTTTATTACCTTAGGTTTAAATAGTGCTTTTCTAACTTACTATCGTATTTACAAAATCCTGTTCATTCCACTTCATTATATTCATTATTATTATTTGACAATCATTCACCAATAGTACATTTAATTTTAATTTTACACCATATCATCGTTATTATTTTACAATCATTCTTATTGTTGTTATTTTCAACCTTGAACTTAAGTCTAGACCGCCCCATTCGTTGGTTTATTTTCATATTGCCTCACACACCCTGATTACACTCATCTTGAAACCTGTATTTTCTGTTAACTATATTTATATATATACACACATTAAATTAAATTATTTCATCTCATTCTGTCCCATGTTGTTATTGACCATGCATATTAAAAAACTATATGACTATTGTTTCATCCCATCTTATACTTGTTCCACAATACACTTTCTGATATGATTCTAATTCGCCTTTACTGGCTATTGTATGCTTACATTAATGGATTTATAATTGTAGAGCCTGAAGAAGAATTTATTGAAAACAATTGTTCGCTCTAAATAATTTGTTCTGAATAAATTATGGAAATATTTAATTTATTAAAAAAAAACAATTAGTCCCTTTGTTAAATTTGAATAAGGCATTGAAAAGACAAATTTCGCCAGAGATGACATTGTCATTTCGTAGTTTCTCTACAACCGCTTTACACAACTAACATGGTTAACAATATTAAAATAAGGATCATGACAATTACTCAGTTAAATTAATAAAAAAAAAAAAGTACATACTAATGACCAATCATATTTAAATAGGTCAAGTGGTCAGTTCACAGTAGGCGAAGATTGAAGTCTATTGTCTTTTTGTACACACAGTTTAGGCTGTATGTGATTAATCCGCCAAAGTGCTTCCATCACCTTCAATAACCAAACTTGAATTAGAGTTACGGGATGAAATAATTGTACCGAAGAAAGCTATCTTCATTGACCTACCATTCAAGGGTGACCAGATTATGCATTTGACAGCTAGCTAGCTCAAAGACTTCGGTCAGCCATCAAACACACATTCTACGCCGAATCTCTTTTTCTCACTTCCCGAACATTTTCGATCCCTGTACCTACGATGAAAGGACGAAATCCCGTGGAGTCTACTTCAGACTGTATCTACAAGTTCACCTGAAGTTGTTGCGGTGACACACACATATATATAGGTAGAACCAATAGAATGTTCCAATGTGGTCGTCGAAAAGAACATGTTCCAAAATGGCTACTAAATCATATAGAAAATCCCAATGCGATTAATCTGAATAGAAATCCATCACTATCATAGTCATCCATTGCAAAAGACTTATCAGTCAGGTCAAAATCAATATTAATGACTGTTTTAGAATTATTTCACCCCCTTAACTCTAATTCAAGGTTAGTTATAGAAGGTGATGGAAGCACTTTGGCGGATTAATCACATACAGCCTAAACTGTGTGTACAAAAAGACAATAGACTTCAATCTTCGCCTACTGTGAACTGACCACTTGACCTATTTAAATATGATTGGTCATTAGTACGTACTTTTGTTTATTTTTATTATTTAACTGAGTAATTGTCATGATCTTTATTTTGTTTTTTCATTGTTATCATGTTAGGTGTAAAACGGTTGTAAAGAAACTATGAAATGATAACATCTCACGAAATTTGTCTTCTTAATGCCTTATTCAGTAGTATGTTTGAACAAAACTACTCAATAATTACTCAAAGTTCAAAAGGGTTAGACATTTTTTGTAAAAATAAATCAATTTTTCGATTTTTTTTTTCATTCTAACGACAGTATAAATTTTCTATAGCTGGTTTGTAAGGATTAGTTTTGTTTTTACAAGTTAATCGCAGATTGACATCAGTCAGCTGTCCAGTACTCCAATGTTAGTTTTCAATGGTTTTCTCTAACTAATATCAATATGTGGTTAAACTCGTAAAAACAAATCTAATCCTTACAGACCAACTATAGAAAATTAATCTGATGCTCGATAGTCACTTGCTACAGAATGGAGTTTCCTGGAGTACTCGTGAGAAGTCGTTACTAGTGAGGTTCATCCAGTCTAGTATGAGTATGGATGTCTGACCGCTAAAATCACGAACTGGTAGAAGACAGAATTCATAGATTGGCCAGTGAATCGTGTACCAGTGGCTGAATGGTATACGAGCCAGCTTGCCTTGTAACTGGAAGGTGCTTCGTTCGAACCCTGGTGGTATGTGTGTACTGCCTATGATTCCCAAGAAAGGATGTAACAGCTATCGAGTACTCGAGTGCTGCTTTTCAATGGTTCTGTAACTGACATCAATCCATGATTAACTCGTAAAAGTGTTTTAAATGCTTAAGATAATCTATTTTTCAGACTGTCCCATCAGTCAAGTGAGATTATTTCAGCCTTAAGTTCTGGGCGTCAACAACACCACATCTTCATTTTGTCCTGTTCCGAACATTCCTCTTCAACTGTCCCCACGGTTGCCCATTCGCGCCCATCTCCTTCTCACGAGTGCTGCTATTGGAAGAGGTGTAAAATGTAAATTAATTATTTTCAGGTGTAAGCGCTTGCAGGGAATTCATTCGTTTCAGGATTTCATCATTAGCTGACATAGATTAGAGGTTCATTGGATCGGATCGCAGTGACTTAATGGCCTACGAGCGCTCGCCTTGTAACCAGAAGGTCCTCGGTCCGAACTCTGCCGGCAGGGTGTGCGTACTGATGAAGAGTCCCAAACTAGGAGGAAACAGCTGTCCAGTACTCCCAGATTTTCCAATGGTCCTCTAACCGATGTCAGTTCATGATCAGAATCTGAAATTAATTATTTATTTTGGTCACTCTATAACTACTAATCATCAGTTATTCTACGTAAAAATGTATCCACCGCATTTTACAACTGTAAAAAAAACCGAAAGTGGAGAATTTATTGAAAGGAATACTCTTCGTTCAGACCAATTGTAATTCATTATATACTGAAGGACATTTGACACTTTTTAATTGTACACTCTTCATACACTCCAAAACGAAAAAACGAAAAAGTAGCCGGGGATGATTGAGAAAATACTCTGTTTAGTGGAGGAACTTACTCATTATCAGTATACAAAGGATTATGATGACTAGCACCATCACCGTTTATTACATCATCATCATCATCTGCAACTTCGTCTTTACCAAAGAAATCACTAAGATTATTATTATTATTATTTTGATTAGATGAGAGCTGATTAATTGCATTTTTAACGTGATCCCAATCATGAATAATGGACTGACTACTATTATTCTTATCAGTAGTAGTAGTACTGGTAGCAGCAGTTTTGTTGGTTTTCATTGCCACCATTATATCACTTTTATTAGTTGGAATACTCATCACCTTATCCTCATGAATATTTTTCTCGTCAATATCACCACCAGATGCAGCATAAGCAGCACACGCACGTTCGGCAATTAAAAATGAGTCAATCGATGAAAGTGATGTCGGTCGAGGACAATTATTCGTACTAATAGATGTTGATGACAATTGTTCAGTTGTATTACCAAAAATATTTAATATCATTCCATCGTATCGTTTAACTATGCCAGCAGAGATAGGTCTATTCAATTTCTGAAAAAACAAACAAAAGTGTATACAACAATACATGTGAAGATTTAACAAAAGAAAAACAGATCACTGATCTCTCTCTCTCAAAGAAGTGGATCACTCTCATCGAACACTACGCAGTAACTGATGTCATGCTTCCAATCCTTGGTATTGGTGCAGAATGAAATCTACCAGTCAAGTAGATAACCACCAATAATAATTATTATTATTACATCCTTTAATTTCTAGAGGAATATAAAGCTTCAGCGGCACGTCTCTTTTTCACCCCGCTCCAAGTCTGCCCACATGCTTTCATCGCCTCTTCACATGACCTCCTCCAAGTCACCCTCGCACTGACCACCAACTCACCGCTTCCCTTTCGGGTTCCACTCGAGCAATGGCTTGTCTAGTGATGTCACTTGATGATTTGTTTCCTCAGAGTATGGCCAGCCGATCCATCTCCATTTCATCCTGCCTATTTGTTTCACAATCGGTTCCTGCTGGGTTGGTTCGCTCCTAGAGATCTCTCCCTGTTGCTGATCTTTCCTGGCCGGCCATCTGACCTTCAGTATTGAGCGAAGACAGCTGTTAGAGAAGGTCTGAAGTTTGTTTGAGATGCTCTTTATGACGCGCTGGCCAAGTCTCTGATCCGTATCGTAAGTAGCACTGACTGATTTCACATTGGAGTTGAAAATCCAGATCTTATTTTTGATACTGAGTGCTGTTGACCTCCACACAGACTTACGAGTAATGAAAGCTTGTCTTGCTTTTCTGATTCTGGCTTTGATATCCTCGTCAGTCCCGTCCGCCTGTAGTTGAAACGATGCTTCACAGATCGGTAGGTAAAGGAGGTTGTTTCTTTCAGGTTCCTCCCGTTTATGGTGATTGTTGTCTGTCGATAACCACCAATTACTTAGTAAATTTGAATAAAGCAAGAGTGACAAATGAGCTCGTGTTTTTGTTTTCATTATTTCCTATATTCTTCTCAACTGGTTACAACCTGAACAGTACCAAAATTATAAATTAAATTAAAAACATGCATGAGCTCAGATTATTCCGGTACATTTGTCGTTCTGTGCACAAATTTCACTACGTCATCTTTTCTCCTGTTTAGAAAACTTGAATTTTTCGTCTAAACATGACTCATCCTATCCCCATATTTTGTGTATTTCATAAAAACGTGTTCTTCTTTAGTTATGTAGTCTATTACATTTTTACTCTTCCTAGTTAAACTTTATTTCTACCCACAAAACATCCATTGACATCGGTCCTTTTGTTTCCAAGCTTAATAACGCAATTCTTCTACAAATAGTCGATCCTTTTCTCCCTTAATTATTCAACAAATTATATTATTCCGATCGGTTACTCTCTATTTTTTGCAAAAAAGAAGTATGTTCAGATCTTTAATTTAATTTACAATTTTGGCATTGTTCAGGTTATAATCAGTTGAGAAGAATCCACGAAATAATAAAAAAGTAACATGAGCTCAGACTATCCTGGTACATTCGTCAATCTGGCTTTATTTAAATTTATTAATGGGAAGAGTTGTATGCAATAGCTTCATGCTTTACAATGGTAGAGATTATTCTAAAAATAAACAAACTAATAACCTGTTGACTGAAGGATGATCAACAGACTCACCTCATATCCTATAATTCCTAGGTTCAATGCCAAATGGGATCATGGGTGGAGAGGACAAAAGAGCTATCCAGTAAGTACTCTGTTATTTTCAATATTTATCTAACTCATGATCAGAATCTGAGCCAATCGAATCGATAATGAGCAAAACTCAAAAATGAGAGCGAGACAGAGAGACACTATGTTATTAAAACTATATTGATAAGACAGGTTTGGCTTATATGCTTCAATTCCTTGAAGCGTTAGCTGTGAAAAAGACTGAACCTGTTTACGTCTTCAAAAGTTATTTATTATTACTCTGATCCTGCCATGGTTTATTTAAACCGTTTTTTCTTACTTTCTATCTGTTATCTTGAACCCTAAGCATTTTGGCCTAAATTTATTCAATTTGAATCTTTTATATTCTGTTAACTTTTATAAAAATATGTATGCCAATTGTGTGCTTGTGTCATCAGATTATCTGAAATGGTTGCATAAATACGTTACGCATGTTTTAGATAAATTACGTCTTCATATCGTTCCACTGAGAATTCATAAATGGAATTAATTGTTTCAAATAAATTCCTATCAGACAAGATTTCAATGTGATATTATCAAATATATATGCACAACACTTACCTCTTTACGAGAATCATTATCATGATTAGTTTGCAATTTATCGACTGATATCTCATCTGGTACTGGCCAATAACTGTTAGGTCTAACAGGTGGCTTAAAGCCTTGATTAGCATTTCGTGAATTTACTTTATCTGAGACAGAATGTACATGCTGTGGTGCTGGTGAAGTTTGATAAGATGTCGGACTTTGACAATTTTCTTGAATAAAAACAGAAGAGAATATGAACAATAAGTAAGTAAAATTAATCCACACAAAGATAATCCATTGACTGGGTAATTATCCATTGGTTTACAGCAGAAATCAACACACTCGTCCAGGCCTCTTGCAAGATTAGAATGGTATGCAGTATCATCCTGTGGTGCAACCATTCGAGAACGACACCCCCTGGTGGACGAAATCGCCTAGTGGATAATAATTTGGCTTTTGAAACGATGTATGCTCAATTCGAGTCTCAGTGATGACATTGTCAATCACTGAGGATTGCAGACACAGCAAGATGACGAATGCCCCCAAACAGGACGAAATGTACATCCTATATTCCACTGCTAGTCATCCACCGTCTACCAAATAACAGCGAAGGGGGTCTTTACGGCAAAATAAAGTTAATGATGACATGCAAGAATGAAAGTGTGGATTCCCTCAGAATCAATGGAATTGGTTGGAAGGAGCATTATATCGCAAATTCATAGATGCTGGAATTCACTGACCATAAGATTCCCATCTAGTGGCTGAATAGTCAGCAGGCTGATTCTGTAATCTGAAGGTCCTCAGTTCGATATTCAGTGAGGACATGGGGTGAGAACTGATGACAATTCAAATGTCCTGAGCCGCTTTCTAGACAGTATTTTTGAGGATTCTTCACTAAACGAACCCAACAATTCAACATAATCGATATCTGTATCACTCAGGTTCAATCCGAACGATCAAATGATGTAAGCATGCAAGTGGTGTCATTATCACAATTTCGCAAAAAAAACAGGTAAATGATAACCAATCGCATTATTCTGCTAAATAAGCAACAATGGTAAAATAAAACCAAGAAAACAAATGCATGCATACCATGGCTTATAGATGTTGTAGTGTGTAAGATGTTGGATGTAGACAGTTTTTGAATAACACTCGGTGATGGGAATCCATCCTTCTGTTGAGAACCATTCAAAATATGCGATGAAACATTACATTTATTATTATTAGTAGTGGTACAATCAGTCACTGTTGATACAACAGTGTATGGAACAAGTATTGATCCTGATGGTACACAATTAACATGAGCTTGAGAATGAATTGTAGGATCTAAATGCATAGTATTAGAAGGGTAAAATCGTTGATGAGGTGGAGGCGGTGGTGGTTGCGATAGAGTAGCAGGCAAAGATTGGTCTTGGGGATGAGGGAATCGAACAGCTGATAAATTCAATGAAATATTTGTGGCATTTAAAAATGGTTGACTTTTACGTTTTTGCTGCTGACAATGATTAGTAGACGACTGAAAAGCATCACCATCCACTAACTGTCGATCAGTTGTCGGTGACATTATCGCTTCATTAGAGTTAACTGGAGGATTAGATGTGCAATGATTGATTGCATTGATCGTGGTTGATATTCTTTTGTCATTATTAGGAATATTAGTCACGAAGATAGGTGGAGGAGATGAGATGGTGTTGTTATTCAAAGGATGGTAATTGATAACATTGAAATTATTTGAATCGAGCGGCTTTTCAACATAAAGTAATTGAAACCAAGACATGGAAATAAGGGGAATGGAGAAAAACATTAACCAAAAAATTGAAACGTATTTTGATTAAAAATTATTCTCATACGTTGGAAAGTTCGAAAATATAAATACATTAGGCTTTTAAAATCAAATGATACAAATTCCAGTCTGCAAGACAGAAAATCTGTAAACGTTTCGAGTACTTGATGTTTCTCGTCGCCTGTACATATTTGGTAAAACCGTACTGTGGTCGACAAAACAGTCAGCTGTACAGTTAGTTGTCATCAGATAAGTTTGTCGATGAAGTTATTGACTCTGAACTCTTGAAATGTCTAACCAATACCTTTAATATTTTTTTATCATGTATGTTGGTGTTGGGTTAATGGAAGCAGAATTATATTGGAGAAAGCTGGAATCTATCGCGAATATAACATCATCTCTAATTATGAAGCTATTGACTATTAGTCACCTAGTTCCACTTCATGCTACACCCGGAATCTATAGTCAAAGATAATTCTTTGCCAAAAATGAAGATAAATCTTCGACATCTATATACAAAAAATGGTTCAAGTTTGATCAGTAACTGACTTCAGCTGAACAACCACTGAAAACCATTAGTGAGTAGTGGACAACTACTTCATCATTGTTTGTGACCCCGCAAAGTTGGGCATTAGGACACATATACTCACCGGTTTGCCCTATAGAACACGAGTAGGTAAAAGTCATTCGATCAGGTCTCAGTAGCTAAATGGTCTACGTACTCGCATCATAATGTGAAGGTCCTGGGTTTGAAGCGTCATGAATGTGTAATGCTGGATTCCACTCTTATTATTACTATTATTATTACTAAACGTTGATTAAAAGCCCAGATAAATTAACCAATGCATTCACTACTCAACCAACACACTATAAATAAGTAGTAGAATATTACTGTGAAGGTGAAAACTCACGTGATTTTCCTTTTGACCATTGTCAACTTGTTGTTGTATCGGCATTCGTATTCCATGAGCACTAGAAATGTTAGATACCAGTATAGGAGTTGACAAACAACAAGTATTGAGCATAGAAGAAACAAGTTTATCTGATTTGGTATTGGCTAATTCTGACTGACAGACGTTAAAAACATTTCTGTTGCCATTGTTAGTATTACTATTACTACTGTTATTACATGTATTGGTAGTGGTAGTATTATTGCTGTTGTTGTTCGAACGAACCGTACAGAAATGAAGTAAACGATCAATAAAAGGTGGTTGTCCATCTCTTGTCTTCAAAAATGACGATGATGGTGAACGTTGAAGTTGTACAGATGGTATAATCTTTCCAACAGTAGGATCTACAGTACACCATGTGAATAAATGTTGATTCAATAGATTACTACTGACACCATTTGAAGAGCAAGATGATGACGGCGGCAAAGGCGGAGAAGTTGCACCAATTAAAGTAGAAGAATTCAAAAGATTCAATGGAAGTAAACTAATCAATTCATCTGTGGCTAGAATAAAATGCTGTGAATTTAAATGAGTTAATTGGTGTTTAGATAACAATTGACGACATATTTCTAATGGCTCTCCCCATAAAGTGAATACGGGATGTTGACTGGATACAAAACCAAGTATACATGATCCAAAATGAAGAGCTGAAACGAAAATAAAAAATAAAGATAATTTAAATGAAAGAGGGAAGGAAGCACAACAATACGAAATAATGTATACACACGAAACACATGTTCAGAGATTCGTTCAGAAATCACTTCATTACAATACCATACGTACAATTTTTTGATCGTATTCTGATCATCTTTACAGAAATTTTCTCCAACAACATATTACAATTCTAGAATCAGAAATGAAGACGAATTGGACACACGGTGAAAAGATTGTTGAGCGTCACTCCATACTCCAGGTCCTCTAATAGGAAGCGCCAGATTAGGCATCCAAGTAGAATATGGTGTCGATCATGTAAAGAGGAAATGAAAACTTGTAAGTACATTGTCGAGTTATCTGAAAGTGATGCCGCAGAACTGGGTGCAATGGAGATGCTCTCTTGAAGCTGTATGTCCCCACAAGTAATGCAGGGAGTGAATAATATAATCACATGACAGAATCAAAAATACCAATGTAACGGTAGAAGACAAGAGACCTGGTAACCGACGGTTTAATTGGGATTTGATATTTCTATATAGGGAAATTATGTACATCTTATCTCCAAACCACCATCTGCACAAATCTTCCGTGTTGTGCTACTTCTACCCTACATACTGTGTTTCTTTGTCTTGTTTTCGTGTTTCCTATGTTTTACCACAAACCTGTTTCATTTGCTTTCTTTGAGATCAAATCTAACCATCAGATATTTGATATTTTTGTGACGATGAACGCCTTTTTATAAAGTGTTAGTAAATCTTATCAGTAGCACATGCCACACTAGCGTCGACCACATGTTATAGAACATGAAATATGCATGGGTAAGACTAGCGCCATATTGTGAACTCGAACGACAGTATTTCGTGGCACAGTGGTTAGGACTCTCGCCGACCATGCACATGGTCCGGTCAAAATTTGTAAGTTTACCTCAGTCAGTACTAAAATTTGCCTCGTGACAGCATTTATTAAGACTCAAAATTATCCAACTTTTAATATGATATATATATATATATATATATATATATATATATATATATGGCTTTCACTGTCTTCAGGAGAACTTCGCACATCCCATTGACTGATCATACTGGATAGCAACCCTCGCTCTCTGTTGACATCTCAGCTCCCAGTACGGATGCTTCAACGATGTCTAAAGACCACTATGAAATAATTTTTGGTTGGCGGTGACTTACACTGAAATCTCGGATGCGCATTTCATCCTATCTGTGAGTGGCCAGGTGACGCTAGTGACCTAGTGAATAATATTCCGGCATTTGAGACGATGACTGCTGGGTTCGAGTCTGTTATATACTGGTCGAGAATTTAATAGTCTTGACGCAAGAAAGACGGAAATCAGAAGACCACTAGGTTTGCGATGATACTTCTATTTTCCAAAACACCAGGAGAATCAATGTGTCACACAAGAGTGTGAGAGCAAAAATATAAAATGTCCGAACAAGTGTGTGAACACAAGTGTGTGAGCGAATATTCAAAATGAACAAATCAATAGACAGTCTTAACATGATTGGCTAATTATAATGGAATATCGATCCATATATACATAGCAAAATATATCAGACTGTCAAACAAAACACACATATTATATGGATACATATCAGAGTCTTAGTAAGAAAATCACTCACTAGGAATTCAGGTGCATTCAGACGATGAGCATTCCCAAAACAGGACGAAATACGCACCCTGGATCCTACTGCTGTTCACTACTAACTAAAAACACCGCCTTTCAATGTATTTCTAGACAACATCTTCAGTGTTCTAACTTCAATGTGGATTACTGCATGGGCCAATTCCATCCCAGTGGCCAAATAGTCTACAAGCTCACCTCGTAAACTGAAGGTCCTGGGTTCAATTCCCTATGGGGAGTGGTGGGTGTATACTCGTGAAGAGTCCCAGATAAGGATGAAGCCACTGTCAAGTACTCCCTGATGGTTTTCAACGGTTCTCTCTAACTGACATCAACCCGCGATCAGACTTGAAACCAGTGAAATATCTACAAACTACCACTTGAAAATATATAAAATACCACTTAAAGACAGTCAACTTACAAACTGTTTGAACTTACCAGCTTGAACATAAATCTGACCATTTGATGATGAAGATGACGTTGAAGTGGATGACTGGCAATTCGACTTTTTATTCAACTGATCGCAAACAATAATCACTTGTTCAATAAATTTTATCAAGCATGTCCATTGTGTAGCTGCAGACTGAATGACTTGAGAATCCTAAGTATTTACAAATCAAAAAAGGAGAAATATTTTTATATATGGAAATGAATAAGTAGGCGAAAAAGAACTAGTTTAAAAACCCTTAACGAACACAAAGCAAGAAAGCAACGATAGCAACAAAAACCATAAAGTTCTGAAGCTTACCCTGACCTTAAATAAATCTGAAAAGTAAGGATACATTTTCACAATATTTAGTCAATAATAATCAGTTAACTGATATAATGAAATATGACTGGTTTACACTATCTCTAAGAAGTTGTAGCCATGCAGATTTTATGGATTACCAAAAATACACCAACCAGAAATGACAAACAGAGAGTGGCAGCACTATAAGTCCGTTTTTTCGCTCTCGATAACCTCTGATGTAAGACTTCACTAGTCACGTCCCCATTAAATTGCAGTTTCATGAACAGTTGTTTCTTTTTAACTGTTGTCAGTTTTTTCTTTATTGTACCTGGTATTCATGTGTCTCCTTACAAATCTACTGGGATAACCCATTTGGATCAACGTATTTTGGATGTATCCTAGCTCATTTTCTAGGGGGTCATCTGTACAGATACGTCTTTCTGTATTCGTGAGGCATCAGACCAAATTGATTTTGTATCGGATTGCTACAAAACTGAGGAAATGTGTATATTGTCCTACAGGTGTAGATTTTCTATAGACATCTTTCTTGAGTGAACCGTCCTCTCTTCTGTTCAATTGGACGTCAAGGAAATGTAGTCTACCATCATGTTCTTCTTAACAAGTGAAGATGAGCGATGGATGTGCATCATTAAACTTTTTTAATATTTCATTCTTGTCAGCTTTCACATCAAGAATAATAAACGTATCATCAACATAACGAAAATAAGAATCGGTTTTCTCTATTGCACATCCATCGCTCATCTTCATTTGTTAAAAAGAACATGATGGTAGACTTCATTTCCTTGACGTCCAATTGAACAGAAGAGAGGATGGTTCACTCAAGAGAGATGTCTATGCTTCTGTGCGTGACACAGTGGTTAGGACTCTCGCCGACCATGCACATGGTTCGAGGTTCGATACCCTGCCGACGCACACCTGATATCTATGGTCGGCCTGCAAAATTTGGGCTACCGAAATCCATGCTGAAAATTCCATACTTGTACCAAAAATACAGTGTGGATTCAAGCTGTAAATAGAAAAACAACTTATATCTGTAGGACAATATACACATTTCCTCAGTTTTGTAGCAATCCGATACAAAATCAATTTGGTCTGATGCCTCACGAATACAGAAAGACGTATCTGTACAGATGACCCCCTAGAAAATGAGCTAGGATACATCCAAAATACGTTGATCCAAATGGGTTATCCCAGTAGATTTGTAAGGAGACACATGAATACCAGGTACAATAAAGGAAAAACTGACAACAGTTAAAAAGAAACAACTGTTCATGAAACTGCAATTTAATGGGGACGTGACTAGTGAAGTCTTACATCAGAGGTTATCGAGAGCGAAAAAACGGACTTATAGTGCTGCCACTCTCTGTTTGTCATTTTCCAGCTGACCAATTTTGACTGCTCAAGTGAAAGATAAGCTACCTAGCTGCGCCACTTCCATGTGTACCTATAAATTTAGTTGCTTCTGTGGAGAAAGCTATATAGACCGAACAACTGGACAGCTTAACAAACGCATTAATGAGCATCTTCCTTCAAATAAAATCCATACTAAGTTCTATTTTGGCTCATTTGATTGATAGCGGTCACCAAGTGGACAAAAAGAGTGCTTTCAAAGTTATCTATCGCATTCCATCGAGTCTTCCGAACAGAATCAGAACCCGTCTTTTACACTTAGCCGAAGCTATGGGAATTCGAGAGAACAATCCTACTCTTTGTATACAAAAGAAATTTGTTCTACCTTTGTCTCTCCCTTGGCCTATGTGAATTCTATCCAAAACCCTCCCACCCTTCCCTATCTTCCATCTCCTTCGTACTTTTATGATATTTATTTAAACTCTGGTTATCATTCTATTTCACCTTTTAAGATTTGACCTACTTTATTTATCTATTGAATTGTCTACATATACACATATATACATATATTATCTTTGTTATTCTTATCACCTGCATAAACCTTATTATCAATATTTTGTTATCATTATAATTATTGTGATTAATTTCTTTCAAAACATTAACCACATTACTATTATTATTAACATTATTATTATTATTGGTTGATCCACAAAATCACTGTCATTGGTTAAAAATTTTTATATATAAGTCTATGTAAATTAGAGTAAAGTCTGAAGAAGATCTAACTGAAAACAGCAATATTGTTCGTTTATATGTCTTGTTCTAATATTATAAATAGGAATATTTAAAGGTTTGTTCATTATTCACGAATATTCCCGTTAGTGATTCTTTAGATGTTATTTATAATTTACTTTGTTCTGACGATGAACTCAGTGCTCATTGTCCTTTAAATCCAGATGAAATTATGAAGGCATTGGACTCATCTCTACATTCCACGTTATTTACATTTAGAGGGGTTCTTTACCGTCAGACGGAAGGCATTGCTATGGCATCATCAGTATCTCCACCAGTCACCAATTTGTTTATGCACTCATTAGAAACAAATGCAGTTATGAGATGCTCTAGTCATCCAAAAAATGTGGTTAAGATACGTGGATGATACCTTCGTCATAATGAGATGTTGTTTGTTGAATGAACTTTCTCACTTAATAAACAATGTCAGAAACCATCAAGCTTTCCAAAGAGTGTGAATCCGACGAGAATGGTTTGGCGTTCCTCGACTGTTCAGTATAAAGAAAACCAGATGGTAAATTTAGAATAAACATTCTCAGAAAGCCGACAAATTTGGATAGATACCTAGACTACTATTTAGCTCACCCAGTTACCACCAAAGTAACTGTTGCCAAGAATCTGATCAACAGAACCATACGTCTAGCTACTGAGGAGAAAGATACTAGCAAGGAACTAAAATTGGTTCAATACACTCTTGAATCAAATAATTATCCTAAAGACTTCATAAAAAGATATTTAAAATATGAAGATAAGGATGAATCGAAACCTGTTGCACAGCGGTGATTTCTTACCACAAAGAAACTTTCAACGAGATGAGGCGAATCCTCAGCGATTATAACATAAGAGTGTATTTTCGTTCAACTAACACCTTACGCTCATTACTGGTGAAGATTAAGGATAAAATAGGAGAGAGAAAAAACAGAATTGTGTGTACCAGATCAATTGTGGGGACTGTGACGCCGTATATGTAGGAGAAACTTCCAAACAGGTAAATATAAGAGTGAAAGAGCATAAACAATGTCTAAAGGTGGTTCCAAAGACCTCTGAAGACTTGAAGAAGTCAGAAAACAGATCGGCGATTGCACTGCACTGCATTCGATAGAAACGGGACACAAAATAGGCTTTGATAAGAATAAGCTTCTAAAGAAAGGTTTTGATTCGTATAAAGAAAGACTGACTGCGGAAGCCCTACACATATGGGTGAATCCCAACAGTTTGAACAGACGTGAAGGTCTGATATTAGTTGATGCATGGCAAATCTTGATTAATAAATAAAAAATGGACATGTATCACTAATTAATCATACTTGGTATAAATTCCCGACTGTCTACATCTTCTTATGGAGAGGCTAACAAATGTTTTCCAGTTCACGGTTATAAAAGGTGTCAGGTGAGTGGTATGTATTAAACAGGAGATAGTAAGACTGAAATGATAGGGTCATAATGAAATGACGAATGTGTGAAATGAAACAAATGTTTTACAACTGTTTACCCATACACACACGAAAGTATACAGGATATAAACATACATTTTCATATTCAGTTATCTACGACCATGAACTTTTAGTTAACCTCGCCAGATACTAGCTTGCTAGGCTACTAGCTTACTAGTTTTCTCGCCGTTCCCAAGCCCGGGTAAAGAGGGAGGGTTGGGGCGTGGTGCTAGCAACTCCACCCCTGTAAAACAACCAAATCGCTACAGAAACTTCAACGAATAAATATATTAAAAAAATTCTAATAATGAACTTTTAGTTGAACGTAAAAGTACACTCTGCTTAACAAAAGTAGACTAATATATGAAAATCTGAGGTCAGATTTTGATCACAAATCATACAATTTTATTATACATGTTGATATCTGTTTCATGACTCATATGATTGGACAAAGTCTTCAAAAAACAAGAGATGTCCTTTTTATGTATGAACCTCCGCTATGTTAGTTTCGGTTAATTTCTCTGAAGAAGTTCGAACTAGTTTGCTGAACGAAACATTGGAATGAATCATTTCAATTTCGCTGAGATTTCACAAATATAATTTTTACAAGTGTTGGTTATTTTGAAGTTAATTGCTAGATGTTGACTAGTAATGGAATCCAGGATGCGCATTTCGTCCTATTTGGGTTATTCTGTAGTGTCACTTTGAGATTTACTTCCATCTATTGTTGTAATACAATCATTTCTATTGTGAATGTTTTATGTAATAAGGATGAAAATTCATTCCATAATCTACCCAACCAACCCTAATTTACTTTTGAAAAGCATCAGTCTGATAATGAAGATCAGAAAGAGGAGGAAGGATTATTGGCGAAATGCATGACGCAGTATAGAAATTACCTTTCATGTCACCCTAGAACAACTCAGTCTCATCGGTTAATCAACTTACGCGACATTTCCGCATGTTACGATACTATTCCTCTGCATCCTGAGTGGAACATGTGACTTCAGGATTGGGTTTTGAAGTCTCATTGGCGGTGGTGTGCTCTTTTTTTTACAGAAGGCGCTACTACCCTCACAACGAACCTTCCCACTTCTCATGGAATACTATTGGGAATCAATCCCTGGACCACGTGCATGACTGGCTAGCATTCTGCCTTTAAACCGCCGGCGTACCCTCTTCACGTTTCCCTAACATACATGTATTATTTTCTTATTCTCATGAAAGGATACTTTGAAATAAAAGATTAAGTCTTCTAAATTCATATGTCCAAACCAAGTTCACTTTTAACGGTTTGAAAAAATTTGGGCATTGGGTATATGATATTCATTATAATAAAGGTTTTTGTATTTCCCAATGAATGAAAAACAAAACGATATTGTTCCTACTGTCGTTTCGCTATTTAATGCTAATAGCTTTCTCAAAGTATTATTAAACCGGAATTTACTAACTCTCAGCATATATATAACAAAGAGTTAGGGGGTGAGAAAAAAATATAGACTTAGTTCAATTCAATGAAGATCGTTCAATCCAAATATCAAAGGTAATATATCTGTATATCTGTTATTATATCAAAACAAAGTTTACTAACTTGATCTTCATTGTTATTTTGACTTTCAATATGTCCTTTTAAATTGAACTAAGTCTATATTTTTTTCTCACCCCCTAACTCTTTGTTATATATATGCTGAGAGTTAGTAAATTCCGGTTTAATAATACTTTGAGAAAGCTATTAGCATTAAATAGCAAAACGACAGTAGAAACAATATCGTTTTGTTTTTCATTCATTGGGAAATACAAAAACCTTTATTATAATGAATCTACTAAATTCATTTTAATTAATTTTCAAGTATTGGTTTTGTAAGGATTTTTGTTTGATTGCATGTAGGATTTCATGCAATCATTTTAATTAGTTCGAAAATTTCCAACCTAAGTAATACTTTTGATTTTGGAAATAGCATACTTACAGAATTCCCAAGTGCTCTGACACCAGCTGCATAACCAACCATAACTCCACCAGAATAAATTTTCAGTAAATTCAATTTAGATACGGATACTGACGATGATGTTGCTGATGATGACAAAGATGAAAATACTTCATTGTTACTGTTATCGTTTTTCTCTAATGCATGATCTTTACAGGATTGTTCGTGAATATTATTAGAATTTTCTGAAATATCTGACACTGTTGACTGTTGACCAAGTGCAATTGAATCGACTAGATGTATAACATGATTTAACAGGCGTATGCGATCAGCAATCTGTGTTGGTTCTTCATTCCCCAACGTTAACTTCGACTTCGATTTCTCATCATTTGGTTTATCCGCTGTTATTCCTGCGGTTGTATTGGCAGTGGTAGTAGCAATAGGAGTAGTATTTGTACAGTCAGCTGCTTGTTTCTGTTGCTGTTCCTTCTGTATCTGCATCAGTGTAGTCGATGAAGAGTGTGATGGTATGACAACAAATTGTATTAACACTATACCGATATTATGTTGTGGTTTACTATATATTTCCATTGTTCTCTCGGGATTCGCCAGACTAGCAATCACAAAACGTGGTACAATTGAAACTAGTAAACGCGCCAGAGCTACAGTTGTCAAGTTTAACTTCTCCACGGCTAATTGAGTCTTAACACGTTTTTCAAGGGAAAAAACAACAACAGAGCATTATGTTAATTAAGAAGAATCTTGTTTCACATACAGTATTTTTTTTCATACCAAGGATAAAACCATACAACGCTATTAGTTATAATCGAATTTTTCTACTACTACAAACAATCACTCAGACAACAGTTATTCTTTATCCCATCTATTGTACAGTAAGAATCATAACCTGCCACAGCTAGAGCATTTGAACCAAATACACAATTGACTCCGGTCAACAAAAGCAGACGTCAATAATACACATGTAGTCCCCCTCCCTTACGAGGATTAACAACAATTGGTAAACAAACTGACAGTTGCTAAACCTCAGCTACCCAGAACAGATTTTCCCTACACAATGCTGTGACTTCCGTTTACTCTGTGAGGATAGGTGATACTACTGAATTTCTGAGGAAGGTTATGGTGAGTAAGGCGGGATCCAAACTCTGGACATATGGGTTGAAAGTTGAGTCCTTAAGCCAATAAACCATAGACTCATAAAAGTGCTACTAAAGTTTCACTATTATTATTTAAACCGTTATCAACTGAAAACTTCAAGAATTGATATTTAATTCGCGAAAGGTGGTCCCAACATGGATCAGTAATCTAATGGATAATGGAGCTTCGAGGTTTAAGATGATGGGTTTCCGGTTTGAATCCCAATGGAAACATCATCATATTTGTTGCAGTGAAGGCCTTCATGCATGATCAAAGTTGAAATCAAACGAATCTTTGCAAATTGACATTTGCGAATTAATCTAGTTCTCACTAGTGACTGCTTACAGAATAAAGTTTTCTGAAGTCCTAATAAGATATCGTGACCACTGGGGTTCACCATAGTCGAATGTGAGGAAAAGCACATATCGTTGACACTGACTAGTGGGCCACTGGGGTGGGGTCCCAGTGGTTAAATGGTTTGTGAGGATACCTTCAAACTAGAAGTTCCTGGGTCTCAATCCCAGTGGATGTGTACTACTGAAAAGTCCCAAACTAGGACGAAACGACTATCCAGTACTCCATCGTTTCCCAGTGGTACTACAAATGTTAGCTCGTGATAAAACTTCTAAGCAATCAAAGCCCTGGAAACCAACATTGAACAGAAAATGAAGTCCTAAAAAATAACAATAACCTAAGCATTCTTCAGCTTGTACCAAAGAAATGCTATTACCTTTAACAACTTTGATTCAGTGGCTACATGAATCAACTTCCAACCAAACAATGAATTACAGACTCATTCATAAACATATGCTATAAAAGTGTAACTCATTGCCTAGTTATAAATATGTACATACTTCTCAAAAAGCTTTACCAAGCTAGACCGCTTGTCTACAAAAAAAAACTTAACACTCACTTTCAATCTCCATTGTTTAATTAATCTGCACTGATATTCTAAACTTCGAGGCAATAGAACAGCAAGTAGGAGAAAAGCGAATTGAGCAAATAAGCATTGAACAAAATTTGGAATAAACAGACTTGGTTGAAATATTATTGTCGATGGTGAAAAGAGTTTCGATGAAGTGATATTATCATACCTGTTCAAGAAAAGCGAACTAAGATTAAAGTAAAAGATGATAAACAGTCGATTAAAAATAATATATGCTGAAGGATATTGATTGAGTGAATTCCCCTTGCATATTGAGTGACCAGTGTTGACTATATGTTTAATTATAGCACTCTTTAATGATCCACTGTTACCTTTTCGTAGTCAAGCGCAATAATGTTCCTTGAGTTTTTTTAAGATAAAACATACATCGAATGACCTATATATCTCGCTCCACATGAGTGAGTCGATACACATGGAGGTGGTCAAATGCGATAGTTTATCTTTGGAGTTTTTGAAGAACAATGAGCAGCTTGAGAATACCAATCGTGATGCAGCAGCAAAGAATGCTCTTTTCAGCGCGTTAAACATTCTTCTCTGTAGCACGTCGGTCAGAAGCTCACCTTTGAGCACCACATTCATGTATAACATCTTTGGCACAGAGATGGGTTGTTCTTTGTTGATTTTCAGCTTTATGTGTTTATCTATACAGCGTGGTGGATAGCTATTCGCGAGTAGTGTCTACCTCAAGAGAGTGATCTCTTCTTCTACGTCCAGAAATGAGAAACAGAAACCACAGAGGCAATTTAGACATCCGACTAACAAAGAAGACTGATGGGACACTAAAGAGATCAATACATCGAAATCCAACGTGCAACAACCAGCTGACCAACTTTTGAAGTTGGATACCCATCAATTTTTTTCTTTCGATTACAGCTTGATTCCACACTGTATTTTTGGTACAAGTATGGAATTTTCAGCGTGGATATCGGTAGCCCAAATTTCGCAGGCCGACCATAGATATCAGGTGTGCGTCGGCGAAGGCTCGAACCCCAGACCATGTGCATGGTCGGCGAGAGTCCTAACCACTGTGCTACCGACGCACACATCAATCCCAAGTGGAACCTGAAAATATTTCTTGCGACTAGAATCCGTAGAATATGCAGCCCCGAATCAATAGAAGAGATCACTCTTTTGAGGAATACACTGCTTGAGCATGGCTATCCATCACGCTTTATAGATAAACACAACAAAGTACGGACGGGTAATTCCAGATTGATGAAATTTTCAAAAGTTTACATTTCGAATGCAACACTAGTGGTTGTTAGTGAATAACTTTCAGGACGATGTCACAGAGTCCTAATGTGAAGTTAACATGCATAAAGTGATACTATTCGAGTGAGAGAAAGAATAAACACAGAGCACTAATGACGTTATCAGATGACGATAGTGCTCGACTGAGAGTTATATCATCACTATTATTCCCTTCTCTTCCCAGTATAACATACGGCTCTATTACACATCTCCATTTCTACCTGTTCTCTGCAATAATTTTTAGCCGGCTCTACAATCGTCCACAAGCTTTCATTTCCTCCATATAATACCTCCATGGCACCCTCGGACGCTTAACTCATTGTTACTCATTCGGGCACCACCCGAGGGACTGTCTGGTGTATGATGTCATTCAGTTTGTGTAATCCAATTCCATCTCCTTCAAGATTATCTGTTGAGGGACAGGTTGAAGGTTGGTTTGTTGTCTGCCGGAGTTGCTTGTCGTTAGTCCTTTCTGGTCGAACATCTAATCTCCAGAATGAAAGGGAAGGTAGTTGTTGACAAAAGTCTGCAGTATGACTGAAAGGTGATGTAAGTTAAAATATAAAAGATTATTTGACTTCAGAGCTGGATGTTTTAAGTAGAAACAAAAGCAAATTCAATCGCCACCGTTAATTAAACTCACCTTTTTTGATATTTACTTTGCAGTAATACACTAAAGAATCCATTGTAATGCGTAGTCCATAGAATGATAATAATATGCAGTAGAAATATTAGCAAACCAATGAACACACGTGTCAACTGTGGTGTAACTATAAATTCTATTATACCATCAATTATTTGTACAGATTGTTGTAGGATAGTTAGTTTGACTTTGCAATTTGTTGCATATAAAGCAGCAGAAGAGAATATACCTGAGATAAGCATAGATATACTACCGATAATTATAAATTGATCGTAGAAGAAACAATAATGCCCACTGTTGCTGTTTTTGACACTCCAACCAGAGACTGAAGAAGTTAAAATGTAGTCCTCTTTCAAAGTGTAATCCACTATTAATACAGTAGATGTGGTCAAATTTTTGCCTTGTCTATAGAACGCCACTTCAGATGGATGGCGTTGATGTGTATCGAGATTGTTGTTATTATTACTACTGATCAAATTCACTTCATCTATTGGACTACACAAGAACTGTTAGGAAATAAACAAAGATAAAGTAAAATAACAATATTCAAGTATTGGTTTTGTAGGAATTTTTGTTTGATTGTATGGAGGATTTCACCATGAGCTGGCATCAGTTAGAGAACCACTGGAAAACCTGGGAGAACTGACGAAAGGTAGTATTCAAGGACCATTGGATCGGGTCCCAGTGGCTCAATGGTCTACGACCTCGCCTTGTAACCAGAAGGTTCTGGGTTCGAACCCACGTGGGTGCGTACTGATGAAGAGTCCCAAACTAGGACGAAACAGTTGTCCAGTACTCCCAGGTTTTCCCGTGGTTCTCTAACTGATGTCAGCTCATGGTGAAATCCTCCATAAAATAATAATAATAATAATAGCTTTACTCCAAACAGTATATTTGATACATTCACTTATTTGGGGATTTGCAACAGCCTCAATGCACTGACTGATTGCTGAGGAAATCTCAGCCCGGATACAAAAGGCTCGTGTGGCATTTCCCAACTTAAGTCATCTCTGATGTAGGTATGGTATCCGAACATTGATCAAAAGACGTGTGTACTGGCAACAGCTAAGTTTGTCCTCCTATATGACTGTGAGATATGATTATTGAAAGTGGAAGGCTTGGAGAGAGACTATCTACCTCTGAGTTCTGTCTCCCGTGTTAAGGTAGACAATATGGTAAGTAAGAAGGGTAAGTCAACTGATGAGCTTGTGAAGGTACATCGACTGAGATAACTAGAACACGCGCTGCGCACTCCGACCCAGTGTCTTTCTCGACGATCAATGTTAGGTGGCATAAGATTAGATGAAAGAGAGTTATAGGTGGTCAAATGAAAAACTCTCATTGGTCTATGAAGTCTCTGATAGTTGGTTTGAGCTAGCCACATTAGTTACTTGTGGTCCTTGGGATGTTGAGAAGAAATTGCCGGAAGCCATTGGTGATATGACTCAGAATCACTCTCAGTGGTACAAATGCATTAACACTCTGTAATCTCCCATATCCACTAAACCATCATATTTTCCCCACATTGCTGTTCCTTTTTCCCTCATATTACTGCTTATTAAAGTTCTTCTGAATCTCTTTATTCTCTCTTTTCTCTACCTTTGTGTGCTACATGGAATATGGCAACTTCTAATGATGCACTTCTGTTCAGAGTTATATGTCCGGAGTCAGTCAGTCAATCGCAGCATTTAGAGTACAGTATTGCATCTGATTTTCTCTTTACATTATGTAGTGAGCGTAATATGTAACAGGACATCTAATGTCAATAAAAATAACTGGAATTAAAAATTAACAGACACCATGACAATAATATGTTCATGAAAGAGAATTAAAAGGGCTGTTTAATTAATATTTCTCAGTAAGTTAGTACTTTCATGACTAACACATTTTTCTCAACACATAAAATGTGTGCCGAATAAGGTATCGTACAGTTTTTATACTTCGAGCATTGAGCCTTTTATATTTATTTCCAGTCCTATCTTATGAGAATCAAGGCGAAACGGTGAATAAAGGGGATGCCCAGAGTCCGACAAGATGATATTCACCAATTTCTGTCTATAGGCAACAATATTAACAAGCTGGCTTAGGGTCAAACACCACTTACTTCACCGACATTTTTTAGTGTCCCAGGTAACACAACAGAGTCTGTCTCAAATAGCCCAGAAAATATTACGGTGAGTGGTAAACAAGAATAGGTAGAATACAAAAGTCTTAACTTTGTCTTAACTTCCTTACGTGGGAGGTTGAAAGAAATACCTTCATAGAAAGATCAGGAAAAATCAGAAGAAAGACATTATCCAAGATATTTAATATTCAACTTAGTTTCAACTCCAGTACCCTATATGGCACAAGAATCGTGGAAATGAACTAGTGTATGTATGTATATGTAAAAGTTATGTAAACAAAATAATTCCACTCCGTTATGCCTTTTGTACACAACCGTAAGCCAAACAAATGAACTAATATTAACACATTTTTAGATGAACATTTATTTTGTTGTAGCCAAACAGAACAAAATGGAGTTCATTAGTGAGTTTGAAAACTAACTTACATACAAAACATGGGACATTTAGTGTACACCATGGAAACACGCTTTCAGATAACATAACCACTGTATATCACGGCAGTATCAGTTTCCATACATACTATAATGTCAAGTAGTTTATTTTTCCGTTCCTTTGTGTCCCCAGCACGCCATATGGCTTCAAGCTTTAGCTCTGATTTTTAGTAGCAGTGGGTCTGTCTTTTTATGGAATGAAGTTGGTAGTCTTACATCAAACCCTCCCTCTTGACCAAGCTTAATACCGGCTAAACAAGGTTAAGAAGTGAGTCAACCGACAACTGAACTTCGGGTCATATGTAGCGTGTTTGGCGACTGAACCTGTGAGCCACCGACGCATTAAGCAGTGTCAGGAGTTGAATTCGTGGAGTGGACTCCGATCTGAACGCAACGCCTTGAAAAGCGTGGCCACCCTGTGAACGGCAAGCAGTTTATACTTTAAATGATATTTCTTAGGGTCAAACACTATTTCATTAGGATAAAATAATAACAGGAAATAAACATACCTGAGCATTAGTAATGAGATGAATCAAAAATATGTGAAATACTTAGCTAGTGTTTACTTCGCTACAACTTTAAAAATCAGCTGCCGACTACGCTGATACACAATTCGTACTCCGTGGTCATGCCACACACAGAGAAATACATAGGGGCAAGAAGACTGCAATCTTTCCTCATTTCAAGACTTTAGTAGTATATGTTAACACATGTAATAGAGCATGAGAGAACAGACGTATTATTATTATTGCTCCCTTGGGTTCCTAGTGGAACATAGGGCTTCAACTGTACGTCTCCATTTGTTTCTGTTTTCTGCTATACTTTTCGCCTGCATCCATGTTAATCCATATTCTTTCAACTCCTCTTCACGCGATCTCCTCCATGTCACTCTTGGACGTCCCACTCGCCGCTTCCCTTTCGGGTTCCACTCGAGGGCTTGGCGCGCGATGACACCCAGCGGTCTCCTCAGCGAGTGTCCGATCCATCTCCACTTTCTCCTGCATATTTGTTGGTTGGCGATTCGTTCTTGTTTTGTTTCTTCCCACAGTTTCTTGTTGATGATTCTTTCCGGTCCGGCCGGCCATCCGATCTTCAGTATAGAGCGATAGTTGTTGAAAAAGGTATGCAACAGGCTGTTGGAAATATTCTTTGTGACCCACCCGCCAAGTTTCTGATCCGTATAGAAGAACTGACTGACTTCACGTTTGTATTGAAAATCCGACTGGATTTTGTTGTTGATGGTGAGTGACGAAGATTTCTAGATTGGTTTCAGGTTGATGAATGAGTTTCTCGGCTTCCAGATTCTCCCTCGATTTGACACCCTCGCCCGTTCCGACTGCCTATAGTTGAGGCAATGCTCCCTAGATAATGAGTGAATGAAGTAACCTCTTCCAAATCCCTCCCGTTGATGGTGATTGACGATGGATGTTGCTACTGATGTTGTTGGTTGGTTGGTTGGTTATTTTCATAACTTCCGTCTGGTCTATGTTCACCTGGAGTCCTGTCTTCGCCGACTGCTTCTTCGACCAGTTTGTCGGTCGGTTTTCGCTTGTAAGTCTTCGATTGTGTGTGACATCAAACATAAATCATCCGCGAAATCCAGGTCGTCTAGGATCTTCACGTCGGTCCAGGATAGCCCTGTCTTCTCGTTTCCCACTCACTGTCTGACGCATAATCCAATCCACCACCATTAGGAATACCATTGGTGATAATAAGCCAGCACCCTTGTCTGACTCCTGTGTTTACTCCAAACACCTCGCTGAGTTTTCCGTTGTGGATCACTTGACATGTAGAGAACAGACTACCATGCAGTAAATTCATTGTTTGATAGTATGAACTGGGTAACTTGGTGTAATAAAGTTGGTCAGTGTCGACAGTGTTGTAAGAAATCAATCTCTTGAAGTCCTTAAAGAAATTAACGACATAATCTCGCCTATCCACAAAGGTATGAATTGATGGAGACAAATTTTGGCTATTAGTGAAGTTAAACCGAAACAATAACAACAACAATAATAACGGGAACAGTAAGTAAAACAACACTTTAACTTACCATATTCAATGATGTAGTGACAGTGGCTACAATCACACTTAGCCATAAAAATAATCGACATATGCTTGGCGAAGTACATGGTGAAATGCTTCTCTATGTTATTTTTTTTTAAATAGAAGAAAGAAATTAATTGGTTATTATCTAATCATAACAATAGTAAAAGTTGTGGGAATACATATAACGTGTACAAAAAGAATTTATGTTTATGTTATGCAAATTAACGGGTGGAAGATGACATACAAAATTGTTAACATTTGATAACATACTACTGTAAGAGATATCAGTAGTTGACATCCACATCTAGGTATCCATCATAAACAAATTTGAATTAAATTAATAATAATAATGACAATAATATCTCAGATGGTCACGGATTGATTCAGAAATAAAATGAAAATCTGATTTAAATAGTTTCAACTTAATTTGATCAATAATTATTCCTTCAGTTCAAAATAATTCTTCTCATCAATATTACTGTTATTATTCCTTTCGATTCCGTGTGGAAAATATAAGGCTTGAATCTTACTCCATCGTGTAATCTTATTTCCTAATGCTTATTATTATTATATCCTTTAATTCCTAGAGGAACATAGGGCTTCAGCTGCACGTCTCCATTGCCTTCGGTTTTCTGCCAACTTTTTCATCCCGCTCCAAGTCTGCCCACATGCTTTCATCGCCTCTTCACATGACCTCCTCCAAGTCACCCGCACACTGACCACCAACTCACCGCTTCCCTTTCGGGTTCCACTCGAGCAATGGCTTGTCTAGTGATGTCACTTGATGATTTGTTTCCTCAGAGTATGGCCAGCCAATCCATCTCCACTTCGTCCTGCCTATTTGTTTCACAATCGGTTCCTGCTGGGTTGGTTCGCTCCTAGAGATCTCTCCCTGTTGCTGATCTTTCCTGGCCGGCCATCTGACCTTCAGTATTGAGCGAAGACAGCTGTTAGAGAAGGTCTGAAGTTTGTTTGAGATGCTCTTTATGACGCGCTGGCCAAGTCTCTGATCCGTATCGTAAGTAGCACTGACTGATTTCACATTGGAGTTGAAAATCCGGATCTTATTTTTGATACTGAGTGCTGTTGACCTCCACACAGACTTACGAGTAATGGGAGCTTGTCTTGCTTTTCTGATTCTGGCTTTGATATCCTCGTCAGTTCCGTCCGCCTGTAGTTGAAACGATGCTTCACAGATCGGTAGGTAAAGGAGGTTGTTTCTTTCAGGTTCCTCCCATTTATGCTGGCTGGATATTGTCATTTGTTGTTGCTGTTCCTGTTGGCCAGGAATCCTCATCACCTCTGTTTTATCTATGTTCACTTGATGTCCTGTCTTTGATGCTTCTTCTGCTAGCTTGTTGCTTTTCACTTGCATATCTTCCAGTTTGTGGGAAACCAGACATATATCATCGGCGAAGTCCAGATCCTCCAAGTTTTTGTGTGAGTCCATTTTATGCCTGCCTCCTCATTGCCCGATGTCTGTCGCATTATGCAATCTACTGTATTCAGGAAGATCATTGACGACAGTAGACAGCCTTGCACCACTCCCATCTTCACTTCGAAGGATTCCGCAATTTTCCTGTTTTGGATTACTTGGAATGCAGCATTGTCGTACAACTGTTGGCTGAGATATATAATTCTCGGTGGCACGCCTTAGTAGCGAAGTAGTTGCCAAATCACCTCTCAATCGACTTTATCCACTGAAGGTCTTTTCAAAGTCAATGCAGTTGAGTAAGGTAGAGAGCTGACTGCGATTCCAAGCTCTGTTCAATGATGATTCGTAGTGTGGCGATTTGATCGATGCATGAATTGTTCCTCCTGAAACCAGGTTGTTCCGGTCGAAGCTTTTCATCCAGGGCTTGTTTGATTCTCTCCAGGATGATGCGGCTTAGTATTTCGCTTGGGATGGACAGGAGCATAATTCCGCGCCAGTTTTTGCATTGACTTAAGTCTCCTTTCTTTGGTAATTTGAATAAGTATCCTAATGCTTATCTTCATATAATCTTTCTCAGTATAAACAGTAACACTTACTGCATGAATTTTCCCACAAAATTTATCCTTACTCATGAGAACACTATATATATAACCTTTAGTTTTTTTTCTTTTCAATAGCTTATTTGTTTAAATTAATGAGTTACCCAGTTTTCCATCAGTGAAAACACATCACATTTTCCCAACTTCACATTATTCGAATCACCTAAATTACGTTTGTATATCTCAGCCCGCACTCACACCGATTTTCACAAAGGTTTCGAACCTACAGTTATAGTTTTTGAAGGATATGGAGGAAATAAACATTACAATATTTTTAAAATAAAGGAAAAGGTGAATATTCTTGATGTGATTATGTCCATCTAGATGGACAATGACAAAGGGCTGCAATTAAATTATCCAGCTCAAAGGACATAACTACAGTGAAGTATTGAAGCATGAGTCTGATACAAAAATAGTGCTTCAAATGACATATCGATTATTATTTTTTTGCCTGAATACTCTGCACCGAAAGCACATACTGTACCAAATTCCACCAATTCGCCCACCAACAACCGCTATGTGTAGGAAAGTATTAGCCGACGGCATTTTATGAAAATTTATTTATTTAAACGCAGAAAAACTAAGTACAATATGGTACCAAGAAGGATGCGCCACACAATAATAAAACAACTTAGATCAAAAGAAAACAAAGAAGGAAAAGAAAGAAATATATAAGTAGAGAACGGATAAAGAACTTAATCTGGAAGGAAGACAGTCATGCTTAACAAGCTCAAACAGTGTTCGTTAACTATCATCGGGAAGGGAAGAAAGAAGGAAATTGCAACACATTTGCCATTGATTACGATTCTTGGCCATATCCGATAACGTTTCGAGCCATCGATTTGAGCTACCTCTCAGACCCCAACCTGGGAGTCGTGACACACCAACCGATGCTAATCTAGCACAAAAATCTTTCATCCCACGATGCCACGTCATGGACTGACCACCTCTCCGCCTTTTACATCCCGTCCCAGGGCTAGTGAACAGAGACCTGTACGGAAGCCTCTGGGATGACATTCGGAGCACATGTCTAAGCCACCGGAGCCGGTGTTTCCAGATGACGACACTCAATGAATGGTGATCTCCACTGTGTTCAAACACATGCCGCCGAACTTCAGAATTACTCATGCGATGATGCCATCAAACACAAGCAATACTGCGGAGACAGCGATGATCGAACACGCAGAGTCGCCGCTGCACATCCTCAGCTCGGAGAGGCCAGGTTTCACAGGCGTAGAGAAGCGCAGTCCGCACCGAAGCATTGTATACCCGACCTTTGACGGCCAAGCTAACATCGCGACGGCGCCATAGGTGGCTCAAGTGATGTATGCCACTCTAGCCTTCATTATACGGTTGGAAATCTCATCCGTCACCCCTCCGCCAGCACTCACATGACTATCCAGGTACACAAACTTATCAACAACTTCAAGCGGTTCACCCGCAAGAGTGAGTGCAGGTACAGACTCCTGCCAATCTTGTAACAGTACTTTGCACTTAGACGGCGGAAAGCACATACCATACTTACAAACACTGATCGCCAACTGATTAAGTGCCATTTGAGCAGCCTGCATGCTATCGCACAGTAAGAAGATATCGTCTGCATACCCGAAAAAAGGCCACGACACTACGCCAGTAATACAAAAATGTTAGGATTCATCAACCACTAGGTTCCGACCCCAGCGGCTGAAAGGCGATATGCTCACCTCACCACCTGAAAGTTCTAGATTCCATCTCTGGTCGGGTCGCAGATGGCTACCACTGAAAAGTTCACAACCTACTTTTCAGTATTTCATACATTTATTCCCCTTAATGAATTTGAGCAAAGCAAGAACTACAGTTTTAGCAGAATAAAATGGTACCATCTTTTATTTTGTTGCCTTCTCGTCAGCTGCTTACATGGCAAAGACATTATTAAATATATCTACAGCAACAATTTTAACACACTTGCACAGAGTTAAGTTTAAACAAAAATCAATCGATCAATATACTCATACACTAAAAATATATACATATATAAATATGCAATATTAACCACTATTCCGAACAATAATAATCAAACACAATGGAAACTTTTAGCATTCCACATTCGGAGGAAAGAGAGATGAAATTATCCAGTTACCAGGGCAAAGAAAGGCTGATAACCGCTTCTTTCTGGACGCATAAATCAGTATTTGTAGTGGGTCACAGAAAAAAACATAAATCGCAAATACTCACAGTCATTAGAGAAGCGATCGTTTGAAACCTCAAATTAAATTTATTCATTATTAAATATCAAGTGAAGAGACGAAAACAGGTAACTTTCAGGACTGAATGGCGAAGCTGTGCACGGATAAAACCAGAATCATATAGTTACTGTGGGCAAATAAAGGAAACTCTCCAAGCTTAAAAACCGGGAGAAAATATCGCTCAACTCACTTTAAATCGTTTGCAGCATCCTATGACCATTAATTTTAAGGTTATATAAATTGTAGCAACTGAATACGAGATAAGCAGTATGACGGACCTGTAGTGAATAAGATAGAGAAACAAACAAACAATAGAGAGATTCGTAGTTATTCTTTTTGGAAATTTCCATATAATTTCTTTAAACCTTGAAATTATTTGAACTAAAGAAGTCGGGAAAGATTACTTCGATACAAACAACCGACTGATACAAAGAGCTGTAAATCGATCACACCAGCTAATAGATCTTGCCAACTATTTTTCCATTTTCCAAGATTCCAAGTGAAATATGGAGGTGAGATTGCTAGAGTCTTTCCCACACACCCACCCACACACACACACACATCCTACTTTTCAGGGCTTACTACCAGCTACTAAACTAAACGAGGTTGAGAGGTCCGTCGGTGGGGAATACGAACCCGCACATGGCTACCAAGCATTCTACCACTGGACCACCGATGGACGAATAGGGGAGTACTCCACGGCTTTCATTTCAACACGTATCTATGACCTCACCATGGAGATGAGTTTACGGATCATTCAGTTACTGAGATGCTTGCCAACTGGATCTGAGTGATTTAAGTACAGGATGTTGGCTTAATTCATTTTAAGCTGAGCTTATAAACGATGTATCTGGTTTGTGTAGTTAATTCAATTTTTATGACGACTTCTAATAAACTAACGTTACCCTCCTACACAAATTATACAGACAGTCAACAACTTCGTAGAGTGATCGCGTGTGTCGCAATGAGGTTATCCCTTCATTTCCTTCAGATATCATACTGTGGTGGTGTGATACAGACAATGGGTTCCAACGACAATATTATTCTCACGGTAAGAATCAATGTACATGATGGTGTGAACGTCTGAATGCTATTCCCACAGTTCATGTCGTTTATTGTAAACCAAAATCACACGCTCAGTGATTGGTTAAAGAATATAAACTGAACATATATAAATAGCTGTTTGATCACTTAAAAATATTCTTTGGCTTCCGTGTCTAGCCTTCTACTGTTACAATACTACTCTAGCAAACACAAGGTGTTGAGGAAGATGGCGATTAGAAATGTTTTATACATATTCCACCATCCTTTAGTGATGGAAGTTAAAAACTGCACCTGTATTGCTTCAGCCTCAGAGTACAAACAACTACTAGCACTTTTAGATGCTTTACGTTAGCAGACATAAAACATGGTGTGCGTCGGTGGCAGACATAAAACATGAAGTAAACTGCTGCACTAATTCTTAATGTGACTAGATAACACACATACCAAATTCAAATGATATATGAATGAACTTAGCCATCAAATATAACGTATGCGGAGCAGGATTAGGACAGAAACTGTAGGTGGTGAATTAAATCTTTAATTTGGTTATATATGAATTTCAATATCAGTATAGCTGAATCATTGACTTATACGAAAATTATTCAGTTTAGTTTGCTTTTCCATCGATTTTAGAAAGACGTTGGATGACATTGAGCACGAAGTAATTTGGAAGCTGCTTCGACACTAGGGACTGCAGTCCTCCAAACATTTCTCAACCTTATTCAACAGCTACATGACGACGTCACACGTCAAGTGGCGAAAACGGAAACCTCGGTAAAGTCACTGAAGTGAAGACAGGAGCAAGACAAGACTGCCGACTATCATCGATGACATTTCTAAATGTGGTGGACTGAATCATGAAGGAAGACAGTAATACGTTGAGTCGATAAGAAGGCTATATAAGCTGTGGACTTTTCGAATGATTTATTTCTAGTGTCGAACTCGAAGATCTACAGATGAAAACCAACAAGTTAGCTAAAGGAACACAGATGACCTTACTTTATCAACGTCAATATATATATATATATATATATATATATATATATAAGCAAACAGAAGTGCCAACGACAAGAAAATTAACTGGTGTATAAAAAGAGGAAGAAAATATATCAACAAACCTACCTTGGCATAACAAGTAAATGCATAAAACCCAAAATTATTAAAATTGGTATAAACATAATTGTTGAAAAGTACAATACATGAAGTGATTGATTTTGAACAGGTGTTTGGGCTAATAAGCCTTCATGATCATCATGATTAGTATCATTATTATTATGACTACTGTCTGACTGACAACAACCTAAATGATTGAAAAGATTTGATGATAGGGTGCTTCGATGAGCCAATTGCTTTCCATCAGAATCATTTCCTTTTTCATCATTATTATCATGTACAGATAGACTTGTATAAGATACTTTACGTAGTAAACTACGTTTGAAACAATTTAGCAGATGATAGCAGCCAAAAGAAGGTGATGTATCTAATTGGTGAGAAGAAGTAGACTGTTTCAGAGTTAACCAACACGGTGGCTTTTCATCCAATGGTGCAGTCCTTAATATTGATAGTCTATTTATCATTGGTTTTAGATTATGTAATAATCCGATCTGATTTTCACCACTATTATTATTACTATCTGAAATTGTATTTGCATGTGGCTGTGTTACAGTATCCGCGAAACATGACTGGAATGGTGTACCAACTGCTGAAGTTGTTGTAGCCGTTACTAGACTTACACCCATTAAATTCACTACACCGAAACTTGAAGTTAGATCACCGTTCCTGTCCGAATTACTCACCGGCGGATCAATAACCAATGAAGGACTAAACGAAGAAAATAAAACAACAACAACAAAGATCATAACACGTATAGAATAAAAAGAGAGAGAAGAAAACTGAATAAAACATGTGTACAATATTGCATCTCCTAGACCTGTCGATATGCGTCAGTGGTAATCGGTGACAGAATTCTCGCCAACCACGCCAGACTTGTTCTAAGTTTCGATTCCCAGCCAATGTGCTCCTAAACTTCGCTTAACCGATACTAAACCTAATAAAGAGGCAAGGCTGAGCCCAGCAACCCCACCACAACTACTGAAACTACAAAGCTCAAGCGTGAAGCCCTAGTGTGGTGAGAGCAGGCTGCTAGCCGATTGGTTGACACTAATCTACGTTAATTTGGGCCATGAGAAAATATGAACAAGGCTGATTCAACAACCAATCACAGCAAAGTTAACGTGGCAAAATATGATTCGCAGATAGAGAACTCTATTTGTCGAGGAATCCCGAAACAACCAATCAGAAGCCTGCGTTTGTCTGCCTAACTTCTGATAAACAACCAATCAGATGACTGCGCTTGTCTACTCGCATAAGCTATAATAATGTATGTGAAATATGTATAAATACGTGTTGATTTTCATAATAAAACGATCTGTTGCTTCGCCCTTGTCTTCTGTTGTTACACTAGTTCCATTCGGAACAAAAAGGAATTAGAAAAATATATTGATGACAGGGATTATATATGAGTAATTGTTTCTGTGCCTGTGTATCACTCGCGGATGATTGTAAAAGAGGCTAAACCTCATGAGTGTTGAAAGTGACATGACTAACTAAGATATTAAGAAATGCAATATGATTTAACAAACTTTGCATCAATGCGTAGCCTTATCACGATCGTCCTTCGTTTCACGAGGGCTAAGCTTGAAGTTGACATCGAAAAACATCCAAATATAATTTACTTATACACCTAGTGTGAAACAGTTACTGTAGTCAAAAATATCGAATGAGAGAGAGAGCATTCCAGTTCAATAAAGTTAATTAGCAGGAAATTCAAAATAAAAATTCTGTCAAGTAAGAACTAAACCGTGTTCAAGAAAAGATGACTCTCGTATCCCAGTGGCTTAATAAATAAAGTTTCTACTTTTCGAAAAAGATAGCTTCTAGGATTAGAATCTTAGTTACGATACTATCACTCACTGAGAATACGTATGGGCACACCCAACTGATGAGTCCAAAATAGGATAAACGCGTGCCTTGAATTCCACTGCTAGACACCATCAACCAAAAGACGAAGAACTTCAATAAAAAAATTGACAAAATGGAAGCATCAGGAGATAAGTGGCGTATTTAATAACTGCACATACGTTTATCAACTTGACAATAAGTCACTCCTATTGTATGACAGTTGATAATACTATCTGACTGTTCAAACCTTAGTTGACAGAATAGGAATTAAAGCAAGGGGGCAGTTATTGATAATTCAACCATAACTCCACAATAAATAATGCTTGTTACGAAGGTGACTGAGTCTTAAAACGATGAGTGATGCTTGAATCTTGAAAAGACGAATGAACCAAGAATTTAGGCTTTATTTATTTTACAATGAAGCCAGAATGGCTTAAACGTATAAAGGAAAAAAAGCGTGTTAATAGCGGTAGAGATATGAATATGATTACATACATATTATAAGAAAAGTTCACAACAATGCTAGTCTACAGATATACGTAAATTTAGGAGAAACAACATAAAGGGAACAATAGGATGGTTTATTTTCACATGGATTTCTGTGTAAATAAGTTAGTGCTACATCAAAACATTATTTTCCTCCTTTACGTAAAACATAGAGCCTCAAATATTGAGCACAGTAGAGGCGTAGTAGCTTTTCTTTACGAGATGGGTTTACTAGTCTAATACCTAACCCTCTCTTTTCTCCTCCCTTGCAACCAGTTAGGCAGTTTAGGAGTGGGCGGACCAGCAATCGAATACAAATCACATGCGTGGCATGGTTGGAGTAAGTGTAATGAATTAGAGTGTTAAAATCAACAGTACTTATTCACAATCAGGCGTCGGTGGCATAGCGGTTAGGACGCTCGCCGACCATCCACATGGTCCGGGGTTCGATCCCCGGCCGACGCACCCCTTCACCTCGCTAAGCCAGAAATAATGCTGGTAAAGAGGAAAGGTTGGGCATGAGGTTACCAACCCCATCCTGTAAAAATAAACACTGCTACAGAAACTTCAAGCTACTAGATTGAAGCCCTACGTTCCACTGGGGAACGTAAAGGAAAAAAAATTCGCGATCATGATAAATGCTACTTTCAATCTCTTACTGATATCGAGTCATGTTGCAATGTAGCGTAAAGTCCCTTATTATTTAAAACAAAGATTTCAGAGAAGATTTTCCTTCCATGATGATTTCAGTCTCATAACTGCATTCAATAAATAACAAGTACGTTTGTCAGATGCACTGACATTTGATAGTGTTTGGAATTATGCAAATGTGATAATCACGGTTCAGATAATCATAAATTGGTTAGAAATATGAAGGAATAAATAAGTAAATGAATAAAAATTAGCAAACACAATAAACAATATAGATAATAAAGAAATAATAGGGTTAATCTTTTACAGAAAGATTAAGTACATTCAGAAATGAGAAATGTGAATATACGAATCGATGAGGTCAGTAGTGTAACAGGATGGGGAAATAAGATGAATGAACTATCGCCAATATAAAGGTAAAATATCATTAAAAACCAATAAGTACTGAACAACTGTCCCTTCCTCGATTGGTCCTCTGCACCAGTACTCCCGTGTTCAACCTGTTGGGAATTGGATACAGCACCATCACCCACAAGGCGATTCCATCGGGCATGTAGCCGCTCGACAGAATCCAGTAGTCACTGTTAATCACGCTAGCCCACAGACCTGATTTGGCGAACCACATTGGTCTTGTGAAGTACTTCCCGGTTATCACAGGTTCTCTGACGGATATCAATTTGTCGTCAAATATGCAGTAGGGTACAGCAGGTTGAAGATGAGGCAGTAATTCATCGAAGAAGACATTGCGAAGTGGTCGCGCTATGTCGTGAACTGGCAGAAGTTAGAATTCAAGGACCATTGGATCGGGTCCCAGTGGCTCAATGGTATACGAGCTCGCCTTGTAACCAGAAGGTTCTGGGTTCAAACCCACGTGGGTGCGTACTGATGAAGAGTCCCAAACTAGGACGAAACAGTTGTCCAGTACTCCCAGGTTTTCCAGTGGTTCTCTAACTGATGTCAGCTCATGATTAAATCCTCCATGAAATATGCAATCAATCAAAACCCTATAAACTAGCACGCAAAAATATTAAAATGTGAGTTGAAGGAGCTATGAGACATAAGAAATAACAGCAATGCACAGTCGATGCAACGTCACAGCCTCGTCGATTGATTTCCCCTGTTTACCTAGCACTCGACCGATGCCTTACCTCAATATTGCTCACCTTATTATACCACTTCACACGGAAGATAGATCATAGGCACCTATGATCAAAGACAGCTAGCCTTTTCATGTTCTCTACTCTCTATGGGTAAGTCTCACAGCTAGCCATAAAGGAGCACAGAGCGGACTGCCGAGCAGTACACACGCTCTTCGGTCGATAGCCAGCCGGATATCACGTCTACGCCAGAGACAGCGTAAACTCGTATATGCAAACCTAGCTTACTGAATCCGTGCTGAAATTTCGTCATCAACCAACCCGTTGGGGCTGATACAACTTCCCAAATAAGTGAAGTAGTCAACGTGCTCTACGACTTCATCCCCTATTTCTAATCTAGGAGTCAGTGTATTCCAATCCTGTAAAATCATCTTGCATTTGGTGGGAGCGAAGCGCATGCCAAACATTCGCAGATTGCAGCTCAAGGTGTTCAGAAGACTCTGCATTTTGTCAGCTTCTTCACCTACAAGAACTATACCATATGCATATTCTAAATCAACGACATTATTCCCTGGTAACAAGTCAATCCCTGAGTCGCTTAAGTCAGTTAGGGTTAAGTTCATTAGTACATCTATGATAAAGTTGAATAGAAATGGGGATAATGGGCATCCCTGTCGGACACCACTAGTTTTCATCATTTCGGATGACCACTCGCTGTAAGCCCTCACCTGGCTACATGAGTCCGAGTAGAGTGCCTTGATCAGTGCAATGTATTTTCTCGGGATTCCCCTTACAGCCAGGCATCACCATAGTACCTGTCGGTCGACAGAATCTAATGTCGCCTTTAGATCAAGAAATATAACGATTGTTGGGTGTCGGTAAGTATGCTTATGTTCCAGAGTACGTCGAAGTGTGAAGATATGATCAATACACTCCCTCCCTCGTCTAAAGCCTGCCTGGTTATCTCATATTTGTGCCTCCCGAGCACCACTTAGTCTATGCATGATTATTGAGTCTACAACTTCAGTTACCATATTACTCAAGCTAATCCCCCTATGATTATCACATGAAGACTTGTCTCCCTTTTTGTATGTCGAGATAATCAATGATTTACACCACCACAAAGGGACTTCCTCTGATTCCCAGACTCTGCTTTGTACCTCGGTTAACTCAGACAGTAAACTGTCTCCACCGTACAGAAATAACGCTGGAGTCATTCCGTCGGATCCCGCAGCTTTGCCTCTTTTCAGACTAGTGACAGCCTTAGTAACCTCATTTAGGGACGATGGACCTGTGTCGATATCCTATTCAGGGAGGTGTTGGATATTCAGTAAGTTGAGCGTGACTGTACGCCAATTAAACTGCTTCTTAAAGTGTTCTTTCCTGAGCTCCAGTCGTCTACCTTCAGGGAGCTAATTATGATGCAATTTTTCCCAGAGACTGTTTCACTTATCGTTCGCCTTTTACCACATGTTTCCCTGATAAGCCTAAATAGTTGTCTGATGTTACCTATCGCCTATGCCTTTTCCATCTCTCTCGTTTTTGTCGCCTACCACTATTCACGGCCATTACGAAGGCTTCTTGTTAGTTTGCGTCTAGGTAGCTTTCGCTCTTCATCACAATCGGAGCTCGCCAGAACCAGTCTGTTTGCGTCAATCAGTTCGGATGAGGTGGTAGAAATCCAATGGCTCTTACTAACTTTTGGTTTAAGCTTATTAACAGCTTTTGCAGCTGTGTCTACAGCTAACTGTATGTTGTGCCAGGTTACTTCTGGAGGAGTCCTGTTGTCGACCCAAGATACTCGTTTGGCTATTTCTTCCTTAAACAGGGAATCAGAGTCGTGATCTAGTTGGGGAAGCAACTGCTTCGCTGCCAACAATTTTTTATGTCCGTTTAGGCGCAAGCATAAACGTGCGCGAACCAGGGCGTGATCAGAGTCTACGCACTTGCTCCAGAAGGAGCGGCAGTCTTCTACTGACCCCCATCAGTGATACCCCATAGCTATGTGGTCTATCTGAGTTCAGCGGTGATTTGGTGATGGAGGTCTCCGGGTTACGCAGTGTCTCTCTGTACCTAATATGTTAGTGCTGACTAAGAACAGATGATCATCTGAGCAGAACTGTTGAGGACGACCACCACTGTCGGTTCGTCGGCAGGGTACTCCATACGTAGGGGTGGTCCCTATAAGACAACCACCTGCTTCGTTCTCGATATCTGGATAGTTTCCCAGCCCTCTCACAAACCATGAGACTTTATGTGGCGCATTTCTTGATGCCCATTACGCACTAAATTTTGGTACAAATGTCTATCGACAAGTGACCTTCGAATAAACTGACTTCAATTAATTTTAAAAAATTTTTGATTATGCATTTTGATGATTAATAAAGTCCGAATAGTTCTGCTGAAGAAGCTGTGGCTTGCTCGGCGAAACATTCAGAAAAATCTTGTTTTGATTTTTTCTTAAACATGGTGGGATTATTTTAAATAATTTATAATGCACCAAGTTTGTTTCGATAATTTCTAATAATAATAAATCTATTCATCAGATTGCAGAAACAATGACTAAAACTGCGAAGAACGACAAGTCCTGCAACAACAACAACAACAAAAGCCCCCAATACAAGACTTACCAATTTTTCCTTAATTTACCAACTCTTCGTTTACACGGGACAAATTTATCAGAGCAGCCAATAGTATTATTGTCATCTTGCTGATTTGCATCATTCAATGATTTTGCCAAATTAACGGCAGTTACTGCCAACAACTCACAAGTCGAAGTAGAAGAAGAAGGCTGCCGATGACGATGATGATGGTTAGAAACCGTGGTGACAGGTGCATTAACAGGGAGATCAGTGCTATTTGTATGATTGTTATTATTATTATTATTATTACTATCAGAAGCATTAGTAGTGCTATTACACAGAACTTCATTGTATTCATGATCACAATAGTCTAATGAATTAAATTCTTGATTCGTTAAAATCTGTAATAAATTAACTTTAATCGCTTTCAACTCTTCATCTTCATCGATATATTTCCGTTGCAAATGATGTTGATGACAGGTATGATAACGATCAGATTTAGTGTGAAATAAGAAATGTAAGGGTAATTCAAGTAATATATTATCACTATTGTTCTCACTAGCATGACCAATAATACTATTGTGGTTATTAGTAGTATTAGAAGAAGCAGTAGTAATATTGTTATCTACTGTTAAAGTATTACGATTCATATTTCTACATATGACAGCAGCAGCTGATGCTAAACGTATGACTACAGTACTGGCTAGATTGCAGTCAAGATTTACTAAAAAGGGCCATTCATTTGATGGATGTGATTCGTTTAAATCAACTGGATGCAACTGATTAGTATTGGAAGACTCCTATAAACACAAAAAAGTAAAAAAAAAGAATGTAAGTAAACAAATAATCACAGGTCTGAATTGATATTAGATAAGTGGGAGTATCAATTAACTTGGCGTGAACCCAGATTTCACGCTTAGCAGCATACGTTACACAAACTCGAAGACTTAAAGGCAGGGACTGATTGAAGAAGCTGGCAGTGAAGGTAGGACTCCAGGTAAACACAGAGAAGACGGAGGTGATGAAGACAACCAACCAACGACAACAACAACAACCAGTACTAATCACTATCAACGGAATAAATTTGAAAGAGGTCACTTCCTTCACATATCTAGGAAGTGCAACTTCAACCACAGGCAGTCAGGACAGATGAAGATGTCAAAGCTAGACAGAATTGGGAAGGCAAGATGCGCCTTCATCAATCTGAAGCCAGTTGGGAAATTTTCTGCACTCACTCAGCATAAAAAACAAGATTCGGATTTACAACACAAATGTGAAGTCAGTCAGTTATGTTATACGAGTCAGAAACTGGCACTGCTCACCTGTCACGAAAAGGATTTCCGACAATTAAAGGCTTTTATCAAGAGCTGCCCCTTTCACTGACTCATTATTGAAGATCGAACGGCCAGTCGGTCAGAAAAAATTATCAACAAGAAACTCTGACTGGGAACAAAACAACCAAGAGCCGATTGTTCAACATATATGTAGGAGAAAGTGAAGATGGATTGAGCATATGTTGAGGAAAACGTCAAGTGACATCGCGCGCAACGCAGGCCATTGGTTGAGTGGAATTCGAATGGGATCATCCAAGGGTGACATGAAGAAGATTGTGCGAAGAGGAGATAAGAGATTATGGGTAATCGTGGACCCACCTGAAGAGGATAGCACCAAACGGAACCAAGTAGAAACGTGTTGTTGAAGACCTATGTTCCACTCGGAACCTAAGGGAATATTAATAGCATATATTCAATATTCAATAGCAATGTCTCTAATTCCAAGCAAAGAATTTAATCACGTCATCCTAAAGACCAAAAGACGCACCTGCGGGGACAGTTATGTTGGGCGTACTACTAGACAGCTTAGCCAACGTGTTAGTGGACATCTCCCATCGTGGTTTGGCAAAGGACAGACAAAAACAATCCGTAGCTCAATTTTGTCACATTTAATTGATAGTGGTCACGTAGTGGACAAAACGAGAGCCTTCAAAGTAATTCATCGTATTCCACCGAATCTTTCAAATAGACTTCATATTCGCTACTGCACACAGCTGAGGCGATAGGCATTCGAACTATTAAACCTAAACTATGCATTCAAAAGAAGTTCGTACAGACATTATCCCTCCCTTGGCCTATTAAGACATAACCAACTAACGACTTCTACACCACCCCTTATATTTTCAACCCCTTTCTTATCATCCCTTAATCCTATCACATCTTCATTATAAACGTGTTTCATTTACTTCCCTTACAATCTAACATCACTTAATCGGTTCATTTGTTTTTACTAGCCTTTATCGACTACTACTTCCACCTGAACACATTTGTTTGTTTAATCATGCTGTTTTTCATTATTCGTGTTATCACAAAATGCCTCACTTTTTCATCCCTATTATTGGTAAGACCATTATCATTATTACTATCATTATTATTATCATTATTACTATTATGACTAATTGCACAATTTATATTCACCAATTTATTCTCCTATAAACAAAACACCATGATTGGTTTATATTTGAATTTTTATTTGTAAACTTACGCATATTAAAGTTAAGCCTGATGAGATCTAATTGAAAACAATATTGTTCGCTTAGATGTGTTGTTCTAAATCTTACTATGGGAATATTTAATATATAGATATCAATAAGCTGAGCAGACAAGAAGAATCTAAAAGAACTGAAATTTACAGAGGATGTATGCTTAATGTCAGAGAAACTCGAAGATCCACACGCAAAAACCATCAAGTTGTCAAACGAGTCAGGCAAGAGAGGACTTCCAGTAAAATGTGATGTAGTGCATAAACACCGCATAGTTTTCGGATAATCTCCATCTTCGGATTAACATTATCCAAATTTATTAAAGGAACTATTGTTTAAACATAGAGAAGACAGAAATGGTGAAGACATATTACCAACAACATCAACAAGCACCAATCACTATCAACAGGAAACATTTTACGGAAGTCGCTTCCTTCAATTATCTAGGGAGCCTCGTGCCAACTACAGGAGTATGACACAGATGAGGATGTTAAAGGCAGGATCGGAAAGGGAAAAAAACCTCCACTAATCTAAAATTAGTCTGAAGATCTACTACACTCAGCATAAACAACAAGATTTGAATTTTCAATATTGATGTCGAGTCAGTCAGTGGTACTATACGGTTTAAAAAGTTGCTAGAGCATCACGGAAAGCGATTCGAAAAAGCCGCTGCAGACTTTCATTAACAGTTGTCTTAGTTGTATAGTGAAGATCAGGCAGATGATCAGAAAGCATCAGAAGGCAACAAGCAACCATGAACCTATCGTCTAACAAATATTCCCAAAATAATGAAGATGGATTAAATAAGTGCTAACTTTCATTTTCGAATAAATTTTACGTTGCACTTCACTAAGATGTCACTATACTAAGGAAAATAGTGAATATATATTTTCTTACAATGATAATGGAGGGAAAATAATTGGTGAGACTATCCGCTGTAGTCTTGGATGCCAGGAGAGGTCAATTACTTGCAGTTGAAATTACACAGTCTCATGAATATCTGAAAACGTATTTCCCTTCCGCTATGGTATGACTAGAAATGAAACAGGGTGTGTCTACAGTGATGAAGCGATCACGTCTAACAAACAGTTATTTATCACTCATTCACATGACAGCTTGACAAAAACTACTGATTAGAGTTGTGCGACGGAATAACTGCGCTCAATTAATCGCTTGACTTTACCTATTTGATAGGGGCTAACAGTGAAATCCAGGACACACGTTACGTCCTATTCAAAGCTCATCAACGAAATACATGTACCCACTATTCCAAGTGAATGATGGTGTTCCAATTGAGACTCGAAACCACCACCAGTAATTTAAAATGTGAAAACGACATCCCCAGGCTGAGCCAACTCGTGTGTAACGGTCACCAGTAACAAATAACAAGTTGAACATAGAATATCATAGAGGCGTGCATACTGGGGGTCGATTTGTCAAAAAAAACACCAAACACTGTTACGCACTGCACTCCTCTTAAATCTAATGAATTCAAGTCAAACAGGTTATTCTGTAACAATGATAGTAAACGTTGTTAGGCATGATCATACTTCAATAAGTGTAAGAACAATTAAAAAACATTTATTAGATTTCATCAAAAACTAACATCACTTGCAAAGATGAATAGTCAACGAGTTTGGTATCGGAATTTGAAGGCACTAGGTTTCACCACTGTCTGGCAGGGTCGCAGTGAGCACTCATGATGAGTCATGAAATAGGTTGGAACAGATGTCCAGTACTACCTGTTGGTCTCAAAGATCTCTTTACTTAATGCTGATTCGTCACAAAATCCGACAGTTGAGATTAACCACGGATTGTTATCAGTTAGAGAACCATTGAAAGCAAGGGAGTAGTTGACAGCGATTTCGTCAGCCTGGTTTGGGACACATCGGCAGTACGCAGCCACTGTGTTTCGAACCCAGGACCTTCCGTTTACAAAGCAAGCTCGTACAGCATTCAGTCACTGAGTCCCGGTGGGTGCGTACTGTCGATGAGTCCAGGACGGCTGAAACAGCTGTCCAGTACTCCCTGTTGGTTCCAATGGCTTCCCAACTGTTATCAATCAGTGGTGTCAAACTGAAAAAACAAATAAAATCCTTACGAATCGCCTCTTGAAAATTGGGATGAAGTTATTCCAAATGCCCACAGATCCGTAATCTAAATTAAAAAACCATTCACTTAACACCTGTATTGTCAATATATCTTCTAACACATACATAAAAAAGAATGTTGAGGTAAAATGAAATGGGAAAAATGAGTGTCCAAGATGGTGAGAAGGAAAGACAGATGATTGATAAATATGCAAATTTGTGTCTGTGTGTGCGCGCATACACATACGCAAACACAAATACGTGTGTGTACTTCACATAACTCAGGTAGAATGTTACTTATTTTGTAATGATTACTCATCATACACAATTGAATCATCTAAGCCTTGTGATGATCATCAAAAGTGTATGGATATATGTATGTATATATGAGAAATCAATAATCACATACACCAGGAAAGTCGAATAGAACATAATACACACATCACTTACCCGTATAACACATACAACAAAGTAGAAAACTGACTGATAATAAACATGAATTAGTGGTCGAAGAAAAACATAATTAAGAATTCAAGTGACTAAGTATTTTAATACAGAAAAATCCCCATTTAGAAATTTTGAAACGAAAAGGATCGAGCGAAGAAATACTTTTCAATTAGAACTTCATCCATAGCTCTACTCTGATACATATTCAAAACAATTATTTCCCTTGATGAATTTAGACCAAGCAATAAGAGGACGTGTGCGTCGGTGGTATATCGGTTAGGAAACTCGCCGACCATGCACATAGTCCGGGGTTCGATTCCCGGCCGACGAACTCCTTTACCTCACTAAGCCAGAAATAATGCTGGTAAAGAGGAAAGGTTTGGCAGGAGCCTAGCAACCCCATCCTGTAAAATAAACACTGCTACAGAAACTTCAAGCCCCAAGTTCCACTGGGGACGTAAAGGGAAAGAAGAAGAAGAAGAATGAGAGGACGTAATTTGTCTGAATCGTCTAATGTTGTATTTGCGCAACACATTTCGAACAATCTGATCACACGCGGACTTGCCATAGGACATATGAAATTAATAAAGAGCTAAGAGATGAGAAAACAAATTTAGGACAAGTTAAAGGGACATATTGAAGGTCAAAATAACAATGAAGATCACTAAACCAAATAACAGAGGTAATAGTGTGGTGAGAGTTTGTCTGGTAGCCATATCTTGGTCAT